TAAATCTGTTCTAACGCCCAGGTATTGGCAGAGGCTAAATCTGTCTAACGCCCACCCGCCAGGAGTTAAATGGTACTACTACTACTACTACGCGTAGCAAAAATTGCATTCCCTTTGCTGCTCATGCAATGCAGACTGGAATCCAAATCCAGCATCACAAGCTGCATTCTTCCAGACCCAGACATTTTTACATTTGATAGTGGAGAGACGGAGACAACTGGTCCTCGCGCGATTGGACAACTGGAACAGCGAAGGTGGTGCCTGGTGGTGCAACAGGAGCGGCGACACTGACCGCGACTACGAACGCGGCCACTAATACCACGGCCATGAAGAAGGCGAGTGCAACTGCTTCGTCTGCAACATCCTCAGCAGTAGTTCATCCGAAAGCAGCCAAGGCCGCGTCGAGTAACAAGCGAGGCGCAGCCACAGCTTCGAAAGCAGGAGCGCCTACTTCTGTGACGAGCAACAAGAAAGCCGCATCTGCCGCCAGGGCGGCTGGTGGGTTGAAAACCACACTGAGCGCCGGCGGAATGAATTCCAAACCCACAGCTTCTGCAAAGAAGATGAACGTCGTGGTCCCGGCGCAACAGTCCCACCAGCTCCGCAAATCGACCCGGCTGACGAAGTATCTACTGCAAAGGCATCGTACTCGTAGGAATTGGGACTATGCATGACAAATCTGGATGCTTAGCTAAATCAGCATTACAGATCGAATTTCGCTTTTTGAGAAAATTTGTGATGCAACTTATACGTAGTGCGATGCTTTTGTAATGCATACGAAGCAAGCGACACGGCAGCTGTGGAAAAACCTGTTTCCCCACAGCGAGTTTACCCCGCAGCTGATGGATAATTTCGAACCTACCAACTGCAAAAATGTCTGGGTCTGGAAGAATGCCAGACTACTTGTCATGTAGGTTTTCCATGACCCATAAGGTCTGGTATGTAGGACAGAGCATGACAGATTCTGTGAGAGTTCTATCATGCCTATCCTGCATGAGAGACTGCCTCTCGATTAGGTCAAAAGTGGACAGCTTATTTTGGCAATCACGCAACACAGATTCTTACAAACATGATTCAGATTTAGCATGACAAGTTGCTTTGTTCCAGACCCAGACACTTTTGCATTTGATAGAGCCGGAAGATTCGCTTTTCCCCCAGCGATCCAACCGCCCCTTGGTGACGACAGCGTCGCAACTCTCTGAAACGGCACTTCATAAGGATGCTCTCGGCAACATTTACGCGGAAAAAATGGCCGAGACGGCAGCTGCGGTTCTGCGAGACGACGCTGCGGAAACAGAAGGAGCGAAAAATGGAAATAAAATCAGAAGTACAGCGTCAAAAAATAATTTTGACCACGACCATGAGGTGGACCTTCATGACGCACAAACCAAACCGCGCTACAACCCGAGAACGGGCGAGCTGATCGAGGATTTTTCCTGGTTCTTCAATTTTCTCCCCACCCTTCGCTGCACCACGCGCTCCACGACGGAAGAATTGGACATAAAGCCCGCCCACCTCCATTCCCCAAACCAGCGAGGCGGTCCGATATGGTGTTCTCAAACGTTACATTCTCAACTGTTACACGAATCTGTCATGCAAGAATGGCAAAAGCGAAAGGGGGAATATTGCACCAATTGCATTACAAATCCCGTGCAGATTTCGGTGCTGTTTAGCACTTCGCAGATTTCTTGTCATGCGAAGTAGCTTTATCTTCTGGATGATGATGGTAGTTCCGCATGACAAATTCATGGAACAGTTGAGAACGTAACGCTTGAGAACTCCATACCCGAAGCCGGTTTTGTGTGAGTCCGAAATCAGTCACTTCGCCGCCAGCCAGGGGAGTCGGTTGGACACCTGGTCCTGGCTGTTTTCCAGCATGGTGGGGATGTGGAACGTGGGAAAGCACAACTGCGGCGTCGATTTCGCCGCGTATCAAATGCAAACATGTCTGGGTCTCGAAACTTGTGATGCTGGCTTGGGAATGGTGGACTTACTGCAATACGCACCCAAGCATGACAAGTTCTTGCGCTGCTATGTGTTGCGAGCTCTGCATTGCAAACTGCGCTTTTGCATGACAGGCAAGAGACTCTCATCCTGCTCATACATCACAGACTTAGGAGCCGTGAGAGACAAGCATGACAAACTTCCATTCTTCCAGACGCAGACATATTTGCAATGCATACCGTGCCCGGGATCGCGATTCAAGGCCCGAACAACTGCAAAGCGAACGAGGACTGTACTTTTGTGACCAAACCCCCCGGGGCGTACTGCGTGGAAACGTTGTCCTCCGGGAAGCATTTTATCCGACAGGAGGTGGAACTGAAACAGATTTTGGATGAGAAGAAAGTCGTGGAAGACTGTCTGCACGGGATCACACAGATGTTTGCGGACCACGAGATTGCGGCTATCACCCTGGAAAGAGTCGCGGAAAGGACCAGCGGGGTCCTGCAGGATGAGCAACACATCAACTACGTCAACAACCATCCCATCGTGCTCAACGCAAGGAGCCAGTTTCTGTCCAGGGAGGTCCAGCGACAACTTTTGGGGCGGCTGAAGGACTTCAAGGCGCTTCTTCGCGTCGTCGAGGGGAAAGAGAAACTCTGGCAGAAACAGAACTTCCAGAACAACCGCATGAAGATTCCGCAGGACTGCCAGCTGCTGAAGGTCCACTATCACGTGCTGAAGAACTATGGAAGTGTCAGGTTTGAAATCGACAGATTTGAAATAATTTCTCATGGAAAAACTGCAAGGCTTGAAGTGCCTGTCTTGCCGGGATGGCAAGTGAGGCCGACTGTCATCCTGTTTACCGTTTCAAATAGAGCTGCTGCAGGAGCATGACAAAAGCAGTCGTCTGTGCCCAAACAGCATGACAAATTGGATTCCGGTGCTCGGAAAATTTGTCATGCATCGCTTGAGAATTGGGCTTCCAACTAGTATCAATTTTATGCATTGCAAGTTATTTCAACTTTGACGATTTCAATCCTGACGCTTCCATAGGAACTGCATGGATTTGAAGGTCCATACGGTCTCCTACTTACACGATCTGGAAACCTTTTTCAAGCACATATGACAGTGCACAACTCGACGTCCCCCTCCCCCTCACTAGTATCGCATGTACGGCAAAAATACAAACGCCAGCACACGTGGAGCCTGTGCATGACAAAGGTATGCGCCTGATGTAGTACTGTTTAGGCAGCTCCTTCCGGAATCTGTTATGCATAATAGTGATACAAGGGAAGCACTTGCATTTGGGATTTTGCATGAGAAATGAGGCGAACGGGGAGTTGTGCACTCACTGCCATAGCGCACGGATTTGAGCCAGAAGGGGTACTACCAGCAGCTGCAGGAGGTTATGCTGTGCAAAAGTATCGTACTCGTATAAATGCAGGTCTTGCATTACAAATTTCTTTGTCAAGGCAGATCAGCATTACAAATTTTATTTCTCATGCTGAGAAAATTTGTAATGTATTTATACGAGTACAATACTTTTGCAGTTCATAGAGGTGAGGAATTACCAACTTTCGATCCAGCATCTCCCTTCCCTGAAGAAACAATCGCTGCTCAACAGCTTCTTGTGTTTTCTGGAAACCAATTATGCAATACAAATTTCTATTTCCCGTACATGTACAAGATGCATCACAAATTTCACCAATTGAAAGCGTAAAACTTGTCATGCTAGACTAGGATGGAAGCCAATTTTTGTCATGCAGAGACCGCATGTGTACGTGTGCGGGAAATTTACTGTGGATACCAATCAGGAAAAGAACCCCTACGTCGCCGGCTACGACACGGCGGACATCCAGCTGCAAAAAGAGGTGTCCAAAACAGTCCGCGAGGTCACGAAGGACCTGACGTTTCACTTCGCGACGGAAAGAAACGCGATGCAGCACGGGGGCAGTTTCCGCGACCGGCTGGAGCGGTATCAAAGCAGATGGGAGCAGCTGGAAACGTTGGTCTTTAAAGAGAAAGAAGTCATGTTTGAACACTTTTTGAAGACGGGCGAGTTGAAAAACCTGCACAGCCCTATCAAATGCAAAAATGTCTGGGTTCGGAAGGAAGCAGTTTGTAATGCTACATTTGGATTCTACATAAAATCTGTATTGCATGAACAACAAAACAAGCATCTCAATTTTTGCTACGCGGAGAGGGCATTTCTCATGTGGTATGAGCATCAGAAAGCCATCACAGAATCTCTGATGCTAGAGCATGCATCATACACCTTATGGGTCATGCAAAATCTGCATGACAAACTCTAGCATTCTTTCAGACCCAGATGACATATTTGCATTTGATAAGCCCACAGTGCTGTTCAAACGCAGTCGCTCTTGGAGCGGGGTTGGGAGGTTCGCTACCCATCCGGGCGACATCCTTGCAAAACAAGGTTAGTAGTAGTGACTCTGTCTCTTCTCTCGCGATAAACAATGGTGCCGCTCCTGCAGCCACGTTGGGATTGCAAATGCAAATGCAATTACAACAGTCCCAGCGGCAGACCAGGACCCGGAGCGCGTCGGCGCAGGGCAAGGCGGAATTGGAAAGGCAATTATTGCAACAGGATGCTCGGTATGGATTGCAAATATGTCTGGGTCTGGGAAGTTACGAGATTTGTCATGCTAGTCTGGCATGACTCTTAACTCTGTGTTGCGTCACCGCAAAGAGCGCCTCCTGCTTGTCATGCAAAAACGCAGGTTCTCATGCGGAGTACGCAACTCAGAACCACGGAAAGGCTTGTCATGCTTGGCAGCGCATTACAGTCTGCTCACCATTCCCCTTCTTGCATCACAAGTCTCCAGACCCAGGACATAGGTGCAGTTCATACTCGGTCGCGTAGCACATCGGCGCAGGGGAAGGCGGAAATGATCATGAACAAAAATGCTGGTGTGTTGAACACCGCGTCGAATCGTTCCCTCGGTCCTGCTGTGAGTGGTCAACAGCAAGAATTACAGAATAGGACGTCGGCGAAACAGCAGCAACAAGCAGGGGTCGTCGTACAACCCGCAGGAGCTGCCCCGACGATATCCAGGAAAAAACACCCATCCCCATCCAATTTTTGCATGACAAAGAAAGGAGCTTATGCATGTTTTGCATGACAAATTGGATGGGGATGGGTGTTTTTTCCTGGATAGACGACGGGCTCCTCCTCCTCCTCCTCGTCATCCTCTGGCGCAGCAGCAGCTTCAGGCACTTCTCGTGCACCAGGAGGAGGTCTTCAACCTGCAAGTAGATCGCAACCGCAGCAGAATCAAATGCAAGAACTCGCCGTCGTGTCAACAGCATTTGCTCAAGATCTTCAGTCGTTAGAGTCACTATCATCTGGATCATCGTCCTCGTCGTCCAATCCTGGTTCTTCCGCGGCTTTGGGAAGTGGTGGTCTCCAAGAACATCATAGTACAACCCTCCGCAGCATAAAACGCCACCAATTCGACGCGTGGTACAACGAAAAAGTGCTTCCCGCGGTGTACAATCGGTTTAATTTCCCAGACTTTTTCGGCAAAAACCCGGCGGGGCTCGTGCGGTTCAAACTCTCCCCCCTGTTAGTCCATTCCGCCGTCACGTGCGACCGGGTGGTGTGCCCCTACACGGACAATGAACACGCCGGGAACCGGCACGGGTGGTTCCACCACTTAGCGAAACCCGTCTTGCAAAGAATTGCGGGCGACAAAGGTCACGAATTTCACAGCTGGGCCCGGAACTTTCTGAAAAATCTCGACCACAGGAAGTCCGAAGAACTCGCGAAACTCCCAAGACGGAAAGTTTGGCTGCAGGGAGCCAGGTATCCAGTGCAAAAGCATCGTACTCGTATACATAAAAGCATTACAAATTCCCTCAGGATCTCAAGAAAAAGATTTGTAATGCATAAATGCAATGACGAGTGCGATACTTTTGCAGTGCATACCAGGTCGGACCCGGACCGACTAGACGACGATGAGCGGGAAAAGCGTATCAAATGCAAATATGTCTGGATCTGGAAACGTGTGATGCTAGTTTGTGACTGGTGCTGGTTGCACTGCTATATGCTGCTACGCATGACAAGCTTTTGCGCTCCACTGTCGTGTTTCGCTTTCTGCATGACAAACACAAACTGCATTTTTGTATGACAGGCAAAAGGCTCCTTTCCATTTCCTGCTCCTGCAATACAGATTTACGGGGCATGATGTGAGACAAGCATGACAAGCAGGCACTCTTCTAGACCCAAACATGTTTGCATTGCATAAAGCGCAATCACTGCTTATTTGCGAAGGACCGACTGTACTCGCTGAACGATTGTTGCCCCGACTCGGAGTTGGGTTTTGAATTCTCGAACGCGTTCGCCGCGGGGGACACGATTAACGCGAGAACTTCGGAAAATATGATGAACAAGTACACCCTGCAGGCCGCGACTGTCCGGTGCGACCTTCTGTACAAGTGCTGCTACACGTCGGTCTTTCGCCCCACGTACGCGGTCGGCGGGCTGGAGAAATTACCACTGGAAATGCGGGACGGGAAAATTTGTTTGGTCGCTTCAACATCTAGTAACTACAGTACAACTCCTGCTGCGCCACAGTTGGAACGAGTACGAGCGTCTGACCTCCTGCTCTGTCCCACCGGAAGTTCATATCCAAGAAAAAAACATTGTAGGTGTAACTTTGTTGGAGGATTAGCATGACAAATATCTCTCGCATGACAGCAAAAACCTGTCATGCGCAGATAGTAAGGGAAAACGCCGCTGAATGGGCCCTACAATGCAGGCACAGCATGACAGGCTCAATCAATTTGCATGCTGCGCATCACAAATTTACACTAACAGCGTTTTTTTCTTGGATAGTTCATCTTCGAAAACTACCACCCGACGTGCTCCCTCCTGTTTCGCCGCCGCAGCCGCTCGGCGCGAGGCGAACGAGAAGTTGATATTAGACGCCGGTGGAGCACCAGCTAACCTGACAAGCAGTTCCAAAGACAACTCGACTTTGCTGTCCCTGAACAACAACATCATTAACATGATCCCACTCCTGGAGAACGAGCGGACTACCTACGCGCACCGACAGAAAGCCGGGGGCCCGTTGATGAAAAACGAGGTTTCGCTTCCGGAGCTGCACGACATCATCATCAACCGGAAAAACCCGACGGAGAAAGAGGACCAAGCGCAGGAATTTCAGGACTTTACGCGGGAGGAGGTTTTATGCAATGTAAATCTCCCGTACTACATGTACAAAATGCATGACAAATTCCGCTAGCTTGCAGTGTACAACTTGTCATGCTAGACTAGGACTGAAGGCAAGTTTTGTCATGCAGAGACTGCATTTGTACGTGTGCGGGAAATTTACGGTGGATAGATTTTGGAGCAAATCTACTGCGAAAATTACGTCGAATTGGCCACGAAGTTGCAGCAAGTGAAAGGGTATGAAATGCAAAAATGTCTGGGTCCGGAAGAGCGTAAACTTGTTATGCAGGTTTTCCATGACCCTTGAGGTCTGCAATGCGGGACCTAGCATGACAGAGTCTGTGAGGTCTCTTTCATGCCTATCCTGCATGAGAAACTCCCTCCCAACTTGGTCGAAAGGGGACAGCTTTTGGCACTCATGCAACACAGATTTTTGCATGGTTCGGATTTAGCATGACAAGTTACAACCTTCCATACCCAGACACTTTTGCATTTGATAAAGGGGCCTCGGCGACTGGAATTTTTACTTCTGTTCACGACATCAATATCAAGATGACCGACGAGGAAGAGCAGGAAGCTGCTAGTACAACTGCGGCAACAACACTTCAAGTCGAAACGAAAACGCTCCACCTCCCGTTCGACAATTGGGCGCCTGAAAATCGTTTCCACGCAATGGTCAACGCACGTCCGGCGACCCACCACTGCCCGATTTACAAGCCGAGATGTTTCTGCTGCGCGGGGGTTTTGGAGAACGGGAAAGATAATTGGAACAGGGGGACGAATGATGGGTGGAAATACCAGCTCTCGAGTATGATTTTTGAGTTTGAAAAATGTTATACTTAACGATGCTTTGGTAACAAGCAACTCGCCCGAAGTGAAGTGCGAAAGGGTGGTTTAGGATTTAGGAACTTCGACTTAATACAAGTAAAATGCAAAAGGGTAGTTTAGAATTTAGCTGGTACTTCGACTTGCTAATCAATATGGCTGCCGGAAGATTTTCATCGCGCATATTAGTGATGACTCTTCTGCTACATGCAACATCTTTATGCAAAATTTATGAAAATCGATATCAAATAGATAAAGATGAACATGCATCAACAGAATTTGCTCAAATTATGCTATCAGACTTCAACCCCGGCATATCCCACGGAAAAAGTGTTACAGTTACACATTTGTAGTCAATTCAGCAACACAAATTTCTCTGCATGAGAGAGAACACTTGTAATGCAAAAATCCTACGGGAAAATACCTATGAAACGAGGCTTCTATGCGTATCCGGCATGACAGAGCTTGTCTGTCTTGCTTGGCCTGCAACGCAATGTGTAACTGTAACACTTTTTTCTTGCGATACGGCACCGGTTCCTTCGCTCGTGGTCCCGACGCGGACAACGACAAAGTCGACGGGAGTATCAACCGTAAAAATGTCTGGGTCTGGAAGGGTGTAAACTTGTCATGCAGGTTTTCCATGACCCATGAGGTCTGGCATGCGGGACCTAGCACGACAGAGCTTGTGAGGTCTCTGCCATCCCTATCCTGCATGAGAGACTCCCCCCCCCCAGCTTGGTCGTAAGTCGACAACTTTTGGCAGTCATGCAACACAGATTTTTGCATGATTCGGCTTTAGCATGACAAGTTGCAACCTTCCAGACCCAGACACTTTTGCAATCCATAGGGAGCGGCAATTTAGGAAGAGCCGGCCACAACGAGAGCGGCAACTTGCAATGCACGGGCGCGGGGTGCATGAAGTGCTACCACATGAACTGCATCGTCGGGAAGAAGTACCTGTCGATTGAAAAACAGAAGTATTTCTGCCAGCAAGACCAGCAGTGGAAGTTCGCTTGCAACCGGAGCGTTTCCCCCCCGAGCGCGCTGGAGCGTTATGAATGTGCACAACTCCCCCTTCCCCGCATTTGTCATGCAAAATACCCAGTCCTGTTTGCGTGACAAGTTTTGGGGGCAGCCCAAATAGCATATACAATCCTGTGCGAATTTGTGATGCAAAACCTGCATGCTCCTGGCTGGGGTTCGTATTGCCGTTCATGCTATACTAATGAGGGCGAGGGAGTAGAGATGTGCACTGTCATAAGCGTAATCAAGGGACGATCAATGGCGGTCTCCCTTTCCCCGGGTTTTTGCCCTTCGCGCCCCAGAAAATATGCATTGCAAAAGTCTCGTACTCGTATAAATGCATTACAAATTTCCTCAGCATGAGAAATAAGATTTGTAATGCAGATTTGACTTGGAAACAAGATTTGTAATGCAAGACTTGCATTTATACGAGTGCGATACTTTTGCACAGGATAGAAAAACGAGCTGGACCAACTGTATAAAACGAAGGACGGGAAGGAGATCACGCCGGATCACCTATGGATTGCAAGTATGTCTGGGTCTGGAAACTTGTGATGCTGAAATGTCAGTGGTGGGCGAACTGCAATACGGAGCCACGCATGACAAATTTTTGAGCTGCTAACGTGTTTCGTTTTTCGCGTGGTATTAAACTGCGTTCTTGGATGACAGGCCCTTTATTTCCTGCTCATGCAACACAGATTTATGAATCATGCCAGACAAGCATGACAAACTTGCATTCTTCCAGAGGACCCAGACATGTTTGCATTCGATACCACCCGTCTTTTTACAAGTGTCTGGACATGGGGAGCGTGAACGTGGAGCGGAAAAAAATCGCGGAAGAAGATATGGCGAAATTTTCGGAAATTATCCAAGCGATTCTCGAATACTGCCTAGTAGAACTGGCGATGGAAGAGTTGAAAAAGTATCAACTGTAAAAATGTCTGGGTCTGGAAGGACGCGAACTTGTCATGCTAAGTCTGAATCGTACATAGATTAGTGTTGCATGATTGCCAAAAGGTGTCCACTTTTGAACAAGTTTAGAGACAGTTTGTCATGCAGGATAGACATGATTGGGACTTCGAAGAACCTGTCATGCTAGGTCCTGCATTGCAAACCTCATGAGGCATGGAAAATATGCATGACAAGTTGCATTCTTCCAGACCCAGACATTTTTACATTTGATAAAAAGGAACTGCAAGGAAAAGCGACCACGACATCTTTTACATGGTGGAACAACAAGAGGCAAGAGAACAGAAGTGGTCGTCATCTCCTCCATGAACAAGACACTGCTTCTTCTTCTTCCCACGACCAAGTCTTGAAGCTTCTTGACTCACTGCGGAAGATGTTGCTAGTACAACAACAGAATCAGGATGTGAATGCGAAGGAAATAAACCAAAATGGCAAGAAGAACACCAGCATCTCAGAAGAATCTCCGAAAGAAGATCTGCTCTCCAGCGACAAGTTAACGAGTATCAGTAGAAAGTCAGTCGGCCTCGAGGTCGTCGAGCCAGTAGTAGTAGAGTCAACCTCGGCGGCCGCCGGGAAGGCAGCTTCATCTGCCTCCAAATCCAAATCTAGTAGCGACCCCCTGAAGATAAACAAAAGCGACCCCCAAACATCAAGCCGGGCCGCAGGTTCTAGTAGCGACAACGACACCTCCAGCGAGATTCTTGAAGACGAAAACACGACGACCCTGGCGTATCTCACAACCGAGTTTCTTATGCATTGCAAAAGTATCGTACTCGTAGTAATTGCAGTCATGCATTACAAATTTCTTTTCTAAAGCTAAATCCGCATGACAAACTTTCTCATGCTGAGGAAATTTGTAATGCATTTATACGAGTGCGATACTTTTGCACAGGATATTTCTCGACCGACTACAAAGTTTTTACCGCTACAACGGCGACAATCCGGGGTTCACCGAGTACTGGGACTTCCACTCCTGGAATTTCTGGGCGTACTTTTGCCCGGAACACTTCTGCGACCGGAAAAAGGCCTTTTCCATGTACGACATCTGTGTGACGATCTTAGGCTCTACCATGAAAACCGGGTATCGGAAGAAAGTCAGACTCAGTGGTGAGGAACTATTCCTCTATGTCGACGAGAATCGGAAGAACAACAACGAATTTTATGTGGACAAATGGCCGGAGTGCGACACGAACCTCCGCGGGCCAAAAATGGCGGGGGGGTACGACTGTCAGGAAGCGAGGTTGGAGTACTGGGATATGGCGCTCTCAACTGTTACACTCTCAAGTGCTACATGAATTTGTGGCGCAAGAATGACAAAAGTGATAGGAGAGATCTTGCGCGTCTTGCATGACAGATTTGGCGCCGATTATCAGCCTGCTTGGCCCTCTGAGAATTTGTCACGCGAAGCAGCTTGATGGTGTCGATTCTGATTGTGGTTTTGCGTGGCAAATCATGCAACAGCTAGAGAGTGTGACACTTGAGAACGCCATATGGGAGAGGAAAGGGCTGTCGGTGGTCAAATTGTACAACAACTCGGCGGATTTTCATCATACGAAATCGACAACTTCTTCATCTTCTCCGAGTAGCAACAGAAGTTTGGTGTCTGGTGGAGGTTCGTCCTCAGGTGATGCTGCGCCACAACTCCAACCCCCTTCCAGTGGAAAACCGTCCTCCGAAAGGTCGCGGGGTAGAGGCCGCAATAACTCCACATCTTCTCGCAAGAACATGAGGTCAGAAGTACGACTGTCCGGTAAGAACAACAACGACGAGGAGGATGACCAGCTCCACAGTAGTTCTCTTAATACTCCGTCGCTGAAACGGCGGAAGACGGATCATGCGAAAAAATCTACTGCTTCAGCTTCCGGAGTAGTAGATGACACGAAAAATAATGCACGACCGTCATCCAAAAAGAAGCAGAGCAAGAAGGAATTGCAACTATGGGAGCTGAAGAATAAACTTCTGGAGATGGAGAAAACGAAAATCGAGAAGAAGCAGGAGTTGTTTGCTGTGCTGAAAAAGATTTTGAATCCTCGTCGAGTCGGCTCCTTGGCGGCGAATTTCCAGAATTTCGGGGACGATATCCCACGAAAAAACTGTTTCGCTGTGATGATTTTATTGCAAGGTCTGCATCACAAGTTTGCTACACATGACAAAGAAAACTTGGCATCCGTGCTCCCTAAGTAGAGAAAACACAGCTAAAAATCCAACGTCTTGCATGTGTAGCTGCAAGACAAACGGATTTGCGTTCCGTTCTATGCATTGCAAGTTTACAGTGAAGCAGTTTTTTCTTGCGATAGACGAGTTAGTGGATTTGGTCGACTGTTTGGGGGAGCAGGCGGGGCTTTATCCTGTGCAAAAGTATCGTACTCGTATTGCAATCATGCATCACAAGTCTGTCTCTTAAGGCAAATCAGCATTACAAATTTTATCCCTCATGCTGAGGAAATTTGTATATGCATTTTTTATACGAGTACGATACTTTTGCAATTCATAGGCTTTTTCAAGAAACAAGTCCTGCCTCGCCGAGAAGTGCCGCAAGTACTGGAAATGAAATGGGCACGACTTCTCGAAACACCAACAAGAAGAACCCCCTCCGGGGTTTGAACCTGATGACCACGGAATTGATTTCCGAAGCCCAAATATCCAGGGAAAAAGCTGTGTTAGTGTAGATCTTTTTGAGTGCCAGCATCACAAATTTGCTCTGCATGACAGAGAAAGCCTGTCATGCACTGCTAGTACGTGAAAACACACATGAAAAGAGGAGCTCATGGGTGTCTGGCATGAAAAGTGTATACTATTTTGCATTTTTTGCATCACAGACCTACACAGTTTTTGTCTTGCATATCACATCCTCGAGGAAATGGAACACGAAGACCTCGGCATCTACAACCACGCCCACAACGCCGATCCGTCCGGTGAGTGGGACGGGTGGCGGGAGGTAGAAGATGCAGATGCAACGGATTTCGACAGCACAAACAAAGCCATCGCCGCGGTGAGTTCGTCTTCTTCATCAAGAGGGAATCATTCTTCCTCGAAGATGAACTCCTCCCACGTCAAGCAATCGTCAGGGAAACAGGACAACTTGCACTTGCTAGCTTCTTCCTCCTCTACTTCCACCCCAGCTGCTAACACGATGAAACAAAAACAGTTTGAAGTGCACTTCTGGCGGAAAACAAATGTCATCGAGGAAATGACGCAGGCGGGGTACCACGAAATCACAATCAACCAGAAGATCTGTAACCAACCCGAGCAGAACGTGCCGAAGGGGCATCGGAATTCCAAACCCTGCAGCAACCTCACGGTCCGGGAGGAAACCATATGACAGCGCACGACCTCCCCCTTGTTCTCATTTCTCATGCAAAATCCCAAGTCCAATTCGGTACCTTCTTTCACTAGTATGCATGACAAAGTCCGGAAGCGGCCTAAACAGTACTACTACACAAGGCACATAACTTTGTCATGCATAGGCTCTATGTGTGCTGGTGTTTGTATTGCTGCTCATGCCATACATCAAATAAGGGGGAGGGGGGGTTGTGCACTCTCATAAACCATGCTGCTAGCGCAGATGCTGCGAGAGGAAGAGGCATTGTACAACCTCGACAAGGTGGAAAATATCTGGCGAACTTATCCTGTGCAAAAGTATCGTACTCGTAGTAATTGCAGTCATGCATTACAAATTTTTTTCTCAAGGTAAATCCGCATTACAAATTTTATTTCTCATGCTGAGGGAATTTATCATGCATTTATACGAGTGCGATACTTTTGCAGTTCATAGAACTGTATCCCAAGCAAAAACGTCCTCACGACCCTAGAGTTGTCGTGCAGATTTGCAATCGCAGGAGCATTTGCAAAAAATCGCACTCCTACGCGTTGTATGCGAAGCATTTTTTTCAGTCGTGTACGTGTTTTGGAAGTTGAGGAAGTTGTCATGCGTGGCTTGCGAGGTTTCTGGACTTGTGTTGCTAAATTCCCAACCTGACTCTGGAACAACGGGGACGACGTTTTTCATGAGGATAAAAGGACGAGCCGACCGACGCCGGCGCCGCGTTTTACCTTCTCGACAGAACCTTCCGGATCGCGAGAAAATCCGACGAGAACTTTCCCTTCATTCTCGCACGCCAGCTCGGCTTTGGCGCTTCCAAGGGGGAATCCGGGTTGGATACGCCGCTGACACCGAAACAACGGGTTGCGATGGAGATGAACCTGTTTCAGATGAAAAAGCTGCCGATTGAGGGGGACTTGATGGTTATGCAAGGAAAAAACTGTGTAAGTGTAACTCTCTTGGAAGAATAGCATCACAAGTTTGCTCTGCATGACGCAGAAAACCTGTCATGCGTAGCTAGTACTTGAAAACACGTACGAAAATAGCCTCTGACGCATGCCCAGCATGAGGAGTGTAACAGTTTCGCATTTTCTGCAACACAAAGTTACACTTACACAGTTTTTTTCTTGGATAATGGTGAAAGTGGAGAAGGAATTGATGTACCGGTATAGCTATGCATTGCAGAAGCATCGTACTCGTAGAAGTTGCATTTGCTTTTGCAGCGATGCATCACAAATCCTCTATGTTTGGTAAATCGACAGCATTACAGTAGAGCCCAATTTTCTTCTACTTGGCAAAGTTTGTCATGCAGTTTATACATAGTGTGATGCTTTTGCAATGCATAATAGAAATGCAGAGAAGGACATCGGGCAAATTATGAAACGGCACGAAGAAATTGCCCAGCAGTTAAGGCGGATAGAGGAAGAGGAAGTGTGGGAGAGATATGCCGACGGTATTTACATATCAGGATGATCTATTTTGAGAAATGATATGCCGACTCATGATGATCTAGCATGAGAATGACGATGTTTTGTCATGGGCGGGGATCTGCTAGAACAATTAGACTCGTCATGCGTAATATCTCGCAAATGAAATGAATTCATCGCACGCTATCAGGTCCTCCGCAACCCCGCGCGAAAGCGAAGGCGAAGGTGAAAGCCAAGGCGAAAGCGAAATCGAAAGCGGCCCTAGCCGCCGCCGCCGCAGCGAAATTGAAACAAGAACATATGGATTGCAAAAATGTCTGGGTCTGGAAAAGTGCAGGAGTTTGTCATGCATATTTTGCATGCCCCATGAGGTCTGTGATGCATGCCCTAGCATGAGAGATTTTGCGAGGGTTTTCTGATGCTCATACAGCATGAGAAATGCCCTCTCCGCGTAGCACGAATTACACCTCTTTTGCTGTTCATGCAATACAGATTTTATGTAGAAGAGTTGTCCAAAGGTTGCATCACAAGTTCCAGTCTTCCAGACCCAGACACTTTTGCATTTGATAGAACAGGAAAGGGAACTACATCAACAGCAGCTGCAACTGATGAAAAAGTCCAATGGTTCTACTTCGAACCTGTCACCTATAAGCTCCGGCGGTGTGGTTCCGCCTGGTGACCAGCCGAATCTGACCTCTTCGTCCAATCTGGTGAATGACAGCTCCGTTTCCCCCTCTTCAGAACAGGAGGTCGCGGCAAAAATGCATGCGAAACAACTACATCAACAGGTGGGTAGTAACACAACAACTTCTATCACCACTACTTCTACCGCTGCCACAAACACCTGGATTGCTGGAGCGAACATCTGGAATGGGGTCATCCCGAAACGGCCGAACGGCTACCGGCTTCGAGAAAACCGGGAGAAAAGGGAGCGGGACGGTTTGAAAAAACAGCTCATGCAGGAAAACAGTGATCTGACCAACTACATCAATTATCGGCGATTGGGGAGTCACCGGGAAATGATGGAGAAGATTTTCACGCGGATTGAAACTTTCACGAGGAAAAACACGGAGTACAACAAGTACATATCTTCCTCCAAATACTTGAAAACCCCGGCGCAGCTCGTGCTGTATTTCCTCCACCAATTTGCGGTGAAAAAACACCGAAAATCTATGAGCGATAAGGTGTACTTGTGGTGTTACGAAAAACTAGCCTATCTGAACTACAAGCCGGAGCGGGAAAAGGACTACGGCTTTGGTTCACACGAAAAGACTTACGACAATCCGAAGTCTTACTCCTGCGCTATTGCGCACGAGCTGCTGTGGCAATTTTATGTGTTGCCGTACTACGAGACGAACACGGAAAGTTTCCGGCAGCACCGAGACATCAGCAGTGCGGCTTTTGACGTGTTGAACCAAACCCGGCCGATGGACCATAACGTCGAGATCAAGCCGGCCGTGGCGCCGCGGGGATTGGTACTGCAGAAAAGACTGATAGAGCTGCAGGCCGCGGCTGCGGATCATGGTCAAGAACATGTTTTCTCCTCCTCATCGTCTCCGAACAACTCGAGCAGCAACCGGGGCGCATTGTCATCTTCGCGAGGTGGATCTTCCGGGCAGGTTGAGGACAAAAATAAAGCATCGTCCTCCGGGAAGATGAAAATGAATAGAACCAGAAGCAGCGGTAGGAACACTAAAAACGACAGGCAAGAACTACTCGCCCTCGATAAGGAACACGAGGCTGCATCAAACCTTCTACTCCCAAATAACTCTCCGGGCAACTTATTCGAGGCGGAGCACAACTACGCGCTGGAAAGCAGTCCGGAGATGAGCGACGTGATGGGTCGTCCTGATAGAAGTTGTGGTCGTGTTGAACAAATAATAGGCCGCCATCCATTCTACACGCAAGATCATGTAGTTGAAGAAGACCTGTTCAACCTAGAAGCAGGAGGGGAACTGATAGGCGGACGAGGTACAACTTCTATCGACGAATCCTACCCGATCGAGTCCATGTTTGACGTTGCGAGCCGACTGATTGAGGGCGAGCATGAGACCAAACCGGGCGGGGATAATGGAGTCAACAACACGCCTTCAGATTATGCCGGCAGCGATGTATCTGCTAGTGCAGACGAGCTGGGGCAGGACGAGGAGGAAATCAATCCCGACGACGAGGAAGATCTTGAAGAAGGAGGCTCTGCACCTCCTCCCGCGAGTAAGAGGCAGAAGGGTAACCCACGACCAGTGGGCGATGACGGTGACAACATTCCAGGGCGCGAAGAAGAAGATGTTGACGACGCACTACCGAAGGCTGATGAAGACGATGATATGCAAAAAATCGACGATTCAATCGATGACGAGCTGCAAAAAATCTACTTTCCGAATGAGGATTGCAGTAATAAAGATCACAAGCGCCGGCGCTTATCGGAGTATGTGTGGAACATGCAAAATCACAGTTCGAAGGAGATTGAGAAGCAAAACAAGAAGGCGACTAAAGAGAAGAAGAAAATGATTTCGAGAAAGGAAAAGGAAAACATCATGGAGGCAATGCGGCAGGAGGAATTGGCGAAGTGGTGGAAGATATGCAATGCAAAAGCAACATCGTACTTCTAGTATAAAGCGCATGACAAATTCTCTCGAATTTGACAAACGCAATTTGTAATGCGGGTTTCCCTTCAAAGTGCACCATGCCTACGATTGCTACGAGTGCGATGCTTTTTCAGTGCATAGCAAAAGGAGCTTGGAGATGTGGAATTCTCGAAGGTGGTCAAGGAAATCAGACTAAAACAGGAGCAACAGGAAGTAGTAGATCATGGTGGAGACTTTGACGAGCAAGCAGGCTCTGGACCTTCGCCAGTAGCAGCACGACCTGAAGTGGTAGCGCATGCGTCCTCAGCATCTGGCTCAGCATCTGCCGCTTCCTCGGCATCTGCAGGCGCGGCATTTCCTGGCAATACACACACAGCAACTACAACTTCTGGGGACCACGTGGACGTCCCAGCAGTTCCAAATATTATGAAGACCACATCCAACAAACGCCGTTCTGAGGCGGTTGCTGCGGTATCAGCTTCACGCCCGGACTCATCTCCTTTCCAGGTGGCACAACAGGTCCCTGGGTCCTCATCTGCGCTTCATTCTGCCAGTTCATCTCTACCGGTTGTACCTGCCCCGAATACTACTAAAAACCAAACTACTTCTCTATCGCAACACCAGCAGCGCCAGAATAGCAAACCCCTTGCAGCTGTAGCTGGACCAGCTTCATCCGCTACGAGCAACATTACAAACGCCCAGGAGCATCAACAACTACAACACGTAGCCCATACATCTAAGCGGAAAAAAGAGCTCACCTACGTGAAGACCGGTGGCGGGTTCATGATTCAAGATGGCGATGAGGGCGGCGTATGCATTGCAAATACGTCTGGGTCTGGAAGAGAGCAACTTGTCATGCTAAATCTGAAGCAAACGAAAATCTGTGTTGCATGATTACCAAAAGTCGTCCAGTTTTGACCAAGTCGGGAGGGAGTTTCTCCTGCAGGATATGCATGAGAGAGGTCGCACAGGATCTGTCGTGCTGGGTACTGCATTCCAGACCTGATGGGTCATGGAAAAGCTGCATGACAGATCGCGCACTCTTCCAGACCCAGACACATTTGCATGTGATACGGCGCGGGCTTCGGCCATGTCCAGGCGTACGCCTACGCCACCAAACTGCTGCACAAGCGTTCGGGAGAAAATTATGAGGAGTTTGCGGCGAAGTTTAAAGAAAATTCAGTCATGCTGGTGTCTGAGAAGGTTTTGGGAATGAAAGATGGCGCTGACGGTACTACATCTTCTTCAACCGGGAGAGCAGCTGCTGCTGCTGCGTCCTCTTCTAGCATCAAGGCAAAAACGTCGTCCGTATTGAGTGGAAGAACCGGAACAACAGCAGCTCCATTAATCCGGAGCGGCAGCGCGACCCCATCTGGCGCCGCCCAAGAAGTACCACCTGCACAGGGATCTTCGTTCCTCCCCGAGGTGAAAACGAAGCTGAAGCAGTTCACAAAGCCAAAAGTCGCGATCATCGACATTGACACCCATCACGGAAACGGAACGCAGGTGGCGCACTACAATGACGGGAACGTGCTGACCATCTCGACGCATCGTGGCCTATCAACTGTAAAAATGTCTGGGTCTGGAAGAATTCATGTTTGTCATGCTTGTCTGGCATGACTCTTAAATTTGTCACGCACGTTATCCAAGAGCTGCGTTTTTCTGTGATGCAGAAGCGCAGTTTGTCATGCAGAATAGGCAATACCTAGGAGCTCAGACACTTGTCATGCGGGGCCAGTATTTGTAGCCTCATCATGAGACGCCACCCAGCATCACAAGTTTCCAGGAGACCCAGACACTTTTACATTTGATACGGCCAGCTGAACTACGAAAACATGGGCATGGTGGCGTTTAGCGGGTCGGGCGAGGTATGCAGTGCAAAAGTATCGTACTCGTACTAATTGCGATCTTGCATGACAAGCCTACCTTTTTACCTGAATTAGCATTACAAATTCCAGCTTTCTTTCAGAAAAAATTTGTAATGCAATTTATACTAGCACGATACAATACTTTTGCAAGGCATACGAGGGGGCGGGGTACAATATCAACATCAACATGATGTTTGGTGACGGTGATTTTGCGATCGTACAGATTTTGACAAAGGTGATTCTACCCTTGCTGCGGACTTACATGCCGGACACGATCATAGTCCCGCTCGGATTCGATGCGCTGGGGGTATAGCATTTTGCTTTCTACTTCTACCTAAAAAACTTGAAACTGTTGTACCAGACCCACGAAATGGGGGTATAGGATTTTGCTTTCTAAACTTGAAACTGTACCACGAAAAAATTTGCATGCACTTAAATAGCGAATCAAAATCAACATCAAACAATGATGTACAATAATTCTGGGCGTTGTCATGTCCTTGCGACCTCCCATGTTCTAGGTGGTTCGGGGCGTTGATGTTTATACATAAATTCAAAAACTTTATTCAACAAACAGACCGGACTGGAGCAATCGTGTCCGGGGTGTGACCAGGCTTGGTCGCCCCAAGTCTACGGCACGATTATCCGGTACTTGATGTACCACTGCAAGAACGTGATTCTTTCCTCCGAGGGTGGGTACGCGTGTGAACTGATCAAAATGGCTTCGGCGGCGTGCATGCGGGCCTTGCTCGGAAACCCGTTAAAGGATATTGACGTGGACGGTGGCGCGCCGGACAACCTATCAAGTGCAAAAGTGTCTGGGTCTGGAATGTTGAAGCTTGTGATGCTAACTTTGAACTCTAAAAAAATCTGTATTGCATGATCAGCAAGAGGAGTCGAGTTTGTGCTACGCGGGGACGGCATTTGTCATGCGGAATAGGCATCAGGAAGTCCTCTAAAAATCTGTAATGCTTGGCCATGCATTACAGACGTCCTGGGTCATGCAAAATATGCATGACAAACCCGGCAACATTCCAGACCCAGACATTGTTACATTTGATACAACCAACCGCTCTGCAACTACTTGTTCGAACGGATCAAAGCGATGCAAACGACCCTGAGCTTCGCCTTCCCGCAGTGGAAGGATTCGTTCTTGTACCTCAGTAGACCGATTGAACTGGAACCAGAGCTGTTGGCGAAGATGAAGGAGTGTCACGGGGAGCATTACCGGTACGGACTAGAGCTTTTGGAGCTCGAACTATGCAATACAAATTTTCCGTACATGTACAAGATACATCACAAATTTCACCAATTTGGAGTGTAACACTTGTCATGCTAAACTAGGATCGAAGCCCAATTTTGTCATGCAGATACCGCATTTGTACTTACGTGTACGGGAAATTTACTGTCGATACGAACACCACCTCGAGAACAACCAAGCGTTGATGGCGTGCGCCGTGACCTATCAACTGCAAAAATGTCTGGGTCTGGAAGAGTCGAGACTTGTCATGCACATTTTGCATGATTCGTGAGGTCTGTGATGCTGGTACTAGCATCACAGATTTTTTGAGCAGAGCTTCTTGATGCTAATTACGCATGAGAAAAGCCCCCCTTTCCGCGTGCCAAGAACTGACTCCTCTTGCTGCTCATGCAACACAGATATTTTTAGAATCCGCAGACAGCATTACAAGTTCCACTCTTCCAGACCCAGACACTTTTGCAATCCATATGACCCGGCAGAAGTTGAAAGGCAGCGTGGACCCCCCGGCGCTGCACCGGGGTTGGAAAATCGAGGACAGAAATGTGAAGCGCCCGGTATCATTTGTAAAACCGTCCCGACATCAGCAGAGTTAAGATGGGAAATCTGCTAGACAAATCAACCAGCTTTGGTCGTTTGGCATGGCAAGTTTTTCCTTGTAGTGTAATCTTAATCCTGTTTAAGTAGTTCAGCAGCAACACAGATCTAGCCTATCATGCTGATTATAGCATCACAAATTCCAGAACATGGCTACTAGAGAATGCCTCTCATCGCGCTCCGCATGACAAACTTTTTTGGCATGCAGATTTGCCTGACAACTCTGCGGTAGGGACGTTTTTACTCAGGATAGCCGGCGTGCCGGATTCACGACCCGCGGCTGACAATCGCGGAAAAGAAGAATATGAAGGCGATGGAGTCGGCTTTGTTGCAACAGTGGCTGGAACACTACTCTCTACCGGAGGAGTATCGTGAGAAAAAACTGTTTCACTGTAAGGATTTTGCAAGTTTTGTATGACAAATTTGTTACACATGGCAAAGAAAACTTGCCATGCGTACTTCGCAATGGAAAACACACTGAAAAAGCCAATGTCTTGCATGTATAGCAAGACAAACGCGTTTGCGTTCCATTTTATGCATCACAAGTTTACAGTGAAGCAGTTTTTTCTTGCGATAAGGAGTGGCAGGAGCGCTTTTCGAAACAGGACGAGGTGCGGATGAGAATTGCCCGGGAAAGATTGGTATCCACTGCAAACTAATAAATATGTCTGCGTCTGGAACTTGTCAATGTCATGCCAAGTCTAGATCGTACACAAGTATGTGTTCTTGCGTGAACGCCAAAGAAAAGTCCGTCACAACTCCCGATACAAAGGGCGAATCTCTCATGCGGAAAGAGCTTCGTAATTAAATTACGAAGCTCTTCCGTAGTATGTGACGCGCTTTCGTGCATTCGCATTCCAGACGACCACCATCTACTGTGTGATAGATCCTAGTCCTACAGATGATGCGTGACAATCTTCCAGACCCAGACATGGTATTTGCGAATGCATAATTGGAGGAGGAGCAGTTTCTGCGCGAGCAGCAGGAGAGACAAAAGATGGAGCAGGAACTATCCTGTGTAAAAACGTCCCCACACCAGAGTCAACATGGGGAATGTGCTAGACAAATCACACAGCTTTGGTTGTTTGGCATGACAAATTTGGACGCGTAGTGTGGTGCTGTTTGAGCTAGTTCAGCAGCATTACAGATCTAGTATCTCATGCTGATTGGAGCATGACAAATGTCAAAACCACATTAGAGAATGCTTCTCATGGGGCTCCGCATGAGAAAAATTCTAAGCATGCAGAGTTGCATGACAACTATGGTGTGGGGACGTTTTTACACAGGATAGGAACGGCAGGAAAAGGAAAAACAGGCTGCACTTGCTCTCGAGCAGGAAATGAAACAGCAGCAGGCCGCGATGAAACAGAATACAACCGCATATGAAAGCCTCAGAATGGAAATCCTCCAAAGGGAAATGGTTTGTGATGCATGAAATGCGACGCAAAAAAGACTGTATTGCAGAGGACGCAATGGAGGCTGACTATTGTCCTGCTAGGGGTGAATAATTGGAGTGCTGCTTAGCACGACAGAAGGGCACCCCCTTGCCTTAACCTGCATGACAAACATGCTGTAAGTGCCCGGGAAATTTGTCATGCGCCTACTACAAATGCCGCTTCAACTGGAGTCGTTTTTTTGCATTACAAAGCATTTCCACTCTGAGGATTTCCAACCTGAGGCTGGCATACCGCAGCTTCTTCTTCGAACAACGCCAAGGCGCCAGCGAAGAAACCGTCTAGTAGCATCAATAAAGCTATAAAATGCAAAAATGTCTGGGTCTGGAAGAGTGCATCTGCATGTTTGTCATGCTTCTCCGGCATGACTTTTAAATCTGTCATGCACGTTACCCAAGAGCCCCACTTTTCTGTCATGCAGAAACGCAGTCTGTCATGCAGAGTAGGCAACACCACCTAGAAGCTCAGAAACTTGTCATGCTGAGCCAGCACTTGTGGCCTCCTCTTGATACGCCGCCCAGCATCACAAGTTTCCAGACCCAGACACTTTTGCATTTGATAAAAGCCTCCCGTGCTGTGGTCCAGCAAACGCCGGCCGCGAATAGACAGAAGGCCGGGGGTCTGCTCCACAAAAACCTCCGTGCCGGGATCACTAACACCGCTAGCCGTGCGAAGCCGAGCGCATCGAAAGTGGCATCATCTTCATCTGCTGGCGCTGGTGTGATTAAAGCTGGTGGTGGTGGTACTTCTAAACAAGCAGGCTCGCGCTCCACTTCAGTGGCCAAGGCCGGCGCCCCGACCTCATCTACAACTTCTGTTGTAGCTGCGGGTAAGAAAAGTACTGTGTCGTCACCAGGACGAGGACGAGGAGGTGCGCAACCCCAGTCCCGTGGAGGTGCAGCTGTGTCCTCGTCGAGTAGCAGCAGCTCGAATAGCGCAGGAGCCTCCTCCTCCTCGGCAGCGAATGGAAATGAAAATGCGAAGCCAACTGTGGTATTAACGGGTGGGAAAAAGCAGGGAAAAATTGATTCATCTCAAGGTAGTCAGCAGCAGTTGCAGATGAACAAGAAACCGTTAACTAGTCCAGCGAGAGCCGCGAGGGGAAACAGCAAAAACGCCCCGAAGAGGTGACCTTGACGAGGAGTAAAAAGCTCGTATAATTATTTCTGCGAAATAAATAAAATTCATTTCACGCATTCGAACAACGTAGTCATCTAGGGCAAACTAACCATCGCGATTATATGATCCACCAGGTATATTTATAATTCTGTCTTTTTCTTCGTACGGTATGGTCCACCTCCGCGCTTCAGCAACAAAAGACGATAAAGTAGTACAGTTGGACCCTCCTTTAACACTAGTTTTAGATTTATTAAGCGTTCCATCTAATCTACTTTACCACCCTTGGAATTGATATTGATGTCAAGAGCACCACCAGCATCGATAGACCTATCTTTTGGATATATTTACATTTACTTTCTTGTCAGCAGTGGCGCTTCCGCCGCAGCGTGTGGTTAAGTAAGGAAGTCACGCATAGTACGGATACTTAGTGCAAGCGTTTTCTTACAGGCAAAATTACCGATTAGTACGGATACAACTTTTTTAGCATTAGCTCGCTATATCAGGAGACCTTTTAATACTTGAAGGTCATTTCATCTGAAAAAAAGCGAAATCCTTGGCACAAGAAGAAACAGAGATGTATATGCAATTTTACTGCTGACTCATACTCATTTTGCACGACGAGCTGAAAAACTTTTGGTCGTGCATCACAAGTTCCATTTTTTTCCCGACCCAAGCATATTTGCAACGCATATTCCCTGCCTCCAGCCGTCAGGGAAAAATACCTAACAAGAAGCAGTATAAAGAACTAGATATAACTCGTATGTTTTTGACGCTTTTCAATGATCGTTAATATTGTTTTTTTTCTCTAAAATGACCTACGCACTTTGCGACGACTTTTATCATTTTTTTTTGCATCCAAACGACAACGAGGAAAAGAACTATGAGTATAAAGTAAAAGGGACCGCGTTGCTTGTGTTTGTCAGCTCCAGCATCCCAATAGTATCTAGAAATGATTTTGAAAGCGCTGTGTGCTATGATCTCTCTTCTCGTCGTAATAGAGTTGATGGCACATTGCGCAAACAATGCTAATCCTAGTCACTCATCGAATCCTAGTCGCGTCACGGCTATGGAAAAACTCAAGCCAACTTCATTTTGAAGACAATATTTTTTCTGCGAAATGAACGACATTTAGAAGTAACAGTAAGCACGACACGAAAGAAAATATAAAAATAGCTCCTCCTGCGTCGGTAATTTTTGACAACAACAATGTAGAAGACCGCGGCCCCTGCCTTTCATACTCTTACACTTATTCCCCCCTGGGTATTGAGTAGAGAAAGAGCTGGCACAGAGCGGAATAAACGCAAGGAGGTGCTAGAGGAAATGACAATACAAAGTTTCGAAGAAGATGCTGCCAATGCATCGAGTATGCATTTTTCATTTTTACGTGCTGCACTTTGCGCCGTAGGATTTTCTCGCACAAATTTTCGACCCAGTTTTGAAATGAAAAAAATCCAAAAAAAATATAATTAAGAAGTCTCGGAGTTCTTTGTTCTTACACATCTGTTGCGCGAAATTTCATTTGACAACACAAGCCTGTCCGGCAAGGGGAAGAAAACTTCCAAGAGCCGCGCGGAGAGCAACATAAGGGATCAAAAACACGCATTAGATTAAACGAGGATCGTCTTATCTAGCTCTACCTGATCCTGATCAATAAATCGTGGCGCTCGACATCACAGTGATCCACGACCTTCTCGCGATGAAAATGAAAGAGTGAGCAAAATCGAAAAGGAAGGATCACGACCTGTAGTAGTTGCACACCTGAACGAACAATCTTCATGTGCTTCTACATAATAATATTACTCGTCTCAGGCACGAGCACGACGGGGACGGTCCTGCGCAAAATTGGCGAAAGAAGATCATATTTATCGAGGTGCAGTAGTCAACTTCTCGCACCGCCAAGCCTAGCGCGGACCTTGATCCGAGTCAGGTGTAGAGAACGGAGGTGATCAGCGAACGAGTAAAAAAAGATCAGAATGGACCGCCTGGCATCGTGGTTCCGGCGAGCATGGTAGCAGTCTACGGAGGACGATCATCGCATATCCATATTAACGATCATCGAATAGTGAAAAACTCTTCCTGCAGCTACACACACAAAATTTTAATGCTCAACATCCTGCCGCTCTGAAAAAAGAAAACGCGCGTTGCTTTCATTTTTTTTTTTTTACAGGGTACTAGACGCGTGCTACGCTGCTGAACTTTTGCTCCCTAGCCTAAGTTAAGTAAACAAAGCTAAGCTCTACACTTGCACCACCTACAGACTGAATAAAAGAGGGGACGATCGCTCGACTCTAAGTAGTAAAATTTTCGCAGTCCTCGTTAACTTTTGACGAACAGCACAGCTAAGTATTTTTCTTAATATAGAAGACAGATAGGTATTTTTCTTGACGAGGCACCATCGCCAACCCTACCTTTCTAGCATCAAAGCGCACACGATGATGTCTGTGCGATCGCGGCTGCTCTTCGGCATTTTCTGTCTCACTGGCCCGTCCCTTGCCGCGGTTGCGGGTCCTCTTGACCTTGATGATCCTGTAGTGGCCCATGTTTGTTCCTTTCTGGCAGAATTTCCGCTGCACGCCATTTTTGACGCCGTGTTGACCGGACCACCGGCATCGGGCCGGGGACCATCGGCATCGGGAAACAACTGGCTAACTTTAGCAAAGGACCGAGAACTCTATGAAAAGGGTGAGCGTCTGAAGGAACACTCCTGGAAACGGTTTTGCCACCTGCTGCTCTACCCCGGTCAGCAGGCAGGCCCCATTCGCGGTGCTAGTCGCCTCTTTCGCGGTTCTGTGGTCGCGAGCACCCTCCCGGAGATGGGTTTCGCGACACAGTTGTTATCCTACGTCGAGCCCGAGAACTTGAGGACCAACGCGGACAGCAGGACGAAGATAAACTACAAAAAACCAGCGCAGACCCTAGATGACAGCTTTCGGTATTTTCTGCATCTCCTGGAAAACGCACTGCGCGAGCCAGGGCCGCAAGCGCAGCCGTTATTTATCCAGCCGTCTGTCGAGCCGCTTCGTCCCCGATGGAATCCTGCATACGCTTATCCACGTGTCCGGCCGCCGGGGTACAACATTGACGATGTTGACCCGATGAACAACGTGTTTCTTCTGCTCGACCTTCCGGGCCGGAGATATGGCGACGGCTTCGGTCGGTTTCGCATATTCACAAAGCGTGTGCGGCTTTCGCACGAGGACTTGGACAAGCTAGCAGGCTGGAAATTATCAAGTGCAAAAATGTCTGGGTCTGGAAGAATGCATGTTTGTCATGCTTGTCTGGCATGACTCTTAAATCTGTCAGGCACGTTACTTACACAAGAGCTCCATTTTTCTGTGATGCAGGAACGCAGTTTGTCATGCAGAATAGGCAACACCTAGAAGCTCAGAAACTTATCATGCTGAGCCAGCATTTGTGGCCTCATCTTGAGACGCCACCCAGCATCACAAGTTTCCAGACCCGGACACTTTTACATCTGATAGAAATGGAATGAGGACAACATAGTGCTTCTTCCCAGTGCTCCGAGCCTCGTCGTGTATCACACAGAAAAAAGCTGACAGGGCATATTTGTAATGCAAAAATAAACACACGCAGATCAGAAACTTGTCACGGGTTGCCCCATAGCATGCTGCTTCCGATATGCAATACAGGTTTTTTTGTGTATTTAGTTTTGCATTACAAATGTGCCCTGCCAGCTTTTTTCTGTGTGATATCGTGTGTGGAAGAATCAGGGGTGGTGGTCCGGGTCAGGAGAACCTGTTCTCTCTCGCATTGGACATACAGCAACGGACAAACCAGGCGACCTGGTCTTGTTGACCTGTCTCGATCTGGTCCTGGTGGTTTCTCCTACTTTGGAGTGCCGTTCTACGCCGTTCATCTACCGCCCGTAGCTCTGTGCAAACGAGATGTAAAAAGAAGCACTACAGCACGACAAAGATCGACGCGCTGCAAAGGTAAAGGAGTAGAAGAAATTACAATTAGCTCTCACGAAAGTGTATTAAAATTGGAAACGTTTTAGCTTTACAACCTGCGTTTATTTCTATGGTTTTGGTCATTACTCGTAGGATTTTTAAGTAGGTACTGCATTAATATGACTTAGCGGGCTCTGGATGGAAAGTCTTGCTTTACAGAGGTTCTATAGGATTATAATGCTAAAAACGTTACGAGTGTTTTTTCGAATTGTAATGTCAGTGAGGATGTTTATGGTTGACGTGTAAGATGCAATTTTTAGAACAGCAACGCAAGCGAAAGGAAAAGTGTGATGCTAAAAGTTTTTTCGAAAGGTAATGCAAGAAGAAAAAGAAGGACTGAAAGTAACTGAAATCTACGAAGCTTAAGGAAACCACTACAGTAGCACCACCCTGATTTCGTTATGATCACGGGCCGGGGTTTCAAAAAAACATCGATCAAAAAGTCGAAGGCATTTTTTACGACCCGGATCCGTGATCAACAAGATTGACTTTTTTTGAAATTCGCATGACAGATCGAGACATAAGAAGTTCATTGGCAAAAGTGCGCTTTTCATGCTGATCAAAAAGTCGAGTGGTGATAGAAGAATTTAGTGCTGTGAAGTTTAGAAAGTTGAAACAAATCTGCGCTGCGGGGCAGATAGACGCTGTCGCACCACACAACCCAACTTCACCTCCGCAGACTTTTGTCTTGAAAAACAAGTATACTTTTCTCTTGGGGCTCGAGCTTTGCAGCCCAGCTCGCTGCAGTCGTGCCACGCGTCGGCAAAAGTTTTGCACAGCGCCGCGGCCCTCTTGTTCACCGGATTGTGTAGTACGTTGCAGCTCGATGTTGAAGAGTAGATTGAACGATTGGATGAGTGTTTTCGCACCTTGGTCCTATTGGCATGCAGGATGCAAGTCCCTGCTCGTCCTCGACGTGACTTTTACATGTGCACCCAACCATGTCTCTTTTGAAGTCCTCCATCGATCGAGCGATTTGGCCCGCAGCAACACTTTGAGTTTTTCGTCGTGGCCCTCTATCGTGATAGAGAGAGGTGAGAGAGCAGGAGTGATGTTCGTTCTTGTGTAGAAGTTCGGTTTCTTTGTCGTTTGTCGATGTCGACGAGAGCCAGGCGGGTCCACCTGTTGACTGTCGCCGGATGGAAGGCACTAGCGCTAGCCTCGTCTTTTGAATCAGAGTTGGAGTCGTGTCTTCTATGCGATCATCGACAGTAGTTTTGGCTTTTCTTTCTGAATCTGTATCGCGACTACAAAAATCGAAATGTCTCTTTTCCCCGCACCTCGTTGCGTGACGACCGCAGGCACACCGACAAGCAGCACCCTCCACGCCGCGCCACCTGGTGCTTCGAACCAGCCCTCCCGGTGCGCCAGCGTCTCCACGCAACGGCCGACTTCCGGAGTCGTAAGCCAATTTGCGTCTGGCCAGTCCAGGAGCACCACGCCGATTCTCAGTACTACGACCACGCCGAGTATGCAATACAAACTATTTCGATTTCCTGTAGTACATGTACAAAATGCATCACAAATTTCACCAACTTGGAGCATGCCGCTAGTCATGCTGACTAGAATTATTACAACAAAATCTTGTCATGCAGGGACCGCATTATTTGTTTTTGTACATGTTTGTACAGGAAATTTACTGTGGATACCGATCCAGCTGTACCAGACGAGGAGCCCGCTGTTGGTGGCGAGGGAGCATGTCGGTAACGGAATCGCCGGAGGAGGCAGCAGCAGCAGCAGTTCCAGTCATGCCGGAGGAGCGAGGGTATTCTCATACGAAGAAGATAAATCATCGTTTGTCGTGCTATGAAAAAAATGATAGATCAAGGTAGTGAGAGTGACGCAGATCATAAAGTAAACCTCTCTTCATCCCTTTCTGAATCTGATTCTGCATGACAGATTCACCACAAAAAAAAAAAAACCAGCTCCACTCTGCTACCCTGTACCAGAACACGTCTGCGTCCGCGATGACTTCTACTACAGTAGGAGGCCACGGGGCAACAGCAGGCACCTCCTTGCAGCAACCACCTGGCGCTGGAGGTGTGTCTGTGAAAATCCCCTATCCTGTGCAAAAGTATCGCACTCGTATTGCAATCATGCATTACAAATCTTTTTCTCAAGGTAAATTCGCAGTACAAATTTTATTTCTCATGCTGAGGAAATTTGTAATGCATTTATACGAATACGATACTTTTGCAGTTCATATCCCCACCCCGACTACCACGACGCAGCCACGGTTGCTCGGAACTACAACTCCTGCCATCAACGTGGTTCCGTTTGCGGCCACAAGCGCGACTGCTGGAGGACTGGCCGGACACCCGATTGGCACTGCAGGGGCAGGGGCAGGGGCTGGTGGTACTATTACATCAACCACTTCGAGTTTAAACTTCCAACCGGGAGCGCTTGTTTCTGCTGCTCTGGGAGGTGGTGCTGGTACAACTAACAACTACCTGACGACCGGTGGAGGTGTAGTTCCCCGTAGCACAACAAACTCTGCTAGTTCATCCTCTGCTTCCCGCCAGCTGCAACCGAAGATGAATAAGCAGGAACGACAGAAACTTCGGGAGCAAAATTGGTGGTGGATGGAGCAGGTGAAAACCAAATCGACGACAAACAGCAATGAAGATCACGGGCCTGCTGCTTTTCCTGATTCATCTGGGTTCCAGCAGCATCAGCAGCCGCAAATACTAGCCGACACATCGTCTAGTTGTACTTCCGCAACATCTGGCGTGAACCACTTCGCCTTGGCCCAGCTGAAGAACATCGGTGCTATGGTGGAGAAGGCCAGTTCCCTGGTGATCCAACAGAGTGCGCAAATCTTACAAAAACAAGAAGTCCTGTATCCACCGTTGAATGAGAAAGACCATGATTCATCTGTGGTGAGTCAACTGAAGCGCGACTCGCAGTCTTCTGGGGACGGAGATGAAAACACCAGTTCTAGGACGACGGATCAGGTTCTCGATCAGGAGCAAAGAAGAAACAGCGGAAGTTCTAGCTTCTCGACAGGAATGACAAACAACAACTCGAAAGCGCTGCTGCAGTTGCCAACAAAGATCCCCAGTCCGCTGAAGCAACGGCCGAGGAACAACTCGAACGCACACAGTCTGATGTTTCAGCCGAAACAGCGAACAAGAGCCAACACGGCGGATAGTGACGAGTTGAAGCCGAGCAAGCTGCGGACGCCCAGGGTAGAAGTGAGGAAGAATGTGCTGAATGGAGGCGGTGGAACCAGCAAGCAGGGTCAAAATACCACTGGTTTGCAGTCCAAGTCAACCACAGTGGAGGAGGATAGTGCTACTGCTACTGCTGCTGGTTACAAGAACATCCAGACGTCGTCGCTCCACAGCGCCAGCAACAGCGTCTCCATCAGCCTTGTGGAGCCCCCGATGCACAATAGCATTGCAAGTTCCTGTGGACCTTCAAACAACAGCAGTCTCGTATGAAGTGCAAACGCATCGTACTAGTATAAATCGCAATACAAATAATTAGCTCAGCATTACAAATTAAGTTTCTAAATGCGGATTTACCTTAACAAGTGGATTTGTGATGCATAAGTGCGATTACTACGAGTACGATACTTTCGCACAGGATACCTCGTTGGAGCGAGTAATTCCATGCACACGAGATTCGGGAATCGCTTCACACCAGCGAATCTCAGCACTGCTACAAATTCCTCGAGTTTCGGTGTGGTTGGGCAGCTGCCAACTGGTCTTTCCGCCGATGCAGCAGGAGGCGGCGCTGCATCTTCGATCGGTACAACAGAACATCAATATAATTCCGTCCTGCAGAACCAGCATGAGAAACTGCAAGAAAAATACAACCAACTGAAACAGCTCGCTTTCTCGCGGAAAAGGGAATTGAAAGAACAGAAAAAGAAGTTCGAATCCTTTTCCAACTGGCGTCTGGTGATTACTCGAGACAAGGATATCTCCTCCAGATTCGGATTGGGCAGTACGAACGAAATCGAACAGGAGGGCGGCGTGCGGATTGAGACGAGCAAGCACGTTCTGGTGCTGAGTACTTCTTCTTCTTCTTGCTCGAAAAGTGGTGCGGGAGCAGCTGGAAATAATGCGAGAAGCAGAAACAGTGCGGGAAGCAAGAAGCAGCTGCTGATTGTACAGCGGTGAAGATGAGACCGGACTTCTGAATTATTCTCGAAATAACTACTTACGCCTGCTCGTGGCACAACACGATCTTCGAAGAACTTCATCAGGCCCACCAGCACGTCCGCCCAATTTCTTGTGTGTAATAAGATAGCCGCTTCCTCCAACTGAGCTTGAATAACCACCCCTGCACTTCTCCAATTTATGGATATGGACTGACTGCTGCTACTTCTCCTAGGACTACGCGCTAGCTTACAACTTTTACTTTCGAATGTAACTATATCCAGCCTGCACCCAAAATTTGTAATCCCACCGACTTTATTCGTATTCGTTTCTTTTAGCGTGAATAAAAAGATGAATGTTGCCGATATCAGCAAGAACGACCCGCTGCAGATGAGCCTGAGGCTGACGAGCACGAGAGCTTAAAAATACTTTACAGTACCAAAACTTCTGTCACCAGAATTGAATTCGAATGCTCGGTAATCTACTTATCCCCGCAAATACACTCCATCAGTATGTGTTTTGTCGTAACTCCGCGTTGGCTGTTGTTCTGCAATACCAGTATTATGCTTCCGTACCTCTTTCCATTCGGTGAAAACAAACCTACAACCAGATTTCGGTTTTGTGTGGGTCTTCTACCTGTAGTACTTACTTACTGACTTACCCGCACGGCAGAAAAAGAGCCGGCTGCAGACAACATGATCGGTTTTGCTTGACATCAGACAACATGATCGGTTTTGCTTGGTGTTGAGTGCTTCTTCTTCCTTGAAAAGTGGGCCTGCTGGGAAGAACAACGCGAGAAACCGAAACAGTACGGGAGACAAGAAGCAACTGCTGATTGTGCAGAGGTGAAGATGAGACCCGACTTCTCAATGCGAAGACTTCTGCGCCGGCCTTCCAATACTATAATACTAGTACTACCTTCCAATACAATAAATACTACGCCTCGCGACAACACCTTCGAACTTTGTCGGGCCCACCACTTCCGTCCAATTAATTTCTTGTGTGCAAATATAGTCTGCTTCCTCAACCTGAGTTCCACAAACGACAGCCACTGCACTGCACTTATGCGCTGCCTCTGCTTCTGCAAGAAGTAGAAGAACTACGACTACTTTACAACTTGCGCATTTAACCGTATCTAGCCTGTGCCTCGTGAACCCAAAATTATTTTATTTCTCCGACTTTTGTATTCGTTCCACCGCGAAGAAAAACAAAAAATATTGCCCAATGATTTGCAGATGAGCTTGAGTACGTGTACGAGAGCTTTATACGAAATTTTCTGCCACCAGAAACAGAATTCGAATGATCGGTCGGTATTCCCGCCGGCGCCAATACCACATCAGTATGTGTTTTCGAGCACTTGCGCGTTGTCTGTTCCGCAATGCAATCATGCTTGCGTAAGTGCCCCTGTGGTACATTCGGTGATACTCACAAAACAGATTCGGCTTTTTCTGTACAGACCTTGTTGAGCTAGCACCGCACCACCAAAAAGAGTCGGCTGCAGACAACATGATCGGTTTTGCTTGACAGACTCCCGAGTTTCGGTCTGCCGCGTCTCCGAACTCCGCGACTCGTCCTCGGTATAATTGCGATAATTGAAGTGTAGTGCAGCTGCACTTTCACTTTACATACTCACCTCGGTAAAATTGGTCCTCACACTCGGCGCTTTTACATAAAGATGAAATACTAGTGTAGAAGTTTATTTCGGTGGCTGGCATACACGACTCTACTGGCCGTCTGTTTGAAGATGAAAGCCGATATCATGCTCTATCCGCTGGAAAATTTGTAATGGATTTTCCCCCTTCACAACTAAAACAGCTACAACTCTCGGGAAGTTTGGGAAACCTCGTAAGAGGCAACCCGTTGTAGTCTTGGACAAAACTACTCAAGCACTTTTCGCATCACAAAGTTTAAAATACGCAAAGACGACCTATCGCTCAACTATACCAAGTTAAATTTCATTTGTAGTACCGGCGCAAAAAAAACATCCAAATTTCCAATTTCATCCAAAATTCCCATTATTTAAACCGTCTTTGATGTCTTTCATCCTCTTCTATTCTTGCTAAAAAAAGAACAATACCATGCCGTTCGACGTGAGCAAAATGGAGGCCAAGCCTCAGCTGAACCATGTCCAGGGCGCCTACGACTATTCCCTCCAGGTAATCAACCAAGCGCTCGTCTACATGTGCTCGGCGACGGTGACCATAAACGCGCAGAAAGACAATAACAATCCGAAAAGCAAGGATCCTAAATCGAAGGAGAAGGAACTAACCTTGACCCAAACGACACTGCTCTTCGAGGCGGTTTTGACAGAATTTTCCCAACTCTCGAAGTTGTTGCAGTCCACCGCCTATGCACTGAAAAAGTAGTACTCGTGGTACTAATTGCAGTTGCAGACATGCATGACAAATCGCCTTCTTTACCTAAAACAGCATTACAAATTTCATCTGTCATGCTGAGGAAATTTGTATATGCAATTTATACTAGTACGATGCTTTTGCAGTTCATACCGCCCACAAGAAGTACGATGGGCAGACGGCGACCAATATGGCTCACCATGCGGCGAAGAATGTCCGGGGTGAGACGCAGGCCATGAAGAACCAGCGGGCGACCAAGTACGTGGAGTCCCAGCCGACAAGATTATGCATTGCAAAACCAAAAGTGTCGTACTGTCGTACTCGCATGACAAATTTCCTCAGCATTTTTAGGAACGGAATTTGTAATGCGGATTTAACTTGACAAAGAAATGTGTCATGCATAAATGCGATTAGTACAACGATAGTTTTGCAATGCATGAAGGTTGGAGCACAACAACTTCTTCGAGCGATCCGATTTCTACCGCTACACCCGGATCGTCGCGGTGCTGACGCTTGTTTCCGAATTGGCCCGAAAATGCACGAACAAGACCGCGATCGGAATCCGGGCGCTGGCGCGGGACCAACGGATCTTAACCTGCGCGGAGGAAATGCTGAAGTTGCGGGAAAGGTTGGTGTTGACCGGCGACGGCAGTCCGGAAGAGATTTTGAACCTTTTGAAGCAGAAGGAAAAGTCCCAAATTGCCAAGTTGAAGGTAGAAATCGATAAAGGGGTCGGGGATAAGATCAACGACGACCAGGCTACTGCACTCGGCATGACCTTGATCGGTCTCGGGCAGATGCCAAATTCCCTGAAGCAGTTCGGCGCACAGCAGGCGAAGAACGACCCAAGGGGGGGTACGCCGCCGCCAGAAGAGCCGAAGAGCGGTTCAATCCCGGTCGATGAACCTCTCAAGATCAATGTGGTTCTGCTCCTCGGTCCCCCGGCCAGTGGCAAGGGTAGTATCACGCCACACATCACTGACACGTTCGGGGAGAAAAACTGTTTCCACATTTCCACCGGTGATTTACTCCGGAACGCCGTCGCCGCGAAGACGGAGCTCGGTGCGGTTGCCGGGAAATTGATGCAGGAGGGAAAACTAGTACCGGACGATTTGTGCACCAATCTCGTGACCGACCACTTGCAGAAAAAGGTCTTGAGCGCCCCAGCTTTCCGCGGCAACAACGGCGGGAAACCGGTGTTTCTGATCTTTGACGGCTACCCGCGGACCGCGAATCAGGCGAAGTTATTGTTGGAGAACTGCCTGATTCCGAATAACTTATCCCGCGCGGCGTCGCTCCGTTCCTCAGCGGAAAAACAGACGAATGTGCGAAACTTTGTTCTGACGTTGGATGTGCCTGACAAAGTTCTGGAAGAGAGGATCGCGGGCAGATGGATTCACAAAGAATCGGGGCGGAGTTACCATGTGAAATTCAAACCCCCGCAGAGTTACTTCCGCGCTTGTCGGGAGGCGCAGAAGAGCGTGCCAGCGACGGCTGCGAACATGTATGGATTTTTGTGTTTTCATCTGATTTATGCATCTGACAAATTGATACAGATACGGATGCCTCATGTAGCCGCTTTCCACATGACAAAAGTTTCGATTTTTTTAAACTTCTCCTCTTCTATCAGGCTCGACGATATCACAAAGGAGCCTCTGTACCAGCGCGCGGACGATACCATTGAGGCTCTCCAAACTCGGCTAAAATCCTACCACGAAGTGACCAAAACCCCGATTCTGGATTACTACGGCTCCTTTCTCCACTGGGAGGTCCACCCCTCGATCGACGCGAACCGGCCTGTCGTGGAGGTCCAACAGGAGGTGATCGAGATTTTGCAGGGAGATTTTAAGGAGAACTCCTACGCGGCTTTCAAAAATCGGAAGAAAGAGCTCGCGAGAGTGCAGTCCGCGACGTTTGACGCGCAGCCGAAGCAGGTGATTCCCCCGGGGCGGGCGGCAGTGAATCTCGGAAAAATGAAGGCGGTGGTGCGGTTTTTGCAACTCGTATCGAAAGAGAAATTTGATATTTGACGTTGTCCCGTAGTACAACATCAACACGATCAACACGTAAGTACACGTGGTGCAAATGGTGCGGTTTTCGTCCTCGCATTTCTTGACATCAAAATTTATGTCGCTGAAATCTGCTCTGCATGACAGACAAGCTATGCTTCTATGCCCTAAGTTGGAAGTTGTGGCGAAAGTTCTTGGGGTGCAAATTTTGCTCGTATTACGTGTGCGGGACAAGATCAAGAAGAAGATTTGTGTTGCATAACTCACGAAGAAAAGCAAGGCGTCGCAGGACGATCCGTTAGCGGAGGACGATCCGCTTGCTGAGCCGGAGCCATATCAAAATGAAAAATCCCCCCTCCCTATATCAAATTTGAAATCTGTGATGCAGGATTTGCGTACACAAATCCGCTCTGTCTTGCAGTGGAGGACTGCACGCAGATGCCAAGCCTGAGCTGGGCCCTCTCGTTGTTGGCGCCTAGCAACGGCGATTTATCCTCTGCACGCCATACAGCATTACAAATTGCCCGCAAAACCCGGCGGAGTCTGTGGCTTTCCTTCTTGCAATACAGAGACGATTTGTGTCCGCAAATCAGCGTCGCAAATTTGTAGAAGTATGTCGCTTCAGAAGTATGGGGAGAGGGGATTTTTCCTTTTGATAAGCCAGTTGTATTCACCGAGGAAGAGCGCAAGGAGAGTGACAAGCTGGAGATGTACAAAGACGAAACCAAGGAAGACCGAACTTTGCGCCACGCGGAGGAGGACCGCTTGCAGATTCTTCGTGCGCAGGCGGAAAAACTGGGGTACTACCGAAATTTTGTGATTCCCCCGAAAACCGGGCAAACTTCCTTGCAGCGGTACGAGGAAGAGCAGAAGTTGCGCAAGTGGCTTCTGGAAAATGCTCCGGCGAACTACAACTTCAAAATCGACAAGCAGGCCATGAGCAGTCTAGAGAGGCTCCAGGAGGCAAGGAGGTTGGAAGAGTTGAAGAAGTCACAGCGAAAAGCGAATTTCACAATCAACAAAGACCAACAAATGTCGTCGCTCCGCCGGCTGGAAGAGCAGGAGAGAGAGCGGAAGGAACAGCTGGCGCAACGGCAGACGCCGAATTTTTTACTGAGCATGAATAAGAACAAGAAGAACAGCAATCCGAATTCGGGGCTAACTTCGGAAGAGCAAGCGATGTTGAAAAACATCCGGTCGGCGCCGACGCCGGACAAGCAGCCTGGGTTATGGGGTTCTCAACTGTTACATTTTCATTCAACTGTTACATGAATTTGTCATGCAAAAACCCTATCACTCTTCATGCGATCAAGCCTTCTCAGCATGACAACTTCTCGACGCGCTAAATAGGACTAGAATCCGTCCCAAACCTGTAATGCAGAAGGCGCAGTCTTCCTCCGATCACTTTTGCAATTTCTGCATTACAAATTCATGGAACACTTCCTTGAGCATGTAACACTTGAGAGCGCCATATTTGTTTTTCCTGACTTCGGGCACGAATCCCCACGGGGTCGCGGCGAACGCAGAGTACAAGTCTGTATGCATTGCAAAAGCTATCATTCTAGTATGAATTGCATCACAAATTTCCTTAGCATGAGAAATAAAATTTGTAATGCGGGTCTACCTTGAGAACAAGATTTGTAATGCATCATGACTGCAATTACTACAAGCGCGATACAGCTTTTGCAGTGCATAATCGGCCAAGTACGACAAAACGAAGCAGTTCGTGAAGAACCCCATCACCGGAGCCTGGGAAGCCCAAGCCTTGTCGTCGGCGGAGCAAAAAATCGCAAGGGCGAGTGCCAGCACGAGCCAAGTCGTGGGGTCAAGCGCGCGGGGTGACTACATCGACCCGAACGCGTCTTTGCGGGGGAAACGGGGACGGTATGTCGAGAACCCCTTGACGGGGGAGTGGACGTTTGTGGAGGAAACTATGCATTGCAAAAGTATCGTAATCGTACTCGTATAAGTGCATTACGGCATGTTGAGAAATGAAATTTGTCATGCGGGTTTACCTTAAGAAAAAAATTTGTAATGCATCACTGCAATTACTACGAATGCGATACTTTTGCACAGGATAGAAACGATCCAGGAGCAACTGCTCAGAGAGGAAAGGGAGAAGCAGATCTATGAGCAGGAGCAGAAATACGTCCAAAGCATGCGGGAAGCCCACCCGTCGCGGATCATTCTATGACAGTGCACAACCCCCCCTCCCCCTTATTTGTCATGCAAAACCCCAAACCCAAATGCTCCCTTGTGGCACTGTTTGCATCACAGATTCCGCAATCTTCCCAAATAGTACTACACTAGGCGCATGAGTTTGTCATGCACAGGCTCCACGTGTGGTGCTGTTTGTATTGCTGTTCATGCAATACAAATGAGAAAGAGGGGGAGTTGTGCACTCTCATACATTCCCTCGATCGTGCAGAAATCTTTACCCAACTACAGCTACATGAATCAGTACGGCCGCACCAGTGCAGCCATGATGGCGGATGCGCCGGCTGTATCCACAATAAATTTGCCGTACGCGTACAAATGCAGTTGCTGTATGACAAAACTTGCCTTGAATCCCAGTCAGCATGACAAGTTTGACAGAGCTAGCGAAATTTGTCATGCACTTTGTACATGTACGGGAAATTTGTATTGCATAGTCTGGCGCGGTGGCCGACGAGGAGCCGCGGTTTGGGGGGGATAACGAAGTAGAACCAGCAGTGGTTGATCACGCGGCGGAGGAGAGCGAAGTGAATAAGCAATTTCAGGAACAAAACCACACGTTTGACGACAAAACAGTGAAAAGCACGTTACAAAAGCAACTCTCCTTCGGAAACGCCGCCCCTGCCTCTACCGCGCCGCAGGCCCAAAAGCCCCCCTCCGTGAACGAACCGCACGAACCCATGTCGCTGACCATCACCGGTTATGCATTGCAAAAATGTCTGGATCCGGAAGGGGACAAGTTTGCCATGCACATTTTCCATGGTCCGCGACGTCTGTTATGTATGCCCTAGCATCACAGATTTTTTGAGCGCTTATCGATGCGCATCCTGCATGACAAATGCCCGATACGCGTAGCCAAATTTGACTGCTCTTGCTGCTCATGCAATACAGATTTTTTTTTTGAACCCAAATGCAGCATCACAAGTTGCACTGTTCCAGACCCAGACATATTTGCAATGCATACCGGCGGGGAGTACCCGAATAAAGAGCAAGAGCGCCCCACGGAGCACGCGCACTACGGGGTATCCACTGCAAATATAATCTCTGGGTCTGGAAGGATTTGCAAGGTTTGCCATGCTTGTCCGGCATGGCTGAAGAATTTGTGATGCGTGTCGAAGAAGAGACCCTTTTGCCTGTCATGCAGCACGCAGTTTGTCGTGCGGAAAGTGCAACACTAAGCAGGAGCGCAAATATTTCTCATGCTTGGCTGTGCAATACAGAGAATTCACTACTCAGAACTCAGCATTACAAGTTTCCAGACCCAGACACTTTTGCATTTGATACGGGGTAGGGAGTCACCACTTCACTAAAGCGCACCCGAATTTCGCGTATCCTGAGGAAAAAACGTTACAGTTACACACTCTGATGGAAGACAAGCAAGACAGAGGACCTCGTGCCAGCCTCATTGTATTCGTGTTTCCCCTTATAGTCTGCGCATCACAGCAGGTTTTCTTGGCCATGTCGAGCAACTTTGTGATGCAGAAACTCCAACAAATGTGTATACTGTAACACTTTTGTCCTGTGATATCGCGAGGCAAATGTCGAAAGAGTTGAGCAAGCAAGCCGAAGCTGCGCCGACGAGCCAAGCTGGTTACCCTCAATCGGGCGCAGGAGCTGGGCAGAACAAGAAAAAGGGAAAATACGTGGAGAAAGACGGAAAGTGGGTTTTCCAACCGGATGAGGGGAGCTTACTCCAGAGCTACACCGACTATGCATTGCAAATGGCCGGGTCTGGAAACTTGTGATGCAAGGAAGGGAATAGTGAGCTCCCTGCAATGCGCTGCCAAGCATGACAAGGTTTTTGCATGGTTCTGAGTTGCGTACTCCGCATGAGAAACTGCGTTTTTGCATGACAGGGAGTAGGAGCTCTTCGCGGCCACGCAATACAGAGTTCAGGGTCATGCCAGACTAGCATGACAAGTCTCGGAATCTTCCAAACCCAGACATATTTGCAGTTGATACCGACATGGTGGCCGCGCACGACGCGAAAAACGACAACACCATCCAAACGGACATTTTTGGGAAACCGATTGCGCAGAATATGACCCGCTCAGGTGTTACAATCTCAAACGTTTCAATAGAGTCTGAGACTTGTCTTGCATGATGAGCATGACAGACTCGCAGAGCGTTTCACTTTCTGCAATACAAATTTCGCCAGATTGTAGTACAGTTTGGGGCTCCGGAACTTGTCATGCGCAATCCTATGAGAGTTGGCTAGATCATGCACTCTTGCATCACATTCTAGTGCAACTTTCAGATTGTAACAGCTAAGCGCGTTATACAGAAAAAGGGAAATTTCGTGGTCGACCCGAAGACGGGGAAGTGGATGAAGCAGGAGATGGAACCCAGTTTGAACGGCGTTACGCTCGTATCAAATGTAAAAGTGTCTGGGTCTGGGAACTTGTGATGCTGGGTGGAGTCTCATGATGAGGCTACAAATGCTGGCTCAGCATGACAAGTTTCTGAGCTCCAGGGTGTTGCCTATTCTGCATGACAAACCGCGCTTCTGCATCACAGAAAAGCGGAGCTCTTGGGCAACGTGCGTGACAGATTTAAGAGTCATGCCAGACAAGCATGACAAACATTAATTCCTCCAGACCCAGACATTTTTACAGTTGATAGCTCGGTGGCGCCAAAGAAGCGGTGAAGACAGACCACGTCGTATCATTTGTAAAAACGTCCCCACCCCAGAGTCAGGATGGGGATTTTGCAACACAAACCTGAAAGTTTTGGAAGCCACGCATGACAAGCTGAAGGCTGTAGTGTAATGCCGTTTAGCAAGGGAAGCCGCATAACAAATCCATCTCCTTATCCTGTTCACAGCATTACAAGTTCCAAAACACGATGGGAAATGCCTCTCATGGCGATGCGCATTACAAATCTTCCCGTGACTGCAAATCTGCATGACAGCTATGGGGTGGGGACGTTTTTACGCAGGATACGTCGCGATGATCGGGTCTGTTTGGGACCGGAAACATTCCGACCTGCGCGACGCGTCGCTATGCAAATTGAAGCATCGTACTGGTATTGCAACCGTGCATTACAAATCCTTTTCTTAAAGGTAAATCCGCACTACAAATTATATTTCTCATGCTGAGGGAATTTGTAATGCATTTATACGAGTACGATACTTTTGCAATTCCATAACCGCACGTCTACACCGATTCGAAAGCTTGGATGAAGGAGCACCAAGAGAAGGAACTCTTGGCCGCAAATATCAACTGCAAATACGTCTGGGTCTGGAAGAGTGGAGCGTTTGTCATGCACATTTTGCATGACCCGTGATGTTTGTGATGCATGACATAGCATCACAGACTTTTTACGGGCTTCTTGATGCCTATCCCGTTCCCGCATGACAAATGCCGTCTCCGCATAAGTAGCAGCAACTGGAGTGGTCCTCTTGCTCTTCAAGCTATACAAATTTTTTTAGAATCCAAAGTTAGCATCACAGCTTGCAATTTTCCAGTGACCCAGACTACATATTTACAATGCATAGCAAAACGCGCGGAGCAAATGTACGGAAAGGCGGACCACGTTTTTGATAAAAAGGGCCACTACATCCACAGCGGCCTGTTTCAGGGCACCGCGAAAGCGCCGATGTCCAAAGGCGAAGTATTACAATGAAAAATGCCTCCACCCCCGAACTTGCGTCGAGCATTTGTATTGCAAACCTTTCCAAATGAAGCACTCGCATTCTTGCATCTATCAGCATCACAGATTTCCGATCGTGAATAGCAAAAATTTGCATTGCAAAAGATCCCAGCGAGAACGGCGCTTGTCATGCAAGCGATGCGATATACGCCTAGGCTCTGGCGCATCAGAGACATTCATAAAGTTTTCATTTGGAAATTTCGCATCAAAAAGCTGGGGGGGGCATGTCGCACTGCTATACGAAGCGGTGTTACTTCTCGCCGGGAGTATCAACAAAAGCAAAACGAGTCAGATTGAGAGCCAAGTCGTGCCGATGAGTGCAGCGGGAGCTGCACCAGGTGTTCCAACGTCCAAGTCCCCGCCTTCACAGGCCGCACCGCCCTCAAAACACACGGACATTGACTACAGTCACGACCCGCACACCCGCGCGTCTGCCGCACTGCACGAACCGAACGCCAGACATCATGGGAGCATATGCACTGCAAACGTATCGTACTCGTACTTCTAATCGCAGTCATGCATTACAAATCTAGTAATCAAGGGAAATCCGCATTACAAATTACATTTGTAATGCTGAGGCAATTTCTTGTAATGCAATTTATACTAGTACAAGTACGATACTTTTGCAGTTCATAGAGCAAGCATTCGCACCACAGCTTGGTGGACAACAACGGGCAGCAGCAGAATAACAGCGCAGCAGGAGCTCCTGGTGCTGTTCTACCTACCAGCGGCCTTGCGGGCGAGTCTACTGTGGAAGCGGTGCCGAAACCATTTGACGCGAAGGCGCAGATAGCGTATCACGACGATGAGCAAACGGGGAAGCACATTCCGGACTTCATTCCGACAAAATCTTTACAAAAAATCCCGGATATTCCGGCGGTGCCAACGGTGGCGTGTGAGGAAAATGACTTCAACAAACCGAATTATCAAATGCAAATATCTCTGGGTCTGGAAGGTTACAACTTGTGATGCTGTCTCTGGATTCGAAAAAAGTTTGTATTGCATGACCAGCAAGAAGAGTCCAGTTTAGGCTACGCGGAGAGGGCATGATTTCTCATGCAGAATAGGCATGAGGGACCCCTCTACAGATCTGTCATGCTACGCCATGCATTACAGGCATCAGAAGTCATGCAAAGTATGCATGACAAACCTGACACTCTTCCAGACCCAGACATTTTTGCAATGCACACGAACGGCATGCTCACCATGCACAGCGAGAACGGCCCGACCTCCAAGAAGGGGTCGACAGACCGGCTGTTGAATATCGCAGCGCTCGCGGCTGGCGAAGGGCTGGAGAAAAACGAAACGTCGGTGAGGTCGGTTATGGATGAATGTGTGATAGTACTTGTTGTCTTTCTATTCTGTAGCTATTTTGATTTCCCCTTGAATGAGTTGCAGGTCTCCTTTGTCATGCCTAAATTTTTGCATAGGAGAGCTGTAAAAGTCATGCTTGATGTAGCTAGTGTTGCATGTGTATGATCCTTACGCAAGAACAGGACAAACAAGACTTGTATTGAAGAGACCGAATGTGAATGAAAACACCAAGTTGCGTCACACGCCTTGATACCCCGTCTTCCCGAACCGACGTCAAGTATTTCTGAGCCGGACATTGTGGACGCCATCATGATATCAAAAGTAAAAATGTCTGGGTCTGGAAACTTGTGATGCTGGGTGGCGTCTCATGATGAGGCTACAAATCCTGGCTCAGCATGACAAATTTCTGAGCTCCTAGGTGTTGCCTATTCTGCATGACAAACTGTGCTTCTGCATCACAGAAAAACGGAGCTCTTGGGTAACGTGCATGACAGATTTAAGAGTCATGCCAGACAAGCATGACAAACATGAATTCTTCCAGACCCAGGTATTTTTACAGTTGATACATGAACATTCAGATCGAGCCACCAAAGCAACAAGAAATGCTTCACAACTTGTTGCTGTAGAGGATAAGTGGTAAACTAGGTGCAGCTCCTGTTCAGGGTCATCAAACAGGGCGCACTACGCACTACGGGCGTCGAGAGAGCCGCAGGAGGCGAATGAGTGCGGCGAAATGAAATTTTTTCTACGTATCTGGAAGATTTGACAACATTGAGATTCTAACACTAGACTTACATTCATTTGTATGATTCCTTTTGATCACCTTGTTTTATGTTTTACGTTTTTCAGAATCAGACGACCGCTTCATTTGAAATGAAGCGGTACTATTAGCCCTTTGTTCTTGACCAACGTTTTTATTTATTTTACAAATTTACAACCTCATCAGTAAGTGCGGCCCTTTTACCGCAAAATTTTGCACAGCCGTTGCGCAGCACAAATTGCGTGCGCAGCGAGCTAGTTTTCTTTTCTTTGATATTTCGGACGACACGATAGTTGAAAAGCGACGACGCACACGCAAGTGAAGAAGTTGTGCACAACTCGGGGTTTATTCGAACCCTTTTTCTTTGTAACCTAACATTTTTCTAGTTCACGATTACACAGTTTACATTTTTATGGCTTTCCTTTATACAACATTCAATTCCTGTATTTCGGATTCTCTTCGAGGCCTCCAAAGCCAAAGTATCTGAATTTTAAACTACTCTACTGAAGAAGTTGTGCTCCCGAAATAAACGAAAAACTAACGATTTACTTGGTGCGATAGAAACGACTAGGCCGAAGCTCCTGCTACCAGGTGCTGGGTATTTCATGTTACGATCGCAGGATAGAAGCGCTGCGCTTGGGCTCGACGTCGCTCATAGGTAAGGATAAACGAATCGCGTAAACAACTAAACACCCGCATTGTACCTCTTAGCATGCTCTCGCAGTACAAGTACTACCTGTTACGCGTCTTGTGTGAAGGAGAGAGCTCAAGCAAGTAGCACAAGCCAGTGTCGGTTCTTCTCGCGCCAGAAAAACCTATTTTGCGCATGTAAACAAAAACGCGATGAAAATTGTAGTTGTGAAAAAAATCTAAAGCACGGCCGTCGAAGGCAACGAACCCGACCACATTGCTAGATGATGTCGCCGCCGAACAAGGAAAACAGTGTTCTCGTGTTGCTGCAGAAAAGAGATAGCGTTGCATCTCCTGCAAAAAGTAGGACGCTGGTGCTTTTTCAAATTGGTCGTGCATGGAGCGAAGCTTCGTGCAAAGACTGCTGCTGTTGCTTGGCGGAAATGAAAATCGTGGCCTCAGTCTGTCGTGGTGGTGTTGTTGCCTGCTAAGGTACTTGTGATGAAAAAACGGCATTTTTGCCTTGGCTTCTTCCGCTCAAGCAGTGCCCCAACGATGAAGCCGCGGAGTCTGCTTCATCTGCTGCTGATTCTGATAAACATTGTGCTGCACGTCGCTGCTTTTTCATCAATTCGCGCAGCGTCAATCTTTATTACGTCGTGGAACAATCAAATTCATCATTGCACTTTCTTCCTAGTAAACGTTCCATGAGAATAAAAAAAGCGTAGTAGAGCTATCCTCAACAGGAAACTCGGCACGGAATACAGTAGAAGGACCTACAAGTTGCGGTAGAAAAGTAAAAGGCGCACTGCGTACTAGTCGTACATTTTGAAAACCTACAACCTTCTCATTCCAACCAACAACCATGAGTCAACATCTTGTCCCTCCGTCCATGCGCCCCATGGATCGAAGCGCCGTTTTCCACTAACAGAACCAGACGAAACTGACGTGCTCTCAGGTCCAGCACGACGAGAACCACCAGTAGGTCGTAAGCAAAACCGGTAGATAAGTAGTAAGTACTTCTTGCCACGCGCCGAGACAGCGCCGTCATCTGCAGCCGTCCGTGTGCAACTAGGTCTTTTTCAACACCGGCGGAAGAGCAAGAACAAAGCACACCGGCAGAAGTGCATGCAACTACACTGTACACCCTAAGTAGCAGTAGAGCATCACAACTTCAAAAATCATCACAAGATGCAAGCCGTTCCGGGTGGTGCCGACTTCGCGCTCGGCCCGGGGCTGTTCGACAAGGTTATGCATTGCAAAAGTAACGCAATACCAATATTAGTATAAATTGCATTACAAATTTTCGCAAGAAGAAAAGTAGAATCTGTAATGCTGTGTTACCTTTGGAGGAAGATTTGTAATGCATATTTGCAATTAGTACGAGTACGATACTTTTGCACAGGATAAATGTTACCGGCGAGCAATTCAGCGCAGAGACTCTTGGTCTCTCCTTCTACAATAACACGCCCGGCGGAGAAGTGTCTATACCCCTGTTTGAGGGTTTGGCGAAGCAGAGTATCAACTGCAAATATGTCTGGGTCTGGAAGAGTCGGGGCTTGTCATGCACATTTTACATGACCCGTGAGGTCTGTGATGCTGGTGCTGGCATCACAGATTTTTTGAGAGCTTCTTGATGCTAATTACACATGACAAATGCCCTCTCTGCGTGCCAAGAGCTGACTCCTCTTGCTGCTCATGCAATACAGACGTTTCTAGAATCCGCAGACAGCATTACAAGTTCCACTCTTCCAGACCCAGACATTATATTTGCAATCCATACAGAGGCTCAAGGTCTTACACATGTTCGAACGGGTGAGTAACGGGGAGAGACCGGTGGGGAAAGATTTGGAGCAAGGTACAGAGGGCATTTCTTGAGCATAAAAATTGCCACTTTTTGTCATGCGCAGCTGCAACAGTGAGCAAAGTTGTGTTGCATGGATGATTGAAAAAACAAAGTAAGTGGGAAGAACCCTGCTCTTTCACACGATCATGAAAAAAACCTCCAGTCGGCCGGAAGAAGTGCATCGAGGAACTGAAGGCGAACCGTCTATGGCTCGACTACCCTTCTTTTTCTGGCGAGCAGGAGAGGTTCGCAAGCGACAAGGAGAATTTCATTTTCAACGACACCGTTTCCCACTTCATCCTCCGCCTAGCGTTTTGCAAAACCAGGGATGCGAAGGAATGGTTTGTCAAGCAAGAAGCCCGGCTCTTCGCGTTGAGACTACAAAATCTCCGCGAACAAGCCATAGCGGACTTTTACATATCAAATGCAAAAATGTCTGGGTCTGCAAACTTGCAATGCTGATTTGTGAGTAGTGAATTCTCTGTCATGCACTGCCAAACATGAGAAATATTTGCGCGGCTTAGTGTTGCGCTTTTCGCATGACAAACTGCGTTTTGCATGACCAGCGGGAAGATCTCTTCTTGGACGCGCATTACAATCTCTTCAGTCATGCCAGACAAGCATGACAAACCTTGCATCCTTCCAGACTCAGACATATTTGCAATGCATATTACAAACAAACGGGCAACGCGCACGTGAAATTCTCGCCCGGCGGGCAGCAGCAGGCGGGTGGAAGCAGCAGTAGCTCTAGTAGTCCGCGAGCGCCGGTGCGATTAAAGGATCTGCAGGAATGCACACCGGGAGCGAAGATCTTCCAGCCGGGAGGACCACCAGGTTATTTTTTTTTGCAAATCTAGAACAAGTTTAAGTTTGTCGTTTCTTCAGATCGCTGTACTTGTTACGTCATCAAAAAAACACCACAAATGAATCAAATGCAACACACTCATTTTACAGGTCCGCCGCGCTACGAAACGGAGTTTTACGAAATCCCGTGGACGGAAATAACCCCCTACCATCTAGCGAAAAGACGGGTGATAGTGAAGAAGGGCATAGCCTACGTGCCAAACTCTATGCTCACGACCTTGGTGATAGACAAGTTTCGGAACAAACTACGGGAGGACTTGAGTCAAGCCTTCGAAGGATTAGACTACGCCATGCAGGAAAAGAGAATAGCGCCGTTTTTGAGGGTATAATATACAACATTGCAGCTTCTCACGCAGGACATGCTTGTGGCGAATGGTTTGTCATGCGGGAACCGCATCACTTTTTCATTTCTAATTCGTAGATATTCATTTTCATTCAGAAATTGTTCACAAAAAATTTTATCACAGACCCTTCAAGAAAACGGGCAGACGTTGTTCTTTGCGAAACCGACCATGAACCAACTGGGTCCCAGCGAATCTTTGTCCCTGGCAAACTTCGAGATCATGTTGAAGCGAAGCCTCCCACCCTGCATGAGATGGGCCGTGCAGGCACAGCGCGATCAGAAGAAGAGGCTGAAGCACCAAGGGAAGCTGCAGTTGAGGTATGATAAGAAAGTTTGCCATGAGCATCGGACATCAACACTGTTTTGTCTTAGTCTTGTCATGCACGGAGGACACGATCACGAATACAAAATCAATGAAGTAGCTGCATTGTGGCCTTCATTCAGCTTCACCGCTGTCAAAATCTGCAGGCCATTTCTCCGCGAAGCGGGCTTCGACCTGAAACAGTCCCTCACCTGGTGGCGACAGGAAGTGACCCGCGATCCGGAAGTCGATGAGAACAAATTTGAGAAAAATTTCGCCTACGACATCGAACACGCCTACGGGAAAAAGGGACACATGAAGGGACAAAACGCGTTTGGCTGTGCCAGCATCATCGGTTTCCCCTTGGCAACCGCGGGGCAGGTGCACGGGTGTCCGTTCAAAAGTATGGACAAGGACATGTTGGGGAAGGTATAGTTGTATAGCACTCCTGGCTTCATGCATGACAGAATGACTTTTTCGTCTAACAGTTCGCATGACAGACTACTGATCGCACTTCTAATGTTCAAATTATTATTCCATCAGGTTTTGCTCCACTGGGACGTTCCGGCCGGCGATATCGAGGACATAACGAAGAAATCCACCGAAAAGCACTACCAGCTTGCGTGTAAGCAGTTCTTCTGCAAGACGCACAAGGGCCATTCCGGCGAGGGAATTGGGAATCACCCGAACCAATTTTTCAACGAGAGTGTCAACTACTACACCGGGGGGACCGGCTATGGAAGTGTCAGGATTGAAATCGTCAAAGTTGAAATAATTTGCCATGCATAAAATGCAGCCCGCAGCGTGCCTGTCTTGCAGAGTACGTAGGCAAGTGAGGAAGATTGTAAGCCTGTTGAGGGGTAGAAACTGAGCAGCTAAAGTAGCATGACAAAAGACGTCTTGCTTACCCAAACAGCATGACAAACTGGATTTCGGTTCTACCTAAATTTGTCATGCGCCACTTGGAACTGGGTTACAACTTTCGCCCATTTTATGCATTACAAGTTATTATTTCTTCAACTTTGTCGATTTCAATCCTGACACAGCCATACCGCCGGCCGAAGTAGCAGTAGCGCGAGCGCCAGTGCGAACGCGAATGGAGGTGGGGTGCAACCGATGGAGATTGTTAGCTAGCATGAGGTCGTTGTGCTGCACAAGGACGTCGTACTGGGTGGTTGTAGTCGTCGTGACGACTTCCACCGCATGATTTAACTTGTAGATAAAAATTTTTCTTCGGCCGAGCTTGTTTTCCAAAGTAGGTCTTGACCGTTTCTCTTCTTTCAGGTAGATTTAAGCAAAACGAAACTGTCGAAAGGGACAGATATGTAACCCCGCAGTATGTTTCCCTCAGAGTTAGATTATACGCGCAAACTTTTTTCGCACAAATTCCCATCGGTTGAGGTCGTTGAAGCCCAGACGTGGTAGGTCCGGTGGAAACAGAGTTGATATTTAGATGAAATCCGGAAACGGAATTGTAACGAAGCGCCACCGGTCTCAACATGACAGCGGTATCTCCTCCGCGCCACGGTAACGCTAACGCCCCCAAGATGGCGATGTTTGTTCCCAACAATGCCGGCAATTGCCCTTGTGGCGCCGCTTTTTCCGGCGAGTGCCGCGATCTTCTTGAAAAGTACACACAGCATCCTGCGCGGATTTTGAACAGCGCGCCCCCTTTTGGTGGCTTTCGAGTTGCGGCCCCTGCCTTGGCTTTCATGCGCGCGCGCGCGCCCGCCCGCTGGAGGCTGTAGCGCGTCCGCTGCGCTGGCCTGTGCGCGGCAGGCTCGCGGGCGGGCTGCCAAGCAAGCGCGCGGCCCAAATTCTTGACGCGCTTCATTCAGATGCGCAACCGCGGAGGGGATTTCTCAAAACCCCACTACTTGGAGTTGCCCGACGTTCTTCGTGTGCCTTCTGCCGGAGCTGCCCGGGCCCGCCCCGCTTCCTGGCATTGGTGCGCGGTAGGGTCACGCCGCAGCGCGGTGCGTGCCGCGTTTCGGCGCCCGACTCTGGCCTGCCGCGCCTGCGCCCTTCGTTCCTGGGGCGGCCCTTGGCGAATTTGAAGGCTTGGAGGGGCGCCAATGTTGCGCCCAAGCGGCCGGCGCCGGCCGGGTGGACTAACTTTGGTCGCAGCACGTGGGGAGCGCCTAAAAGAATTCCAACGCGGGACATATGCGGGAATGTGAACAAGTAGCGAGGCAGGCGGCGGGAAGATGCCACCTCCTCCCCCGCCGGAGACGCCGGGGCCGACGCCCTACCACTTGAACACGACGGACGCCCAACACGCCCCCGCTGCGGGATAGCTTGACGCCGAACAGAATCAGGCCCGGGCGATTCATTGGCGGCCCGCCCGCCGGGTGCGCCCGCGCCCCCCCCCGCGCGGGCGTGCGAACGACTTGCGCCAAGGGCGTAGCGATGGCCAGCGGCCGGCTGGGCGCCGGGCGGCCGTATGGGGGAGAAAAGCGCATGCCCGGCGCTCCCGGCCCCCCCCCGGTGGCGTGTTTTGCTCGCTTTGGGGCGATGCTTTGGTGGGGTCGCGCTTTTGTAGGCGCCCCTGGGACGATAGCGGTACGGTCGGCCCCTTGGCGGGTTGATGGTCACGCCAAGGCCGAACCACCTGAACCTGCCTGGCGCCAGTTCGGGCGGGCCGCACCGCTGCCGCCCCGGCTGCGCGGCCGATTGATGGCCCCGCAACCGAGCGCGCGCCGGCCCTCCCTCCTCCTTCCTTGGTTCGTACGTCCGTCGGGGGCCCCGGCCCTGCAAGTCTGCCCCGGGCGGCCCCGTCGCTCTGGGCCCGGTCCGTCGCCGGCAAAGACGGCCCCCCGCCGGGGCGGCCGGGGCCGGCCTCTTGGTTGGATGCCCGGGGGGGCGCGCAGCTGCGCCCCTCTTCCTTTCGTGCGGGCGCCCTGCCCTTGGTTAGCTGTGGCGGCCTGCCGCCGGGTGCCCCATCCACGCCGCTGGCCGCGCCGTGCTTGCGTGCGTGGCTATGTGGCCTCCTTGTGCGCTACCTCCGCCGCCCGCCCCGTTCTTCGTTGGATGCATGGTCGGCCCGGCCCTCTGGGTGGGGCGGGGGGGGGGTTTTGGTTCTTCAGCGCCTCGGCGCCGCGGGCTGCCACGATCGACCCTCGCGCACCCTACCTCAGTGGCGCGAGTAGCTGCCTGATGTGTGAGGGCGCGGCGCCAGTACTGTCGCTTCTCAGTCAGTGACCTCCCTATGATGGTCCGGCACCTTGTTGATGATGCCGGCGGCATTGTCCTGAAGATACCGGCCTTGTCTGTGTTGACCTCGATAAAGAAATGGCCAACCATTACCAGCACTTGCAAGCGCTGTTTGCTCTGGCTCATTTTTTTTGTTGATATTACACGGAGGCTTGCCAGATCAACATCAAAAGTGTCTACGACTAACTATGAGTGGCGCAGTCGCACCAGTAACGAGTAACGTACATGACAGATCACGACATCAGCAGGTAAAACTTACGTTCGGGTCGGTAAAAATGCGTGCTTCAAAGACGAGCAATTTGAGAATGAAAAGACGTTGACTTCGATCAAATTCCAAATGGAGAAAAGGACAGTGATCCCGATCTTTCAAAACGCAACAAAAGATCACCTAACTGCTCATCGACGCTGAAGTTCTAGGTTTCAATGACAACCTCAACGCAAAAGAGCAAGAAGTTCGAAAGCGATGTCGACATGATCTATGAAAGAGCCACGAAAAGTTCCTGTCGCGCCCGGGCGACCTGATCTTGATGAAATGACTTCTTCTACATCAGAATGTTGTATCCATCGAAGCAAGCAGGCAATTATAGTATTGCGTTCGCATGTTGAGGTGAGTATTGTATTGCTATTGGCACACCAAGTCACAGTCGGCGTACAAGACCTAGCGACAGCGATTCATCTTCCTTGCCCTTTCCATTTTCACTTGACTTAATGCCGTGACCGGCTGCGTCACACACTAAGACTAGTAAATCGAAGAAAACTACAGCAAAAATGTCGTCCCCCGCACAACATGACCAAGACTCCGCGCGGCCAGCTCCGCCAATCAACCGTCGTTCCTGGGCGGCGCTTGCGGACTCCAACATTTCCGACCCGTCGAAAAAGTTCATCAACAGTTTGAACTTTAAGAAGATGACCCCGGTGCAAGCCATCGCAATTCCCCTGTTTCTGAAGAACAAAGACGTGCTGGTCCAAGCTTGTACGGGGAGCGGGAAGACCCTCGCATTTCTCCTACCCGTCGTGGAGCTTTGTCTACGCGCGGTGACGCAGGAAAAAGAGGAGAGGAAGGATGCAGAAGCAGATGCTGACAACGACGAAACGGAAACAAGCAGTAAACATATCAAACCAAACAAAACCGCCGCTCTTGGGGGACTGATCCTCGTGCCAACTCGGGAGCTCGCCCTGCAGATTTCCGAAATCTTGGAGAAATACCTGAAATTCTATCACATGCAAAAGTGCTTGGGTCTGAAAGGATGCAACTTGTCATGCTAGGTCTGGATCGTGATTAGCAAGAGGCGTCCTCTTGTGACTAAGTCGAGAGGCAGATTCTCATGCGGGCAAGGAATGAAAATAAAGATCTCCCAGAACCTGTGATGCCAGGGCATGCAGCACAGACCTCACGCGTCTTGTAAAATGCGCATGACATCAAGCGTTGCACTTTTCCAGACCCAGACATATTTGGATTGCATAAATGCTTTGAGCAGACGAAAGAGATCCGATCCGCGGTTTTCGTCGGTGGAAAGTCCCAGCACATGGAACAGAAGATGTGGCAGAAGGCGACCACGATTTTCGACAGAACTGCATATCAAATGTAAAAATGTCTGGGTCTGGAAGTTTGGAACTTGTGATGCTAACTTTGGACTCTGAAAAAATTTGTATTGCGTGACCAACAAGAGGAGTCTAAAGTAGTTTGTGCTACGCGGGGAGGGCGTTTGTCATGCGGAGTAGGCATCAGGAAGCCATCGAAAAATCTGTAATGCTAGGTCGCGCTGCATTACAGACATCCTGGGTCATGCAAAATATGAATGACAAGTCTCAGAATCTCCCAGACCCAGACACTTTTACATTTGATACTGCAGCATCTGTTCCTACTACTACATCGCACGACACTTGTTCATTATCTCCCGTCGCCCGAACTATCATCGTCGCGACGCCGGGGAGATTAGTGCACTGGCTCCGGGAAAAATCGAACAACAACCTAACAATCGGGAAGGAGTTGGCGAAAAAGTTGGAGGTTTTGGTCTTTGACGAGGCGGATCGATTGTTGCAGTTAGGTTTCGAAAAGGACATTCGCGAAATCGTCAACTACCTACCGCGACAAAGACGCACGGCTCTGTTCTCCGCAACTTTGCAAAATTCCGAGATGCACACGCTGGTCCGAGTGGGGTTCGCGGGGAGGAATCCTGTGCAGGTCAATGTGGAGGTGAATACTGCGAATAAAGGGAGTAGTACCAAAGCAGGTAGTTCTACTTCAGCAGCAGATGGCAATTTTAAAACCGCAGAAGGTAAAGAAGAACAGCAGAAGGGTCCTGCTCCTGCGCTCAGGGATAAAAATTCAGAGGACGCTCCTGCAGCGAGCAACGCAGAAAACGCCGTTGCTCCAACCGCCCCCGACTCAACACATCAAGTTTTACCGCAAAAACTGAAGAATTATTTCCTCGAAGTTCCGAATTTCCAGTCAAAATTACCGCTACTGTACAAATTACTCGAGGAAACGAAGAACAAAAAAGTCCTCGTTTTCTTCCTCACCTGCGCGGCAGTGGACTACTACCACAAAGTTCTCCTGCATTTGAACCTGAAATCGGAAAAAATCCACGGACAGATGCCGCAGAAGGGAAGGGAACAGAACTGGATGAAATTCAAGAACAGTAAGACGAAAATCCTACTAGCAACCGATGTCGTGGCGCGAGGGGTCGACGTGCCGGACATCGATCTGATTATCCAGTTCGACCCGCCGTGCGACCCGAGTGCTTTTGTACATCGGATCGGGCGGACCGCAAGGGCCGGGGCTGGGGGCGAGTCGTGCGTGTTTCTGATGAAGAACGAGGTGAGTTACGTGGAGTTTCTGAAGAACCGGGGGGTACATCTGGAGAATTATGAGGAGAAACTGCTTGCAGCAGCGGTAGCTGCTGCTGGTCGTGCACAGAAAGAACGTCAGCAAAGTTCTGACGCGAACACGAACATCAACCAAAGTAGCGACGCTGGGAGTTCTTGTGCGAAGTCAGTAGAGCCACAAACCAAGAAACGGAAGTTGAGTAAGAAGCAGAAACAAGCAGCAGCGGCGATGCACACAGAGGCTGCAGCAACTGCAACAGAGGCTGCGGCACCAGCAGCTGCAGTAGAATCAACAACATCTTCATCTTCTACACAGGACGACGACCACCACCAGGGATCCTCTGCTACAACAACCACGATAAAAAGAACTGTTCCCACCAGCATCGCAGAACTCATTCAACCGACCACCGACCGCGTTCTCTTGAAAATCAAGCAATTGATCGAAACCGACCGACAGGCCATGATGAAAGCCAACGCGTGCTTTGTCAGTTTCTTCCGCGGGTACCAGGAACACCAGCTTCGGTTTTTGTTTCGGATAGAGGAACTTCCGTTAGGGGACGTCGCGACCGGGCTGTGCTTGTTGAGAATCCCCCGGATAAAGGAGATTTTGGGGAAAAAGATCGAAAATTTCGTGCAATCGAAGGTGAATCCGGAGACCGTGCCATTTCTGGACAAGGTCAGGGAGAAACAAAGACAGGAAAAGCTGCAGAGACAAAGGTACAGATGAAATCATTCGAATTTGTATTGCTCAAGAGCAAAGATGAAAATGGAAGTTGTATTGCTATGGTCAGGAAGATTCCGATCGTCGTTTCTACTCGAGATGCCAGCATAGTCAGCAATCACCCATGACACTCTATATCCAACCACGGCACGACGGCATGACTTCTGTTTAGCAACATGACAAACCCCAAAATTATCCAACCATTCAGGGACGAGAAGGCCGCCACCGAAACCGCGGAGGATTTGGAACGACAGCGAATCCGGAAGGAACGAGAGTTGGAAAAGCAGAGGAAGAAGGACGAGAAGGCTCGCACCCGGACGGAGAAGCGGACGGCGGGAAGAAAAAACCGGCTGGAGGAGTGGCAGGCCCTGCAAATGGAGGAATGTTTGGCGAAGAAGTTGAAGAAGGGGAAAATCACAAAAAAACAGTTCGACGTGGAAATCAAAAAGATCGGACAGAAGCTGGCTGGTGGGGACGAGGAGAACGGATTTGATGGATTTTCCTCCGACAGTGATAGTTGTACGGGGGACGATTTTTCGGACAGCGATAGCGAAGACAGCGATGCAGCAGGAGGGGATGAGACGAAGAATAAATCTTCGAAGGGCAAGCAGGGGGAGAAAAACAAGAATCCCGGGAAGAACAATGCGGAGCAAAAAGATTCAGACGACGATAGTAGCGTCTCCACCGCGGGCGACGATCAGAAATCTGTGTCGGAGATGGATGGAGATGATGTTGATGGCGATTCAGACAACTCCGATGACGACGCCGAATTGTCCGCGGAACTGCACAAGCTCGGTAGCTCTTCGAAAAAATCGAAAGAGAAGAAACCAGACCTGAACCAGCAGAAGCCGAAAAAGAGGAAAAGACGGGTGGTGAAAAAGAAAAATAAGAGAAAGTAGATCTTGATGGTGAAGTGAAACTGAAAGTGTTTGGTCGTGATTCGCTGTGTGCAACAAAGGAGGACGAACACGAAGGAAGTGACGAAATCGCTCTCGCGGCTGTTATTCACTGAGTCAAGAAGAGCTGCGCTTTTGTAAAATGCAAAACGTTAGTACGATAACAACTACCGGCGCGCAATTTTTTTCGATGCTGCCTGGTGCTGATGTTGCATGTGGAGTAATCCCAGTCGTGTTCGCCGTTTTTAAGTTACTTCTGTTGCGCCAAGACGGAGGGCGGCAATTCGAGTGCCCATCGTTCCGCTGGCGAGTTCTTCAATTGCAGCTCTCGGGCCGGTGCTCCGCCTAAGCCGCGCCGCTCATCAGGCAGCGGGCCGCACTCGTTCGCGTTTCTGCCCGGCCCGCCCGCCTCGCGGTTCTGGGTGTTGCCTCCCGGCCGGCGCCGCCTCCTTGGGGCGTCTCCTGTCGCCAGGGCCCCGGCCTTGCGACTTTCTGCAAAGCGAGGCGCCGCCCAGTTTCCGGAGACGCAGCGCCCAGCGGAAGTCTCGAAGGCCGGAAGCATCGCGGGCGGCCAGCCTCTTCGGTCGGAAAATACTTACCGAACGCGCCCGCGAAAATGGCGGCCCTTTGCTTCGCCGTCCGCCTGCCACTTCGCCGATCGCCGCAAATTGCTTGCCAGCTGTAGGGCCGTCCTGGGATCACGCGAAGCGCCGGCGCGCCTATGGGCGTGTGGCGTTGGCAATTATGGGGCGCCGGCGCCCTTTCTGCGGCGCCCCCTTCCGTTTTCTATTTTCCGCCCGGGCTTGCCGTGGCCCTGGTCGCCCTCGTCGGGGAGGGCCTCCCGGCATGTCCCTTGCAAGGCAGCCCGGTGGGCCGGCTTCCCGGGTTTGGGCGCCGCGCGCGGGGAATGTATATTGTGCAAGCATGCGGCCAAACGTGGCCCGCTCTGAAAATGGCCCAGCCGGAAAAGTTGGCGGCCAAGCAAAAAAGAAGGCCCCCCGCGGGGCGGGCGCCGACCGGGATGGCCACCTTCCGGGGCGAGGCCTGCCCTCCCCGCCTGCTGCGCTCCGAAAAACCTGCCGGCGGCTCTGGGGCCTACGCCGAACGAAAAGGGTCGCAACACCCGGGGGGGTCCTCAATTGCCCCGGTGGCTACTCTGCACCGGCACCCTTGGCGCGCGGCGCACCGAAGGCGGCCCCGGCGCGGGGCGTGGCGGTGCTCCCCAGCGGGGGGCATGTCGCGGACCCCCTTCCAACCCGTCCCGAGGGCGGGGTGGACGTTTTGCGCCGGCTCTATGGTCGCCCACGAGAATGGGGAGCGGGGCAAGTTTGGAAGTCGTAGAGCCCGAGCTTGTTCGGTGTGCCTCTCTTTCTCCATTGCGCAGGCGGGTGCTCCTTGGGGAATGACACTCATCAACGGCGGCGGGTCCGAGGTTTCCCACCCCGTAACACTCGGCACTATTATCGATCGGAGCGCGTACGTTCAGACACGCGGCGCAATGCGTCATCGAACTCATTGGGAAAGTTCCGCAGAGGAAATCTACGGAAATACCGTGCCGCGCCCTGCGGCCGGCAGCGGCCGGGAGAAGGGCGGGAGTGCCGGGCCTTGGGCGACTCCCTCTCTGTGGAGTTCGGGTTCGCCCTGTTGCCGCCGACGCTATGGGGCCCGCCGCCGCGCTCTTTGCCAATGCCGCCGGCCGGACCATACCGGCGGCCCCCCTATCTTTGTGCGGTTTGGAAGCGCCGCCGGGCAGTTTCCTCGCTCGGCCCGCCTTTGTTGTGTTGCGCCCCTTCCTAGGGTGCCACCCAGGCAACGCCGGGCCGCGCGTCCGTCCGAGGGGTTAACGCGCCGGCCGCCAATCTTCTTCCTTGCCGCCCGCCGGTCTTCCAACCCGCCGAGCGGCAACGTGCGGCCGTTGCAGTTCGCTGGCGCTTCTGGCCCGCCCAGCGGCGCCCTGCCTGTGTTTCGATATTTCGCCGGCAGATCGCCCGCGGCGCGGCCGGCCACGGTATGTGTGGCGTGGGCGTCTCATCATTGCCGGGCTCGCGTACCGCCTCCCAGGGTTTTCCTGCGTGCCAACCTCGTTAGAGGGCCCTCGCGCGCGGAATTGCGTGCGCAATTTTGCCCACAAGAATAAAGAAAATCGAAAGCATGGCGAGGCTGCCACGAGTTCATATGGGTGTGTGGCGATTATCTTTATCGTCTTGCTTTCCTGTCATATTTATCTTTTTTGTTGATCCTGATATCGTTTTTATTTCAGAATTTAACGGATACCTGAACGAGGGATACAATTAATTCCATGAGTCAATCTATCTTTGAGAGAACGACAAGAAGATGAAGATCGAAGAAGGACAATCGCGGACCGGGTCTATGAGAGAACTTGAGTCATGCCCAGACATGAAAAGAAAGAAAGAAAATCAAATGATAGGAATATCTATCCTCGTAGTTGTATCAGATCATCTTGTTCTCGGGATGATTCAAATTTACAGAAATTCTTCTCCGGATCAATGAATCGAAGAAAAAAATTAATTTTATGAATTCATTGTCATCGAAAGATAAATATAGAATCGAGAGATATCGATCGATTCTTTCAATGAGTCAATTATTATTGAGATTCTCATATGGATTCATATCTTTTGGAAGAAACAATCTGAATCATAACTGGATATCGATATGACAAGAAAGAAAGAAATTGGAGAAAAATAGATTCTATTAAAATTGGGTGGAATCCAAGATCTGGATGAATATTTCAACATAATTATTTCTGAAATTTTTTATTTTCATATTGAGATTCTGGATATTTTCTTCAAGAAATTGTGAAAAAATCGGAAAATTATGGAATATATATCGAATCGATATGATATCGACCAGCCATGCTCCGGCTAACGCCGGAGCGCAAGGTTGTTACTGAGGCTGGGCAGGATTATTTGTGGATCGGGCCACAATGCCACAGGTCTTTCTAATATGCTTGCACAATGAAGCATCATATTTATTGGAGTCTTGCCGCCTGTTTGCGCGGCGCCAACCCGCAGGATCACGCACTTGCGCGCTTGCCGCGCCTGTGGGCGCTCTGCGCAAGGAGCAGCTGCAAAGGACACCGGAGGCGAACAGAAGCGTGGGGAGGTGGCGCAAGAGGATGGCGCGAGAGGGTGCGCGAGAGGGTGGCGCGAGAGGGTTCAGGCCCTCTGCATGAAAGGGCCGGAAAAGAATCACCCTTGCGCCGGGTGGATTCGGGTTTTTCTACCCCTCTCGCAGACCCTCTTTTTCACCTCTTCGGAGAGGTGTTGCTAATAGTCCGGCAATACTCGCCGGTAGAGGTCTACAGAGGTGGCCGAATGGGTTCACGAGAGGTTCTCCCTTATTCGCGCAACCTCTCGACACCTCTACCCCGCTCTCGCTTATCCTCTCGGGGTCCTCTCGACCACCTCCCGATCCATAAGCGCGGCCTTAGGACGAATGGTTCGGTTGGCTATACCCGCGCCACTCAGGCGGGAGCACCTCAGGCAGCCGGCCCGAGGCGTTTTCCGCTAGTAAAATTTTTTTAAAATGTCACTAATTCCGGGAATCGCGGGCCGGCTGGCTGGGTGCGGCACCCTTTGGGCACGCGCCGCATTCGGGGAGGGGGGCGCGGCATAGTGTGGCGCCCCCGCTTTTTGTTTTCCCGGGTCGGTGTCGTAAGCTTCCGGGCCGTCTCCCCTGGTTGTGTGCTCTCCCCCGTCCTCTTGGGGATGGGGGCCGCTTATCGTTGGGCCTTTTCGCGCGCGCGGCGCCTTTGCTTTTGGTGGTGGCCTGCCCTCGGGCGCTCTTTTCCCTTACCTCAGGGAATGCCTCGGGTCGGGCCCTTGCCCGGGCCTTCGGTTTTTCTTTGTCCGGTATCTTTGCAAGGGAGGGGGGTCCTGTGGTGTGGTTTGGCACACAGGGGCTGCTCCTCGTGGCCATGGCTCAAATCCACCGGGGCCCGGCGCCTTTGCATTTATGGGGGGCAGCGCGCAGCGGGCCCGGCTCTGGAAATCAGGCAGGCGCGAGGCCGGGGCTTTTTGGTCTTTCAAACACCACCCCGATCCCGGGCGGCTAATGAAGAGGGTAATCCCGGCGGTAATTTCCGGGGTTAATCTGACCACAACGAAATCGGGAAGGTTTCGTTGGTTTTGAAATTAGACCAAAAATTAGACTACAGATTAGACTATAAATTAGACCACAAATTACCCCAAAAACCCAAGGAATTAACCTGCCCCCGGGGGGCAGTCACTCCGCCAGAGCATTGGGTTTTCAGTTGGCGCCATTTGCCACCACTTGTCCTGCTTTTTCTCGGCAGGCCGCCCGCCCGCAGTTCCCGCCCGCCCGTGGCCTTTGCGTCTTTGAATGGATTCCCCCCGACCGGTGCCTTTCCCAATTTGCCCCGAAGATTGAAGGGGTGGCGCTCTGGAAACCCACGAACAACAGGCCCGCCGGGGTCGCGTTCCGGCCTCCGTTGTGATTTGGTGGAGGCCCCCCGCGCGCAGGCTTCGCAGGCTCCTGGGCCTTTCTTCGGTGCCGGGGCACCCTGTGGCGCCTTTCCCGGCGCGCGCCCGCCTCCCCTTTAGGGGGGCGCGGGGGGGGTGCCTGGGGGGCGGCGCCCGCGATGGCTATGCGCCCCCGGAAGTATGGTGGCACCCCCGGCGCGTTTTCTAGTCGGGCCCCTCTTGCGCCTGCCCTCCTTCGCTTTGGGGATTAGCCAAACTTCAGCCAGGAATTAACGAAATAGCTTGCCACGGGCCGGCTGCCTGAAGCACCCCGCTCCGTTTTCTTGGCTAAAAAACCACTAAAATTCCCGGCGTTTCAGGAAAAGCCCGGCGCTGTTTAGGTAGGCCGCCACATGATTGAAGGGCAATCGGGCAGGCAGTTGGGTCCGTCCTCGGCCATAGTGTAGCGCCCGCGTGGTATACCCAGGAGAGGTGCCAGGGGGGGTGGTTTTTCTCTGCCGGGCCGGTGTCTTCCCGTTTGTCCGAATCCAGAAAATTTAAAATTTAAAAATTTGGCCAGGTTTTCGCATGAATTTAAAATGTGAAAAAGGGAAGTGGGAGAAGGAGTTGGACGCTGGTCGTTTCCTGGGTGTTTTTGTTCCTTCGGGGCCAAGTCCTGCATCTCCGTCCTATCCGACAGGACGAAGTTACAGGACTTCAGTTGGTTGTGCAGTGGGTCCATCCTTGGGAGCTTCTTCTTCCGAATCATCTCAGTGGCGCCGAGGTGGGTCGCGAACATGATGGTCGACGCGATCTCCACCATCATGTTCTGGTTGTGTGAGTTGTTGTGGAGAGCTGGATTTAGAAGCTCGGCCGGGAGCTTCTAAATCCCGCGAAACAGGGATTTTGTTGATGCCATTCTGTCTTCTAATCATCTTCTAATTCTGATGCCAAATCCACAAAAACACGAAATCGTGTGTGATTTCACTGCACAGGGAAATTAGAAGCTCCTCGGAAATTTTCCGAGGAGCTGGATTTCCCCCGGATTTGCAGAAGAATTAGAAGAAAATTAGAAGAAGAATTAGAAGGAAGAATTAGAAGGGAAATTAGAAGCAATTTTAGAAGGGGAAATTAGAAGGGAAATGAGAAGCATTTTTCGAAGGGGATATTAGAAGGGAAATTAAAAGAACTTTTAGAAGGGGAAATTAGAAGACGTTTTTAGAAGGACAAATTAGAAGACATTTTTAGAAGAACAAATTAGAAGGGGAAATTAGAAGAAGAAATTAAAAGGGAAGATTAGAAGTGTTTGACCCGGGCGGGGGTCTGTTGTTTCGGGTGACGGGTGGCGGGCTTTTCAAGTTGGGTTGTAACCGGTGGAAATAAAGATGTAATGGGGGTGAGGGTGTTTCCGAAGTGGTCCGCAACAACCGGTCAGGCGCCATGGGCCCTGGCCGGACTTCCTGTCCGGGGTGTTTTCCTTCTTGCCTCGGGACGCGCCTCTTCTTCCTTGGATGGTGGGCTTGCTTTTCGGCTTCTGGGTTTTCCCCGGGTTCGGGGGCGGGAAAAAATCGAAACGCCGGAAAAATTAGAAAAACATTAGAAACGAAGGCGGAGCGGGGCTGTCCCACCTGACGCCACCTCTCGGCCATCCTCCCGAACGACCTCCCACGCCACCTCTCCACCTCTATCGACCTCTTTTTGACCTCTGTTACCCTCTTTTTGACCTCTCGGCCACCTCCCTTCGACCCTCTGTAGACCTCTTTTTTCGCATGAATATAATAGATAATAATTCGATATGTGTTCCATTCCTTGCTTCGAATCGATTCGATATGGTATCGATTCAAAATCTGATATCATATCAGAATGAATTATTTTTTGTCGATTCGATGAAAAATAATATATTCTGAGATTTCAAAATTGGACTCATATAATTATCAGAGATAGAAGAATGAGACACAAATAATATAACAGAGAGAGAGAGAAAACGAGAAGAAAATGAAATAATATTTCGGACCATATCATCCAAAGAAATGAATCAGATCACATTATTTGGTAATCGATATCCAATCGATCCAAGAATCTTTTTCTTCTTCTCATATCTAGATATGATCCAAGAAGAGATCTCGATCCAAGAATCATGAATTTCATTCTCATTTGAGATTCAGAAGATGATCTCACAGATATTTCGATTTTCATCCTAAAATCATATATCAAAATTGAAATTGGTGATGGTGATTGATTATTTCATGATAGGTTTCAACTCAATTTATATCAATCAGAGTTGTTCTTGTTTGCAGGTAATCATTTAGGTCCAGTTTGTGGAATTTGGTTTGTGTATCATGTGATTCTGATTTCAGTTGCCTGAGATTTGGCAATTTATTTTGTTTTTTTGCATCCTTTTTTTTCCATTGATTTATGTGTCCGCAGTCTCATGGTGAACTTGAACACGATCCATTTCCATGTGTTTCATGGATAAAGTTCATAATTCGATCATGAAACTCCCATCACATCTGAAAAATCTCTTGCCGCTTTCACTTCTTGGTATCTGGCCGAATTCCCCCTGATTTCATCCGCCGACATATTTTTCAATTCCCGTGTCGCGTCCTGAAACGCTCTGCCGCTCGGTCCGGATAAGTTTGCCTCGGACAAAACTTCTTCCGCCGTTAGCAGCTTACCCCCTATGAACTGCAAAAGTATCGCACTCGTAGTAATTGCAGCCACGCATTACAACTCTCTCGCTCTTAAGCCGAATCCGCATTACAAATTCCATTTGTAACGCTGACCAAATTTGTGATGTGATTACTATATATCATATTCATGCGAAAAAAGAGGTAGACAGAGGGTAAACAAGAGGTGGCCGAGAGGGCAGAAAGAGGTCAAAAGAGGTAAAAAAGAGGTCGGCAGAGGTGGAGAGGTGGCGCGGGACCCCATTCGAGAGGGTCGGCGAGAGGGTGCGCGAGTATGGCCCGCCGAAGCGCTCACCCTAAAGCGCCGCCTAAGTGCCTGAGAGGGTGCAGAGAGGTCAAAAAGAGGGGGCGCGAGAGGTCGACAGAGGTGGAGAGAGGTGGCGCGAATAAGGGGCGACCTCTCGCGGACCCTCTTGGCCACCTCTCGGCCACCTCTGTCGACCTCTACCCACGAGTATAGCCGGACTATTAGCGGGGACCCCCAAAAGAGGTCAGACAGAGGGTCTGCGGGAGGTCTGCGAGAGGGTAAAAGCACACCCAAGCGGGCGCGAATCCCCATGGCACTCCCCATATTTGGCATTGCAGGCCATTCGCGGACTTGTTTTGTTCGGCGCCTTTCCGCGCCACCCTCTCGCGCACCCTCTCGCGCACCCTCTCGCGCCACCCTCTCGCGCACCCTCTCGCGCCACCCTCTCGCGCCACCCTCTCGCGCACCCTCTCGCGCCACCCTCTCGCACACCCTCTCGCGCCACCCTCCCGCGCCACCCTCTCGCGCTACCCTCTCGCGCCGGGCGGCTTCTGTTCGCCCCCGGTGTTCTTTGCAGCTGCTCCCTGCGCAGAGCGCCCACAGGCGCGGGAAGCGCGCAAGTGGTCCTGCGGGTTGGCGCGGCGCAAACTCCAGTATGTTCCGTTGTGCAGCAGGACCCCAGTATCTTTCGCTGTGCACCGGCGCGTGGCGTTGTGGTCCGATCGGCAAACTGTCTTGCCCCGGCCCAACAGCCTTGCGCTCCGGCGGCAGCCGGAGCATGGCTGGTTTCTACTAGTGCGATGATTTTGCAGTAGTTCATACCCCCGGGCGCCATGCTAATTCCACTTTTTCCGCCACCGCCACCTCCGAGCACCATTTTGTTCAAGTTCGTCTTTCCCGAATCGGTAAAATCCCCGAACAACTCCATCCCGATGCCGAGTCCGTTTGTGTTGCTGTTTCCGAACGTGTCTTTCAGCCAATTCCGCAGTTTCATCGCCTGGGTGTCTCCGCCCGACTGCTCTTGCAGGAGGAAGTCCAAAATGTTGTTGCCTTCCGAGTTTTGCAAGTACAACAAATCCAAACCGGTGAAGGCGGACGCTTCTGACAAAACAAGTAGTTGCGCAACCTCCTGCTTCAACGAAGCCACGTCGTCGGAGCAGGCTAGGGCTTTTTGGAGGATCGTCGTTCCAGAAATGTCGGTCAGAAAATACTCACTCGCCGGACGGTAGGTGGCGAGCTTTTTCAAAAGGAATTTGATCGCTTCTGGTTTGATATTGTTGCTGTTCCCGGTCGGTGGAATTGGACCCGTTTTAGAAGAAGTAGTTGTAGACGATGGAGGTTGCGCTATCGTTATTGAGGAACAGAAAAACAGTATCCAAGAAAAAAACTGTGTTTAGTGTAACTTTCTTTGGCTGACAGCATCACAAATTTGCTCTACATGACAGAGAAAACCTGTCATGCGTGGCTTGTAAGGGAAAATACACATGAAAAAAGGACTTCATGGCCGTGTGGCATGACAAGTGTGACTGTTTTGCATTTTCTGCATCACAGATTTACACTTACATTACAGTTTTTTTCTTACATAAACAGCATGTTCGCTCCCGTGTTGCTAACCACCGGCTCGTTTAAGATCTTTTTCCCGTTCCAAGCGCAAATTTGCTCGACGGTCTGCGGTATCAAATGCAAATGTGTCTGGGTCTGGAAACTTGTGATGCTGGGTGGCGTCTCATGATGAGGCCACAAATACTGGCTCAGCATGACAAGTTTCTGAGCTTCTAGGTGTTGCCTATTCTGCATGACAAACTGCGTTCCAGCATCACAGAAAAGTGAAGCTCTTGGGCAACGTGCATGACAGGTCTAAGAGTCATGCCAGACAAGCATGACAAACATGCATTCTTCCAGACCTAGACATATTTGCATTTCATATGCTGGATTTTTTTCAGTTGGTTCGCAGCGTCCGCGGATGTGTCACGGTCGCTAGTCGGCATCAAGACATCCCGGAAGAGTTGTGGCCAGGGTTTGGAGAGTGGTAAGCCGATTTGCATACTGCCATCGCCTGTTGATGACAGGCTCGCGGAGGAAGATTTTTTAAGCAGTTTCTGCTTCCAATTGTCGTAAACTGTTGCTAAATGATCCCGGAGTTTGTGGGAGAGTGTGGTCGCTTCGAGAATTGCTGCGTTCGGATCTTCTTGCTGTATCACAGGAAAAAGCGTTAACGTTAACGGAATTTGTGATGCAGTATATGCATCACAAAATGTGCCCAAATTTGTCAAGCATAGCGTGCATGCATGCTAGGCAAAATTTGTCATGCATATTTGCGATCATCTATGGAAACCGTTAACGTTAACTACACTTTTTTGTTTGATATGTTGACCACCTTGCAGTTCATGGTCTATTGCTCCGCTCATCATATTCAAGTACCCAAATCCGTGCAATTTTCCATCGACCGTTTCTCCCAAAGCGGCGATACAGCTTTCAAAATCCTCCTCGTGAAAGGACGTGCTGCTGCCGCCTTGTTCAGAAACCGCTTGATGCTGTGTTTGGAAATGCGAGACAAACAACCGGACAATTTCCTCAATGTGGCTGAAAGTGTATGGCTGCTCCGCCCCACCGCCGATTTGGGAGTTGAACATCTGCGCGGACACGTAGTAGGACACCGCGAGCTGCATGTGCGCGCCTTTTTTTAGCAAGTGCTCGAGCAATTGCAGCTGCAGTTCGTGGGGGAGCTTTGTCGAGTTGCAGATGCGCTGCAAAAGGGTTTTCCCGGTCTTCGGCTTCGTGCTGGAGGAGGAAGAAGCACCGCTGCGGGCGAACGATTTCACCCCTCCTCCTGCGGCACTTCCAGAAACAGAAGCAACATCTGGCGCGGGTAAAACGCAATCCAAGTCCAACATCAGAGGGTTGGCGTAGACATCGAAGAACTTCAACACTTCTTGGAATAAAGTTGAACCATGTTTCCTCTGCTCAAAATTCTCGATTTTCTCGTGCAAGGTCCAAAACCCGAGCATTTTCAATTTCAACTTTTCCGTTTTTTCGACTAGTTTTGCCTGCTCTTCCGCCTGCTGGAGTTTCAACTGGTCTAGTAGTTGCTTTTTCGTTGTGTTTGGAGAGGAAGAACCTCCGTTAGAAGTACTGTTGTTTCGATTTTGATTCCCTGCTACAGCGCTCGCGTTTATCAAATGCAAAAATGTCTGGGTCTGGAAGGATTCGAATTTGTGATGCGAATTCTACATCATGATAAAATCTGTCATGCATGGCTATCAAAAAGCCCCATTTCTTGTTTCCGAGAGAGAGGATTTGTCATGCGGATTAGGCATTGGAATAAGTGCTTAAAATCTGTGATGCTAGAGCTTGCATGCCAGACGATCTGGGTCAGGCAAAAACTGCATGACAGATCTCGCATTCTTCCAGACCCAGACATTTTTGCAATCCATAGCGTTTCGCCCGTGCCAGAACCGGTTTTGCTCCAATACTTGGTCTTCCTGCAGCCGCTGCCTTCCGGCCTGAAGAAGCTCTTTATGGAAGTGTCAGAGTCGAAATTGACAAAGTCAAAAAATTTGTGATGCACAAAATCGATATCAGTTGGGGCTTCAGTTTTCGAGTGGTGCATGACAAATTTCGGGAGCACCCACATCCAGTCTGTCGTGCTGCTTGGGCAAAGAAGACTGCTCCTGTCATGCTACTCTGACAGCACATTGCATACCCCTAAACACCAGGCTTGCAATCGGTCTCATTTGCCTGTTCCCCAATACAGGCCTTCAGTGGCCTACATTTTATGCGTCACAAGTTTTTCGATTTTGTCGATTTCGGTCATGACACATCCATACTCTTCCGGAATGTCGTACTCGCTGGCGCGCTGGATGATGTCGAGAGTGATTTTACCTGGTCCACCGGTGGAAGATATGCAATACAACTTTTGCGTACAACATGCCCAAGATGCATCACAAATTTTACCAAGTTGGCGCGTAACATCACTTGTCATGCTAAACTAGGATGGAAGCCTGGTTTTGTCATGCAGACACCGCATTTGGATTTGCTCTTACGTGTTGTACGGGAAATTTACTGTGGATAGAAGATGAATCTGCACTACTAGAATTATCCGGCGCCGACATCAGAATGTCCATTAATTCTTCAATCTCCTCCATTCTGTTCATCAGCAACCTGTAGAACCCCATGTGCAACTTCTGATTCAAAGCTGGATCGGGCAAAACCTCGTCCGCGATCTTGTTGAGAAACGTTTTCATGTACAGAAGCTCAGATTTCTTGTCCTCGACGAGTTCCTGCAGGGTTTCATTGTAGTAATTAATCAAATCGTCGTCAGAATCGATGTCCTCGGCCGTGTCAGTGTGATCAGCAGTGACCACAGGTAGATTCTTGGAATCCGCTGCATCAAACTCCGCAGGAGCTGCTGCAGATTCTGGTATTGGCGACGGAGCAACGCTGCTTTCCGCGTCCACCTCGCTCACAGGCACTGCTACTCCCGCTATGGTCGACGCGGCTGCGGCCGGTCTCGATCCGGGTCCACCCGCTTTAGATTTCGCTTTTGCGAGTAGAGAGCCGCCGCTTAGCCCGTTCGGCTTCGATTTAGGCTTCGAGGAGGAAGCTTTCATCTCTTTTTTTGCTGGGAGCTCGACGAAGGGAAAACAAAGTTTGAAATTTTGATACACTCACAACGACAAAATGAATGCGCAGAAGGCGAGATGAAGAAGCAAACAAGAAATTATCGCGTCTGGGCGTTAGATGTAGATCGCGATCGGTAGCGGAATAAATGCTTCGCGTGTGCTTGTTCAAAGTAGAAGAACTGAAATTTTCGAGTTGGTTGTGCCGCTACGTTGCAGGATGTTGGCCAACGAGTTCAAGTCTTGGTCTACGACTACACGACCTCAACCTGAGCCGCGAGGTGGTGCAGGGGTGAAGCAGGTATACACCGAGAAGAGGCTCGTGCCTAGAAAAATTGCTTTACGACAATATCAGCTTTGTGTTGTTCTTTCTCTCCCTGTTTTTGTCGTCTCTCTACTTCGCTCATCATGAAATGTTTTTGTTGTTGGATTGCTTGAAAATGCCACACCGCCCGTGCTCTGCTCAACACTTAGCGTTAGAAGCTGTAGCACGCTCAAGAAGTAGCGTCATCCTGCTCATAGCAGCTCAGACATAGCATCTTCTGCTCTCATCAATCCCAATTCTCCGTCTGTATTCTCTGCTCTTCACAAGATTGGGTTCGTATTGCCTTGGATCTACTGTACAAGCATAGCTACTAAAAGTAAAACGTCAAAATCTAGCTCAAAGAGTTGCTTCCTAGTGTACCAACATCCGAATCAAGCCGGGAAACAGATCGGCCACGGAATAGCGTATAGGGGAAAAAATCATCTGCAACTATAGCTCGATATATCTCTTAAAGCAGCTGCGACTACAGATGATCTTTTGCATAGGTATACATCAAAGCGTAGTTACAATTTGTGGTGGCATTCAAACATCTGTATTTACAAAGAGAGTCATCTGCTTGATGTGGATTGGCGTCGTGTGACTCACAGACAGGCTGTGTAGTTCTCATGCTCCTGGGTGTTTCTCTGTCTTCTTGAAGCTGAGTTCTCTGGTCGGGGGTGAATGAAGCAGGCATCTTCCGCCATTGTGAGGGAGGAGAGCGCCGTTGTGCCGAAAATGCACCGCGGTAGCAGAAACTTCTGCTTGTCATGCGGAGAAATTCGGCGGAAAATATAAAGGGCGGCAGAGAAGGTCACACCTCTCGGTCGACGCTGAACTGGGACCGACCAGAAGAGGTCTCGCTGCCAACAGATACGTTCGACCGAAGGGTCGTGATAGATTGCTATAGGTAAGATACAGGTGAGTCAGAATCTGGGCGAAGACAGGCTACAAAAGTGAATCATCGAGGCGTCATAGATTTTCAATACTACGGGTCTTGAAAGGCAAGGTGGGTCGTAAAGGTTTTCAATACGGTTGTCGTTAAGTGTAGTGTGTCGTGTAGTTCATATCAATTTAGGTTTGCACCACCAGGAAGACGAAAATGATCACTGGTGGGACCAAGATCAAAGTTGAAACTGAAACTCGGCCAAAATTTTTTGTGATCTAATTGTTCATCTGATACAACTATCAGATAAGCAATCACACGAGCAGCTCCTGCACTTGCTCTAGTACAAACTGCAGTAATTGTAAGCTCGGTCTCGGCAGCCTGATACCGACAAGTGAGTGCTAGAATAATCCTCAGACGAGATGCGAAACAAACTACAGCTACACGAAATGATTTTTCGTCAATTGAAACTGTTCTGTTCGGTGACGGTGAGCCTGGGAACCTCCTTGTCGACGCAGAGGCGCGGTGCTAGTACTAGCTACGTCCGGAGACGAGAGAGCAATATTCTGCGTAGCAGGTAAAAAAGCAGTGCAGAGCAGCGGTTCTAATACGTTGATATTTTTATCGAAGTTCAAAATTTCAGAATCTCTCTTCTGCACGATAATGTTTGTTCTTCTGCATACAAGAGATTTTTAATTATTGCGGTAGGGGGAGAAACTCAAACTCTTTTCGAGTCATTTGAATTTGTATTGCATTTGTTGCATTTTCATTCATACGCGATCTTTTCGCACACGTCAACTTCATGTTGTTTCTTCTCCATTTCCGCAGCAAACTCGGAGGGTGTTCTCTTCAACCCGTTTTTGACGTTATCCGCATCCTCACTTGTCAACGGCGCACCCCGTTTCGCAGACAGCAACATCGTGAAAAACAGACTGACACCCGCGACGAAGGGAACTCGGGCCCAAAGGGGGCAAACGGAGAAGTTGATCGTCATTGCCGGGACCCAAATCTGATGTTCGTTTGGTGATTTTTCTGCATGGAAAATTTGAGTTTCTTTCGTCAAGTCGCTGTGTCATGCTCCTGCTCCTGGAACCAGGATGCCAGCAGCACTGGTGACTTCATTCCGTTGATTCTGCATCACAGATCTCGACGCATGCCAGTCATGCTTCCATCTTCATGATGAATGAGGTTGAGGACAAGCAACACTCTAGTAAACAAAATCTATACCTGCCAACACGTCTTCAAATCATCCTGCCAGTTTTTTGCGTAATTTCCCAATCCAGTTTTCACCGCGGTTTCGATTTTCGAAGCATATGCACTGCAAAAGCATCGCACTCGTATAAATGCATTACAAAGTTCCTCAGCATGAGAGAGGAAATTTGTATATGCAAGTTTACCTTAAAAAGAAGATTTGTAATGCATGATTGCAATACGAGTACGATACTTTTGCACAGGATAAAGCAAATGCGTACCCGATAACTTCGTCCTCGACAATGGTCTTCACGTCTTTCTCTTTCACAGAGGACGGTGACTGTTCAGCAGAAGGTCGTGGATTCGTTTCGACTAAAGCCTTGACGTATCAAATGCAAAAGTGTCCGGCGGGTCTGGAAGAACAGAGCAACTTCTCATGCTACATCTGAATCATGTAAAAATCTGTATTGCAGGATTACCAAAAGCTGTCCACTTTTGACCTAATCGAGAGGCAGTGTCTGATGCAGGATAGGCATGATAGAAGGGTCGCAGAATCTGTCATGCTATGTCCTACATACCAGACCTCATGAGTCATGGAAAACCTGCATGACAAGTCTGGCAGTCTTCCAGACCCAGACATATTTGCATTTGATATGACGCAGTAGAAAGCGGGGAAGAACATAAACGGGTGGTGGATAAATTGATCCAGAAACACCTGCTTCGCCACGATCCGCTGTCCAACCTTGTCCGCAAGCTTCGCGTTGAAAGACTGGAGAAGTGATTGTTTGATGAGTTTCTCATGCTAAGTCAGCACGTGAAACTGAGTTTGTCATGCACGATAAGGACCAGAAAATTAAAAGACCCACATCCAGATCCATCGGACCAAAGATTCATCATAGTAAAATATACCTTCGCCACAAAGGCCGCAGCTTGGGGGAAGAGTTTGTGCGCGAACAAATGCACGTGGATGAAATACTGCACACCGCCTAACCAACAAATTCCCCAGCAGCCGAACAGCAAGCTTCTTGTTTTGTCGATCTCTTCCCGCCGTTCCACGTATTTCTGCACGACAAAATCGGCTTATGACAGTGCACAACTCCCCCTTCCCCTCATTTGTCATGCAAAATCCCAAATCCAGTCGCTGCCCTGTGGCACTATTTGCATGACAAATTTCGGAAGCCCACACAATACTATATTAGGTAAGCACATAGATTTGTCATGCATACTAGGGTCCATGTGCGCTGGTGTTTGTATTGCTGTTCATGCCATACAAATGAGGGGGAGGGGGGGTTGTGCACTGTCATACGGCCAACAGAGTTTTCAAACCAGAAATCACGACACCGAACTTCACTGGATTCCCCGCAGCGTAGGCTTGGGTCAATTTCGAGAAGTGTTGCAATCTCACTCGGAGGGTCTGGAACAGAAGACGGCTAGTCGTAGTGGTGCTGTAGTTGATTCTAGTCCCAGAAGTTTTGAAAAAGTTGTTCAATTTCGTGGCACTGTTCCTACTGGTCCTGCTTGTGAAGTAATTCCGAGTCAGGTTGTGCGGAAAGAGGTGGTCAGAAGCTTTGTTTTTCGATGTTGTCCTCGCACTGTTGAAAAAGAACTTTTTGGAGTTCAATTTGGCATGGTTCACTGCCTTGGAAAAATACTTTTCCAACATGTTCTTGGGTGGTCGGCTCGGTGAAGATGAACAAACAGAGGCAGCTGCTACTTCGTGGTCGGATTGCGATTGTCGACGTACAACTCAATTGTTGTAGATGCTTTATTCTCAGCTGTTTCAGATGAAGATTTGTTGTTCTTGCGTATCACTAATTTTCACGTTCCTCGGCAGTCGGAGGTCCTCGTCAAACAATCGAAGAGTCAGTTGAAAATCAGCATATTGTCGGTCGTGGCTGCGAGCCGTTCTTCGAGTTCGTGGAGATACCGGCGGTCGCGGCCGCGGTGAAAAATTTTACGTGCAGGTTCTTGGAGCTGATTTTGAAACCACTGGTGTAGAAGCAAGGTTCCTGTCCGACAAACTCTGGCTGTTCCTGTAGTGTTCCGTCGGGGCCACGGTTGGGTGTGCCTCTAGAAGAAGTTCTGCGGTCGTGCTGGGCAGTCATTTTGCCGCGAAGAAATGAACATAGAAAAGATTGCACTGAAGGTGAATCGGGCAACACTCGAAATACAGTCTATTTCGTGCTAGATTTTATTCATTGAGAAGAAAACACACGACACTTCTGCGCACAGAAATATGACATGGCATACGTACAGAAAATAGGCTGGCCCGAATAATTATCGTCATACTCATAAGTAAGATCGAATGAGGGCGGCGAAGCAGAGGACCACGGCATGGAGGAAGATTTACGAGCCACCACGACACTGAATCAATACTATGGCGACGACGAATCTCTCACAGTTTGTTACCTTGTCGACGATCCGCTCAAACTAACACTGCGCCATCACGAAAGCAAGGCGATCAGTTCCAACATTTGCTGCTCGCGACAGGAAGGTTTCTTTGGGGGCATCGCAATCGCACACAGCTGGCTGTGGCTCCTTCGTGGCTGCACAACAAACACCAGCAGGGAATGGGCCCCGGGGACGAGGCAACACGCTCTGGCTATGGTAGCTCGCATCAACCCCTCGCCCACAGGGGGGGAAATGAGGGAAGCACAGGCGGGGTCGGCAACAATACCCAGCGAACCACGACGGGACGGGCACTCGCGCCGCGAAAATAATTAATCTGAGGTGACGCTTGGAGGCGGGCGCGCGCTTGGTTGGCAGCAAGCATGGAGGCGGGCGCGCGGGCGGGGCGGCGGGCCCCGGCTCCCTTGCCTTGGTGCGCCACAGACGCTCGCCCGACCGACCGACGCCGACCCGCCCGGCCACCACTGTGGGCGAATTAATGCGGGGGCGGGCCATTTTGGCGCGCAATGTCTACGCCCACGCCAGCCAAGGTGGAGGCGCGGGCCGGGGATGCAACTCCGGCCGCCCGCGGGGGGGTGCGTGGAAGGCCCCGCCGGCAGGCGTGCGAACCAAAGAGCGGGCGGGGGGCAACGCACGGGCCCGACCCGCGCGCCCTCTGAACCATACCACGCGCACGGGCCGACCGCGGGCGGTTCCCTGTTGCCTTGCGTGCGTCACGTAAACTCCTCGCGGCAAAGGCAGGCGCTTCACGGCTCGCCGTTTGTGCTTCGACCGCTGCCGCCTGCCTCCCTGCCTCGCTGGCCCCGCCCCGGAGTCCGGCCGGGCAGCGTGCGGGCCGATGCTAGGCGGCGGGCGCCCGCGCGTCGGTCCACTGAATGCACCGGGCCGGAGACACACGCACGCAGGGCAGCGGGAAGGCGGCGCGGCTCCGCCGAACCTGGCGGGCCCCCCGGCCCCTGCCTTGCTTCCCTGTCACCCAGCGGCGTCGTGCCGTGGCGTTGGTTCTCATCAGCGCGGTGGCTGCCTGTATCCCCGGCGCGGCTGCGCCCGCCGGGCGCTGCCGCCGGGTCGCTAGGAGGGGGCTGCGCGCTGGCTTCCGCTTCGCCTTCCGGCGCGGCCGCGAGCGAACGGGCCCGGCCCTTTTTAGTTATCACGCGCCGGCCGGGGCGCGCACTAAAAGAAAGGAAAGCAGGCCGCTGCGACACATATGAATGCGAAGTCGAATTATCGGCATAATGATAATACACGCTGGTGACCTCAATCGAACCGCCGAAATGCTCGAGCCTGGAACACCAAATCATATCACCTGTGATAGCGAACTCTCGATGCAGGGTTTTTTGTGCTTTGGCTTTCTGTCGAAGTCGATTACGGTGTCACTACCTTTTACTCAGTCAACCGTAGTAAAGAATATCACGCTTGTTCTATTCTTTTAAGTCTAACATCTACTTCTGCTGTTTCTCGAATGTGTATTCTGCCACTTTGACTCGCACTCACTTTTCGACAATCTCTAATAACAACCTCTTTCACGACGCCAGAACTTCCTCCGTCCTCGAAAAACACTTTTACAAACTTCTCAATATCGTTTTCGAAAACATCCCGGAGGATTTTCACGAAGTCTACCGGAACGACGTAGTGCTGAGACAACTTCTTGGCAGAAGTCGTGTTTCTAGTACTTCGACGTCCAGATGATGTCGTTCTTCCCCCAGCACCTTCGCTGCTACCCCCATCGTGATCGTCCTCCACTTCTTCTCCCTCTTCGTAAGAACTCAGCGCCAGCGTTCCCAAAGTCGTGTTCCTGACCCGGCTCGGCCGGTTGTAGGCGAATCGCGGGGAATCTAGCAGTTTTTTCCTCATGTCCTCCGAGTGTTTCGCCAGGAAATTTTTCCTCCAGTGTTTCTCCTCTTGTTCCCAAGGGAATGCGAGGAATTTCAGGTATCGTCGCCAATTTGTCGTGAAGGAGACGGTGGTTGTGGTAGTTGTACGGGGGTGTCGTCGTAGTTCTTGTGATGTTGCGTCGACAGAAGTTGTAGGAGAGTCTTCTTCTTCCTCCAAAGCGCTCTCCAGGCCGCATTCGACGTTGAGGACGAGTTTGGTTTCTGTTAGTTCTGTTGTTTGTCCTGTAGTAACATTATCGGGGGTCCCCGCTCTCGCTTCTCGTAACCGGATCGGAAACTGATCCAGCACTTGCAGACGGCCTTTCCAGGTCATCAAGCGCGTCCTACTTCTTGGGCTTGTTACTACTGTGGCTGATTTGTTCATCTTCTCGACGACATGCTGTGAATCAGAATGATCGCCAACATGATTGGCATCACTGCCGTCTGGTTTATTTTTGCTTTCCATCTTTGCTTTATCTGCCAACAATTTCCCCTTCACAACCTCTTCATACGGGTCCCCTACCCCCAGTCCCAGCCTCCTCCGTTTAAAGATATTCCCTGAAAATTAACCATCGTCCACTTTTCGCATGACACGCACGACAGGCCTTACTGCGTGTTTTGCATCACAAATTGGATGGGGAATGTGGTTGATTTTCAGGGAATAAAAGACCGCGTCGGCGTATAACCCGATCTCGTTGAACGAAAATTTCTTCTGAAAAAACAAAAAATCGGTCGTGCAGAAGGAGTGCTCCCTTGACCACAGTATGCATTGCAAATATGTCTGGGTCTGGGAAGTTGTGATGCAAGTAAGTCAATAATAAGCGCACTGCAATGCGCCGCCAAGCATGACAAGTTTCTTCGTGCTTCTGTGCTGCGTATTCCGCATGACCATGAGAAGCTGCGTTTTTGCATGACAGGCGAGAGAAGCTGTTTCTTGTGGTCACGCAATACAGAGCTCAGAGTCATGCCAGACTAGCACGACAAACCTCGCAATCTTCCAGACCCAGAGCCAGACATATTTGCACTCGATACACAGCAAGTCGCCGCAGTTGTCCCCCAAAGTCGTGTAGTTCAGCAAGTTCATGATGAACAAAGCCTGCGAGCAAAGCGGCGCGTGCTGGTACGGGATGTTGCAAATGTCCGCCGTCATTTCTAGTTGAATGGATTTGATCGCTCTTTGGAGCAAGAGCTGGGAGCGCGGAGAGAAGTGGAAGAGTTTGTGATGCTGCGGTGAAGGTACTACACCAGATCCAGAAACAGAACTTGTCATGCGGGAATGCAGCTCATTGTGGGGTTGTATAGTTGCGTCCAGCTTCAACAGTCGGTGCATGAATCTCCCCTCGTTTTCAATCAGCATGGTATCCAAGAAAAAAACTGTGTTAGTGTGAGTCTTTTGGGAAAACAACATCACAAGTTTGTCTGCCATGACAAGAAAAACTTGTTATGCGCAGATAGGAAGGGAAAACACATAGGAAGCGAGCCGATCATGCATGTCGAGCATGACAAGTGTAACTGTTTTGCATTTTCTGCATGACAGATTTACACTTATACAGTTTTTTTCTTGCATACATGGCGTCCAGCGAGTAGTGCGTCATGTTCAACAGCCGCTGAACCGGTATTGGAGGGGAAACGGCGGAAACTGCCGATGCAGATTCTAAGCTGCGAAACAAGGGAGAAGATGAGAATCTCAAGATCAAGATCAATCGCATGATCGGAGGTGAGCGAGTAATCATATGGACAACTTTGTACGTACACCTGCCACAATAATAGATCATACATAGGGAAGGCCTCTAGCTCTGTATGTAACACCCTCCTTTGTTCCTCAGTTTCCACCGCAGATGGTCCAGAAGCGAACATCTCCTACTTCCATAAAATGCGGAGCAGGAGGGAATGCTGCTATCAATCTCTTACAATGTCAAACTGAGGTGTGTTGGCGAGAATGGACCCGACGACGTCCACGTCATACCCCTGCGCGTCGATCTTCAAGAAGTCGATGCTGTTCTTCCTATTGCTTTGCAGCATTCCAATTACCCCGGAGTCCAACAAAGTCCGCAGACTCACGACCGGGACAATTCTCGTTGACAAAGTCTTTCCACACCGCTCCGTCCAGAAGGCCTTGTGCAGGTCCTGCTGTTCCTTCCTAGCCGTGGAGGATTTTTCCTTCCTCTCCTCCTCTGCATCTGCGAAAACCTGGGTGGGAACGGTGCCGGGGAGTAACCCATCGAGCTTCTTGGAGTCGATTTTTGATAAAGACGAGCACCCGTCGAGCTTCGCGATGTGGAAGGGAAGGTATTTCTTGATACTGAGAAGATGCTTCTCGCTTCGATGTTGCGGTTTGTCATGCGGAGTGGACGAGCCAAAATGAAGATGAAGATCAGGACCACCTTGAACTTCTTCTTGCCCTTCTTCCAGTACAACTTCTTCAGCTGCTTCTTCTACTGTCGTTACCGTATCATCCCCGACCGCAAAGGGAAAAACCAGGTATTTCCCGGGTACTGACCACAAATCCTTCCACGAAATGCACAGTGCTGTTGTAGTTGCAGCGCAAGAAGTTGTTGGAGTTTGTGTAGTTGTGTCTACAACATCATCACCAGTTTCATCAGGCGAATAGTATTTTGTCACCACCCTCGCGTATTTGTCCAAAACGGGTTCAAATCCAACTACCAAGACGTTCTCCTGCTCTTTAAATTCGTCATACACTGAAGCGTCGTTAACACCAACCTCGACGACGAGTTTTTTATCTTTGTCCCTCGCAGGAGCTGCAGCAGCTTCTACTGTTACTGTAGTTCCAGTTCGGCTTTGTAGTAATTCTTCCTGGCCAGGCTCCTCAGCCACTGCGGCTGTTGAAGAAATGGATTGTGGTTGTGCAGCTGATGCGGCGGTCGTGGGAACCACATCAAGAAGTAGTGGCTCCTCCTCACGAAGTTCCATTTCGAAGGAGACAGAAAGACCTGTGCTTCCGCTTGTTCCTGGGTCAGCATCTCGCTTTTCATCCGGGACAAAGATCCCATGGGCCGCCAGCTTTCGCTTGGTGTCGTCCGCAATTAGGCTTTCTCCAGCTCCTGGTGTTCCGCTCCCGGCCGCAAAGAGTGGGAATGGACCGGCAATAAAGTCAAACAGGAAAGCAACACGAATACCACGAGGCCAAGACATTATAGCCACATCTATTACCACGGAAGAAAGTTCAACTTCAAGTTGGATGGTGTGCTCGTCAATAGTAGATAACGACGCTGCTGGTACGCTCAGCGCAGAGGTTCTCTTGGTTTTGGTCGTAGTTCTAGTTGCCGATCTTAGCTAGAAGAGGAATTCCTGCTTCATTTGTTTTGAGTATCAGTATTATACAACATAGTTAGGAGGCAGCAACATGTCACTGCTATTGTCATCAGATCCAGATTGCAGTGACCGATCGAAAAATAAGAAAAAACGAATGCTAGCGCCTCAACTCGCATTGCAATGCGCGGCGTCTTCACGTCTTTGTTCTGAACGTCAGCGAACACAAGTCCGGCACTTTATTTGCAGCCAGATAATGACGAAACCACACAAACATCCAGTTGCCGCTCATTGCGACCAGCCGGTGAACCGAAGGAAAGGGCTGCGCCAAACTGCGGGCGGCTTTGGTCCTCGCACCAGGCGACACGCATCTGCCCATCGTTGTCCGACAAAAGCTGTTCGACGTCCACGACCCCGGCCGCTTTTTTCGGTTTGCGGGCGCCAATACGAAAGCCTCAAAGGCTAGCTACTGGTACTGAAGGACTTCGCGGCACGAAAACCGAGAGTGAGGCTTTTCTGGGTGGTCTTGTTCTCAACATTCTACTGTATCCAGTCTCTGCCCCCCACCATTCAACAAGAGGCGCTATCACATGCAGCGCTGGTTCCTCCGGTTCTTCTTCTTTCACCTCCTCGACACTACCCATTAGTCTGTCGCCTCCGGTTCTTTCAATCTCCTTCCAACCATCCATCTCCCACACCCCTGGCCTGAAAAGACATAGTCTAAATGACAATAGGAACACGCGACTTCATTCCTGCCGCCAGAAAGTGAGGATGACTTCAATGACGACCCGGCGGCCCATATACAGATTTATTCATTTTCATGATCATGCTCGTTGTTAAAAGATAGAATTAATATCAGAGCGCTCTTTCACCTGCTTCTCTGCTGCACGAGCTCGCGTTTCATGTGCTAGGTGGTCTAATTCTTGACGTTTCATATTTCCACCAAACAGGAGAAGTCACTCCTGGGCGTGCTGCATACAGCCATAGAAGCGAATTGCTCTACTCCGATTTTTGCATTGGGTAACAAGTAGTCTTTAATATATTCGGTAAGAAGAAATTTGAGATTGAGTGACAACAAGAAATCGTGTTCGACGGTATCGGTATTATATGTTATTTTCAAGAGTTAGAAGTGCTGGTCGGTAAGCAAATTTTGATTTTCGAGACGTCCGCAACTATCATAAATTCACAGATAATCATTGACGAGTATGTTGAACAGAGCTACCAGGTTAAAGTTTTGCGTGTATTTAATGAGTAGATAGATGAAAGTCAAAATAAAAAGGAAACACTTATACTGACAGAAAACTCGAAAACAATAAATTTGGTTCAAACAACTTCGCTGTGCGATCGATACTCATGACATGCACATGAGAGACAAGCAGGAAAAGCAATTCAGAACAAGCAGGAAAAACAACACTGAAGGGACCGCTGTCCTCGCTTCTGTGGTATCTGCGTAAGATGACCCAAGCAGCCCAGCCTCAGCAGCCTCAGCATGAAGAGACCGCTGCCCTCGCTTCTGTGGTATCTGCGTAAGATGACCCAAGCAGCCTCAGCAGCAAGAAATTGAATCGGAGCGGCGCTGCTTCCGGTTCTGCTGCTTGTTTGCGGCCTATGATAGTGCACTACACCCTCGCCCCCTTATTTGTGTACTAGAGGTATAAATGAACGGCAAAACTACAAGCGGCACAAATGGCAGAAATCATGGGCCCTTCGTATTACGAAGAAATGACCTAGTACACACGGACCGACTGATGTAGTAGTGGTACTCTTTCAGGCTCCACCAAAATTACCTATGCGAGTTGTCCTAGTCGTGCTCTAGCTTGAATAACGCAAGGAAGTGCAAGTGAGCCCAAGTGGTGGCTGGTGGATTAAATCCACCGGAGGACTACAAACCACGTTGGTGGACACGATGCAGAATGCAAACTACCAGACCCACTGGATTTGGTAGTTTGCATATACAAACGAGGGGGAGGGGGAGTTTTCCCACTTCCATACGGCCGGCGCAATCAAGTTTGGACCGTAGCCACGATATGCACCGCTCAGATGACTAGACCATCTCAGCTAAGAAACGCAACCGCATCCCCGTTCTTACGTCCCGGTCCCGGGACCGCGAGCATCTTTGTTTTGCGCTCCTTGTCACGCGCATGTACATCTACAACTAGATCTTCATCTTTGTTGTATAAATGATTTTACATAAGTAGATCATGAGCATGACATCGACTATATGAAAAGTACTGAACACTACAAGTGGCGCCGAAATTGCAATTGCAGACAATTATCAATGCGGTTGAGATTGCGACTTACTAGCAATCCAAATCAATCATGCACACAGACACACAAGCCGTCGAATAAAAATCAAGGTGGCTAGTCGATGCGAGCGGGCCATACAGTGCAGCATGTTTGCAGCGCATTGTTCGCGCTAGCGAAGAACACCGGCACAGTGGCGAGATCGGGAATTGTGGCGGGATCGCGAAACGCGGCGGCAGGATCACCACTAAACTTCTGCTGCTCAACACCGGTCTTGTACCTCGCCTTTTCCGCGGAGGAGTAATGCGTCGCAACGGCGGTCATTATGCACACCGAGTCGTCCGTTACCGGTTCTGCAGGAGGTGGTTGTTGAGCAAGCATCATTGACTTCCCCGCATCGATATGCTGTGCAGAAGTATCGCACTCGTAGAAATGGCAATCTTGCATGACAAACCTACCTTTTTACCTGAACTAGCATTACAAATTTCATTTGGCTTTCTGATAAAATTTGTAATGCAATTTGTACTAATACGATACTTTTGCAATGCATAATCGACCGCCTTCCGGCAGGTGGTCTGCTTGTCCACGCTGATCTGCGTGCGAAGCAAGTGTATGGAAGCGTCAGGTTTGAAATCGTCAAAGTTGAAATAATTTGCAGTGCCGAAAATGCGATACAAAAAGTGACTCTATTGCAGAGGACCCACGGGAGGCCGATTATAGTCCTGGTAATGGTCAAAAGTTGGACTGCTAACTAGCATGACAGAAGGCAGCCCTTTTACCCTAAACCGCATGACAGACTCGCTTCCAGGACCGGGAAAATTTGCCATGCACCGACTACAGACTGTAGGTCTAACCGGTATCCGTTTTGTGCATGACAAACTATCTCAACTTTGACGATTTCAAACCTGACACATCCATAGAGTGTGGGCCGTAGTTAGAATATGCCCCGCTCAGACTAGACGACCTCGACTTAGTACCAGTGCCAACAGCAGCTTCTGCTTCGTTTGTGATTAATTGCGCAACAACTGCTTGCACTTGATGTGTCTGTGCAGTTTTTTACTTTCAGCTCGGATTGCGCGGAACCAGTGGACGGCTCTCGGACGCTTACATACATATACAAGCTGTTGCAATTTTCGTCTGCTGTTGGCAGACAGATTCAATTTATTACTTAAATCTATTCTTTTATTCGAGCAGGAAGCAAGTACTATATATGCACGCACCACAAACCTTCGAGTGGTGTCAAGGCTAGTCGAAATGAGCGGGCCAACATACAGTGCAGCAGGTTTTGATGATTCCGTTCATCATGAGGGTGGGCGCATCAGGATTGTCTGCATTGATAGCAGCAACAGTAGCCGGATCATGCACGAATTTGATGTTTTCCGGACCACTCTTTGCCTCCGCCTTCGCAGCGTCCGTGTAATAGAACGAGAACGCGAGAACCTGGCACACGTGCGGATTCTGGATCTTCATTGCTGCAGCAAATTTTTCAAAGTCGGGGGTCGTTTGGGAATTACTTTGGGCTTGGTCGAGCACAAGTTTACAGGTCGGCTCTTCTTCTTGCGGTGCCTTGTTCGTTTTCAGGGTGTTCGTGCCCTCGCCGGTACCGAAACCGAGGCGGCCCAGAAGCTATCAGAGCGCACAATAAAAACTTGCTCCCCTTGTTTATTGCCTATGTATGCATGGAAAAATCGTCGCAGTGCAAGTGCTGCAACTGCGTGCAGCTACAATAAATTGCATTCTCTCGGCATGATCAGCTTTGCGCCGCACGATTTAACTTTAGTCATGCCGGAGCTTGAAGACTGCACTCAACAATACGATTGCGATGCTTGTGTGCAGTGCAAAATGCCTCATGCGCAGGAGGCGGATGCGACCAGCAACAGAAAGAACATCAGCATCACCGAAGCCACCAGATCCATACTTAACTCGACTAGCATCTGCATTTCCCATTGCAAATACTTTCGTTTTGCATTTCTGCTGCAGCTTGTCATGCAAAAAAGTACAGAAAGGCCCCAAAAATAAAAGCACGCGCGGTTCTTGCGCCTTTCGATGACAAATCAGAACGAGGGAAACAAGCAGCTCTTCCACACTCCCATAGAAGCTGCGCGACGTCAACGGCCGCCGTCGGTTTGAGGGCGCCAAGAAAAGCGGCACTCCCCAGGACCAACGCCGTTTTGTTCTGGAGCAGGACTTTCATGATTTGTCTTTGCGCGGTAAAAGGCAAAATAAAACAAGGGGCAACTTCTGCGAGTGTTGAACTCAAATTTTCAGACAGCCGATTTTTGTTGAATTTTCAAAACTTGAGCGATCTTCGATTCCTCGTCAGTTTCTGTCGATGCAAATGCAGCTAGAGCGTACTACTCCTACCGAAAGGTGCTAAAACCTCCACGAGGACGAGGACCTGAAAAAATTGAAATAAATATGAAAAAATTGAAATTCTAATAAATTCTATAACCGAAATTTCACAACTATAGCAAACGACACGTTGTCCTCGCGCCATTCCGTCAAACTTATTTCCAGTCTGCAAACCGGCACCGACTTTTCTTCAAGCTAGACAAAACTTTGACTTGTTCTGCTCCAGCTCCACAACAGAGCTAACGTCGGCGAAGACGCTGCAATTCTTCTCCGGACTGCTGCAAAAAGGACGAGTAGCGACACCGACAAAGACCGCTTCAATGTACGCGAAACGTGCCAAGATAGAAGGACCGATAAAACGCGCAAAGAAGCTGCGCCACAGCGACGAACCTGCAAAAAAGACCGAGATGTTTTCGCGGAAAAAGATGTTAAGCGACTTTTTTCTCCAAAGCACGAAATACAATTACAAATACTTAAAAAAGGCGGGCTAGAAGTAGTCACTGAAGCACTCCGCAGCTGCACGAAAACCGAGTAGAGCCAGGCTTTTCTCATCCGAGGGTGGTCTTGTTCTCAACCGAAAGATAGATACAGACACAGACAGCTCATGTGTGTGAATAGAATTGTCCCGCCCACGCCCTGACATAAGGAGGGTGAATGCTGGAAACAAAGATTTTTTTCCCGACCGAGACAATGCAAGCGCAACACATGACGATTTCGACTCTGCGATGTGAAGTAAAAATGGAAGAGCTTCCGCGCCGGGTCGGGTTTCAAAATCAAATTGAAGAATCGAAACTGATGAAAAAAGATAGTCAGCAGCTACGAACCAGAATAGCCACGGTTTTTATTCGTGTCGGAAATTACGGACTCGCATGATTTTCATGCTGGCACAAAGGACTGCGACTGGCCATGTTCAGGACCTGTATTTGGAAAAAACTAAAAGCTCGGAGAGCACTTAACCAGTTGTACGCAGTTTGTTTGTTGAAGATAGAGCATTTGGATTTGCTTTCACTTTCAGTTTCAAATGATAACAAAAACAATAGCAGTATACTTCTAAAACTAAAAGAAAAAATGACTTTTCGTGTGAGCGTGCAGCTTACATATTTTGTTCCTCACCTGTTGATGACAAGAATGTGACAGAAACCGAAATTCGTTTCTAGCGTGAGAAGATGTAGTAGATGTAGTCATCTGTAGTTTACTCTAGCGGTTCTTGTATACTGGCAGCCGTGAGCGACTTCTTTGCAAGTAGAACCTATGTATCTACTTCACGACAGCAACTAATATCCTAGTACACCCAGCAGATGAATGTTGTCTCTACCTCCCCCCATTCAACAAGTGGTTATCGTGCAGTGCGGGGTCTTCGGGCTCCTTCACCTCTTCGACATTCGTCTGCTTCGACCCGGCGATACCTTCGTCTAAGTGAAACGTCTTCTCACCTAGCTCAGACTCAATACCATCCTGGTCTTCAATGCCGACGTTGCTTTTCGTGGTGTCCAATAAATTTTCGTCCACGATGTCCTCATCCAAAGTCGTAGTCGTCCTTGGGGGCGGAAGTGGTTTTGCGGCGGTCCCGGCGGAAGAAGTTTCCGCTAGGTTCATGTCGTGCGGCTGGTTCTCCGATTCTTCGTCGGCATTTGCTTTTGCCGGTTGTTGTGCCCCGTTGGCACTATTTGTGTTGCTAGACTCGGGACCAGCTGTTGCGCCATCAGTCGTGTTGCCAGGAGGACCTGCACCCGTAAGAAGATTACTTCCTTGCTCACCAGCTGGTACAGTGGTTGGCGTGTGCGTGAGAGAATCCTGCAAAGTCACAGGATCCCGCTGCTTCAAAGAAGCGCGCCCGGACGTGCGGGTTTGTGGAGAAGCTTTTTCGTCATCTTGAGCTTGTTGTAGCTCCCCTGCTTTCATCATTTGTTGTGCCTGTTCGTCCAGCGCTTGTTGATCACCCACAACTGCGTCCTCGTCCCCTTCAGCACCGCCACCAACTCCCCCTCGATTGCTCAGAGATGAGGAGGCAGTAACAGTTCCAGCCGCTGTTGGTCCTGACACCGCAGCCGCTCCACCATGCATCACCACGTTGTCCACCACTTCCACATGGGTCAAATCCATCACTTCCCCACCCGAACTCGCCTGCTTCGACGGGACCTTTTCTCGTCTTGTCAACGCCACCTTGTCCCGTTTCGCCTGCAACTCCACCTTCGGACTGACAAACAACGCCATCTTCCGTTTCGCCGACAGAAAATGCAACTGCGCGGTCGACGGAATTGCCGCGGCTGGGGGAGAGGAGGGGGCACGCTCTTGTGTGCCGTCTGCAGGAGGAGCTCCTTCTGTTGTACCAGGAGCTGCAGCAACAGAAGTTTTGGTTGTTCCAGCATATTCACTAGCCTTGCTAGCCACACCCGTCGTTCCTGGAATCAAAGGCCCCGAAGTTTTGCTCCCCCGCCTGGAAGACCGCCGGGTAGAGGTTTGGGATTGACTTCCAGAAATTCCTCTACTGCTCCTCGTCGTGTTATCCAACACATTCGCCCGGATGACTTGTTTCTTGATTTTATCCGGGGCAAAATTCACACTCGTCTCCTCCACCGACTTCCGCACCATTTTCGTCCGCTCCAAATGCGTGAAATTCTGCAAATAACTTGTCCTCGGCCAGTTCTCTTCGCTGCCAATCCGCGGGTGCGCGTAGTGGTCCATATCGAGGAAGTATTTTTCGGGTAAATTCAGTCCCATCTCGTGGATGTGTTCAGACAATTGCTTTAAGTGCAAGTCTATGCATTCGAAATGTGTCTGGGTCTGGGAGATTGCGATATTTGTCGTGCTAGTCTGGCATGACTGTGAGCTCTGTATTGCATGGCCGCGAAGAGCTCCTCCTCCCTGTCATGCAAAAACGCAGTTTCTCATGCGGAATACGCAAGTCAGAAGCATGAAAAAAACTTGTCATGCTTGAAACGCATTATGGTGAGCTCACTATTCCCTTCCTTGCATCACAAGTTTCCAGACCCAAACATATTTGCAATGCATAAAGTCCTCTTTGTGTAAGTGTTTTCGACTGGGCCCGTCCGCGGTGGAAGAGTGCGTCTGCCCGGAATTCGTGCTGCTGTTTTCGAGTAACTTTCGGAAGCCGTTTAACAGAATCGTCTTCATTTTCGAATGCGTGATCTTTTGTTTAATCGCGTTCTTCGGCGTGTAATTCTGTCGATCTAAGGCGCCTTTCTGCATGAGATTCTGCTCTTCTAACACCTGCAGCGCGTCCTTGTGGTACGCGTAATCGTTCTATCGAATGCAAAAGTGTCTGGGTCTGGAAGAGTGCGCGATTTGTCATGCAGCTTTTCCATGACCCATGAGGTCTGGAATGCAGGACCTAGCATGACAGAAGCTGTGCGATCTCTCTCATGCCTATCCTGCATGAGAAACTCCCTCCCGACTTGGTCAAAACTGGACGACTTTTGGTAATCATGCAGCACAGATTTTTGCATGCTTAAGATTTAGCATGACAAGTTGCATTCTTCCAGACCCAGACATTTTTACATTTGATACGTTCCTGGTCCGGCGAAAATCCCGGTCGAGTAGTTCCTGCTCCACGTGGCGGTTCGAGCGTCGAAAGGAATGCCTGGCTCTCTATGAAATGCAAATATCCCTGGATCATGTCTGGACGAATGCAGATGTTTCTCATGCTGTTTTTTGCCTTACCAAGCAGGTCTGGCATGCCAGCACTAGCATCACAGGTTCTAAGGAGGGTTCTTCATGCCTAATCCGCATGACAAATCCCCGCCTTCGGTGATAAGAAGTGCGCAACTTTTGCTGTCCATGCATGACAGATACTTGTGTCATTTGAAATTCGCATCAGAAGCTTGCGCTCTTCCAGACCACCCAGACATATATTGCAATGCATACTCTCGGGGAAACGGTGAACGGCCCAATTTGCTCATCCTCGGCGTAATCCAGGACGGAGAATTTCGACCCCTTCGACTGCCGGTTAGTTCGGAAATCAAAATCCTCCTTCGACTTATATGGCGTTCTCAAATGTTACACTCTCAACTGTTTACATGAATTTGTCATGCAAAAGCACCATCATCATCCTCACGATCAAGCTGCTCCGCATGACAAATTTGCGAAGGACTAATCCGCGTCTAAATCTGCGCCAAACTTGTAATGCAAAAGGCGCGATCTTCCTCCTTTCACTTTCGCCGTTCTTGCATTACAAATGCATGTAACAGCTGAAAATGTAACCTTTGAGAACGCCATAACTTATCGAGGTATTTCCGCAGAATGTCGCCCATTTTCGGCCTTTTGGAACTCGAACTCGCTGCGTCGTTCACATTGCCTCCATCCGGCGAGTTCTCCCTTGTACTCCCCGCGCCAAACGTGTTCTTACTGGACAAGAGCGACACCGCTTTGGAAAGAGACTGCACCCGTGTGTTGGGCGCGAACGCGAGTTCCTGCGCTAGTGGGGAGGGGATGCGGGGTCGTTTCGAAGTAGAGCCGGTCTTCGTGTCTTTCCCTTCTCCTTCTTCGTTGTTTCCATTCAACCCAGCACCGCCGTCTTCCCCCTCCGCGATTTGCAACAACCCAGCGGATTCGCCCTCCGCTTGCTGCTCTATCCTCGCCGCTGCGGCCGCGCCGAGGGACAGCGCTCTTTGTTTGTCTTGCTCTTTGTTCAGCGACATGCGCTTCATAAAATCCCGCCGGCTTTCCTTCTCGATCAATAACTTTTCCGTTTGGGACTTTACCTATCAAATGCAAAAATGTCGGGGTCTGGAAATTTGTGATGCTGGGTGGCGTATCATGAGGAGGCCACAAGAGCTGGCCCAGCATGACAAGTTTTTGAGCTTCTAGGTGTTGCCTATCCCGCATGACAAACTGCGTTTCTGCATGACAGAAAAATGGGGCATTTGGGTAACATGCATGACAGATTGTAGAGTCATGCCTGACAAGCATGACAAACATACATTCTTCCAGACCCAGACATTTTTGCATTTGATATTACCAAATTGTGCACGATGTTTTTCGTCTTATCAAATGTAAAAGTGTCTGGGTCTGGAAGATTCTAAACTTGTAATGCTGTCTCTGGATTCTGAAAAAATTTGTATTGCACGTCCAGCAAAAGGACTCCAGTTCGCGCTACTTACGCGGAGAGGGCATTTCTCATGCGGTAGAGGCATCGCAAAGTCCTCTAAAAATCTGTGACGCTAGGGCATGCATCACAGACATCATGGGTCATTCAAAATATGCATGACAAACCTGGCAATCTTCCAGACCCAGACATTCTTGCAGTTGATACGTTTTTTCCAGTAACGATTTCCGATGTTTCTCCTTCTCCGCAAACTCCTGCTCTTTTTTTAAGTCATTCTTGATTTCCTGTTCCGTTTTCTTGTGGTCTGGTTTTTTCAGATTCGTCGCGAAGGACAGCCGGTGGAGCTTGTCCAGTTTTTCTTGGTCAAAATCGTTGTTTTTGTTGGACAAAGAACTAGAATTGTTCTCGAACTCCTTCACCTGCTCGGCGATTAAATTCGAATTCATATCCAGTGCAGAAGCATCGCACTCGTAGTAATCGCATTTATGCATTACAAATCTCTTTTTCAAGGCAAATCAGCATGAGAAATTCCATTTGTTATGCTGCGCAAATTTGTAATGCGATTAGTACTAGTACGATACTTTTGCAGTTCATAATTCAGTTCAAACTGCAATTGTCTGTTCCTCAAATACTCCTCCGCTTTCCGTTGTTTTTCCGCGGCTTTCGACCCCAATTCTTGGAGAGATTTGCGGATTCGGGATTTGAATTTTGTCTGAATCGCCTCGGCCAGCTCCAGTTTGTTCGCGGGGGAGGGGGAGCGCGATAACGATTGTCGTTCCTGTTATGAGAGTGCACAACTCCCCCTCCCCCTCATTCGTCATGCAAAGTGCCTAACTTACGCCTTGGCTCTTGCCATTGTTTGCATGGCAAGTTCTGGCAGCCCAAATAGCACTGCACTCCTGTCCAAATTTGTCATGCAAAACCTGTATTCTCTCTGACGCTTGGGCTTGTATTGCTGTTCATGCGATACATTGAGGGGGAGGGGGAGTTGTGCACTTCCATACCTGTTTGATGTCGTTTAGAAAGGATTCCTCACCCGGGTCTTCTTGATTTTGTCCATCTTCCGTGGCCTGCTTTTCTTTCGTCTTCATCCGGTTTTGCTCCTCAGAAAGCATTTCCTTGCTCCTCCTCCTGGCCTTGGCCATCAACTTCTCTTCTGTGTCAGCGACATCTTCAGTTGTCTGCTGAAAAACATGGGAAGTTTTTACCGGCGTTTTCGGATCCAATTCTCCCGTCCACTTCACAATCAAGCGAATCTGATACTTCTGCGGCTTCGAGGAGAGAGAGGATAAAGAGAGCCTAGTTGTACTACCATTTTTCGGTTGTACAGCAACAACTTCCGAAGATGGCCTCAATGTCGGCGAACTTCCCAAACTGATTCTCGTCGCTGTGGAAAGCAACGGTTTTTTCACACTGGATCTGGTGCCAGAAGTCCTCCCTGTCACACTTTCTGCTGCAGATTTCCTGCTTTCCGCGCTGCTGTTGCGGGAGTTTCGTTCTTGGTGTCCTTTTTTCTCGCTCTTCCGATGGACTTCTTCTTTCAGGCAAAACCCGACATTGATCGAATCGCTTGTTTTGTCGTTTGCTAGGGAGAGATACATAAAAGGGTGGGTCAATATCCGCTGGATGCACTCCTCGTAGCTATCGGCCGTCATCTGCTCTTCCCGTTTTTCTTGCTTTTTCAGAACAGGGGTACCATCGGCTCCTGCTCGTGTTTGCGACAGCCGGGTGATTCTTTCCCGCGTTTTCTCATCCACGATTTTGTTGTCGGTGGCCAATTTGTGGCATTCGACGGGGGAGATGATGGACGCCGCGGGGAAGCTGCGGTTCCTGACCCGGAGCCGCTCGGTGTGGCGGGTGATGAGCTGCAGCTCTTCGTTGGTGGGAGGCCGGTACATGGTGTGGGAAGTGGAAAGTAGTGGTTTTTAGATGTAGTTTTTGGCTGTGCAGCTAGTACTCCTGGGGGAGGTTATGTAGTGTGCTTTTAGTCCTCCTTGAAAAGGTGTGAGAAAGAATAGACAATGATAATGATATGTCAATAAGGTCAATGACAATTTCAAGGGGGGCAAGGGGTGCTTGAAGCTGTCATCATGGTTATAGTACCAGGTTACAAGAAAATGCGATGTGGGCCACGAATTCAGACGCAGAGAGTTGCTTGCTTGTCATGTCACGACGACGACACACGAGCTTTTGCACGATTTTAGACACAGGGTCTGCAGGACCAAGGACGACATTACAACACACCGAAGTGAAGGAAAATTTTGCGACAGGTTTATTTATTGAACGATGAAACCGATAGTGCTTTATTACCTTACCGAAGAACAGTTTCCACGAGGAGCTCGACGGCGACAGGAAGAGAACGCGTAACACTACAGGTTGAGACGGCGTAGCTCAGATACATATCCACGATGCGCGAGCTGCTGGCAAAACTGGTCAAAGACTGCAGTGTGCCCGTTCGCGGTTGTGGCGAGAAACGAAATAGCTGCATTCTCATACTGGTGAAACGGAGGAGATACCCACATAAGTGGAGGCAACAAAATTTGTTCACATGGGGACGTAAACACGTTGGAAAAGCTATATGCTCTACAGCCAGGTGAAGGATATCCACCGTCTGCTGTAGTGACGCTTTATCGTCAGAAATCGTAGAATAAGGATTTTGTGATGTAGTGTGCCACAGATCGATGAAAAAAAGTAGTAAGCACAATAGAAATGCCGTGGGGGCCGTTCTCTATATGAAGATTTTTTCGTTTGCGAAGTTGAAGCTCGATACTTTGTTTTGCTTACTGATTGTACTGCTGTTTGTAAGTTACAGTTAGCAAGTCAAACAACTCTGCTGTATGTGGTTGTTTGCTTCTCGAATTTCTCTAGTAGTTTGTTCGAGTTTATTCAGATCGTACACCTCTTCTGATGCTGCCACTCACAGCCCATCAGCATCACCATCTCACGGAGCCATCTCCCCCGCGCCCTCATTCATCGCTTTTTGCACGAAGAACTTCGGCTCCATCGAACTTGCGTTCAAGGCGTTGTTGTCTTTGCCCAGAACCTATCAAATGTAAAAATGTCTGGGTCTGGAACCTTGTGATGCTGGGTGGCGTCTGATGATGAGGCTACAGATGCTGGGTCAGCATGACAAATTTCTGAGCTCCTAGGTGTTGCCTATTCTGCATGACAAACTGCCCTTCTGCATCACAGAAAAACGCACCTCTTGGGTAACGTGCATGACAGATTTAAGAGTCATGCCAGACAAGCATGACAAACATGAATTCTTCCAGACCCAGACATTTTTACAGTTGATAGAACCGCAATCGCAGCCGTGTTGCCCGCGTTGACGGAAAGAGAGCCACCTGTAGTTTTGGATGAATTTGTCTATGCATACATAGTACTTCATTGTCGTGAGGGAAATCTGTCATGCACGGAGGGCGGATCTAGATCTACTTCTACAGAATGCGTATACGAAAAATCTGGAAGATCTTCAAAGCTACAGTTGAACAGCCCATCTGTAGTACCTGAACAAGTCTTCATGGTGTTCGACTTGTCCAAGATTTTGATTTGCGCCGCGTGCGACGTCGCTTGCCCGACGATGGTAATCGAAGTTGCCCCCAACTTGAAAGACTCCCGCAGAAAGGTCATGTAGGTGGAAAAGAACTTCGACTTGTCCCCGCAATTCTTTCCCAATTCCTGGCGGCCGCCGTTATTCTGCAGTTTGAACGCCGGCGGGTCTCTGGAGATCGTGATTTTACACAGAGTGGTTTCGCTGGAATTGGTCGGCTTGGTGTAGTGCATGAACATGCAACCCATTGATGTATCCGACCAGACTAAATAGACGCACTTGTCTATGGAAGCGTCAGGTCTGAAATCGTCAAAGTTGAAATGATTTGTATAATGCGTAAAATGCATGACCCGAGGCACGTGTGTTGCAGAGCAGGCAAGTGAGGCCGATTGTAAGCCTGTTTGGGGTCGTTACGGCTCGAGCTGCTAAAATAGCATGAGAAAATCGCCCTTCTTTGCCTAAACAGCATGACAAACTGGATTTAGGAACCGCCAAGATTTGCCATGCGCCACCTGGAAACTGGGTTCCAACTGGCATCCCTTTTATGCATGACAAATCATTTCAACTTTGTCGATTTCGATCCTGACACACCCATATTGTCGTTCCCCGTAGCGCCGTAATTCGCCCGCGGGTTTTCCTCGTCGTGCCCAGCGGTGCTGTCACCAGCTAAGCAGGGATATCAAGTGTAGAAGTGTCTGGGTCTGGAAGATTCTGAGACTTGTCACGCATGTTTTGCATGATCAAGGATGTCTGCAATGCACGACCTAGCATCCCGGATTTTTAGAGGGCTTCCTGATGTCTACTCCGCATGACAAACGCCCTCCCCGCTTAGCACAAATCAGACTCCTCATCTTGCGGGTCATGCAATACAGATTTTTTTAGAGTCCAAAGTTAGCATCACAAGTTCCAACCTTCCAGACCCAGACATTTTTGCAGTTGATAAGGGACAGACGGCACCCATTTTGTTTTTCGTAGTTCTTGTTGTTGCGAGGGGGTCGTGGTAGTGGTACTGCGTTCTTGTTTTTCTTTTTGCTTCTCTAAGAGTGGGGTCGCCTGATTGACCTAAAGGTTTTGGTTCGAAGCAGGAGACAAAGTCTGGAGTTGTCGTCACCACGCAAGAACTACAGAGCGACTTTCTGCTGGTCGGTAAGTACAAACGAAACAAGCGGCTGCTACGGAGCAGACACCGAAGTCTGGATGTAGTAGCGTTGACCACTTATACCAGCGGCACCGGACGAGCTACAAATACCTGTTGTACAAACAGGAGACCAACTGTACGTGCACGAACCGATGATGCTTGCTGTTTGAACGAGAAGACGAGACGTAGCAGTACGAGGGGTCACGCAAAAATGCACTAGAGACGAAAAAGACCACCGAGAAGCTGTGTTTCAAGAGCGACGAGCGGAACCGAAAAAGCCATCTTTCAAACGAGTAAAGCGAAAGTGGTAACCGTATGATCGCGTGCTCCAATAGAAGTGATACTGTGGTGGACACTGACACGATCACGACACGAGTAGCCAAATAATTCACCCGGTGCAAGAACATACGCACGGCAGCGAAGGTTGAAGTAGTCAATTCAATTCCGCAGACTAGAGGGAAAAATTGTTTTCACACAGTATAATTCTAGTTCGTTTACACAGTAGATAAGCATGTGGAAATGAAAAATAGGCACGACATAAAATATTGAAGAGCTTTTTCTGAATTGCTTTAGCGAAAGCAAAGTACTGGATAGAAGCACCAGAGCGCTTCTTTGACGATTCTCCTTTGCACTTTAAAAAGAGCAGCACCACTTTACAGCCCCTTTTCCGTTTTGATTTTCTGTATCATCGCGACCATTCTTTCCTTCTTTTCCTTTTTCGAAGTCGCGGAAATCACCCCAGCCGAATGATCGATCAACTCCGCCAAAAACGCCTCTTTCGGATCATCCTCATGCGCAATCGCGTCCTCCTCGTCTCCATACAAATCCTTCAAAAAATGCTCTTCCACTTTCTCAAACGGTTCCGGTGCGTAGCTCGGTTTCGCCGGTTTCGGAGCGGCCTCCGGGTGGTCATCAGAACCTAACTCGATGTCCTCGATTTGGGAACCTAGTAACGGCATTTTGAAGGAGGTTCGGTGTCTATTGTGATGATGTGTAGTTCGGGAAGATGTAGTTTTTGTTCTCTGTGGACCACTATCAACACCGGCAGTTGTAGTCTCAGGTGGTGGAGCTGCTTCCCCTTCCATCCTCAACCTCGCCGCCCCCCTTCCCCTGGTTTCCCCCCTCTGTCTTGTCCTCCCGACGTTTCTATTCCCGGTGGAGAAACTGCCGACTTGGTCGCTTTCCTGATAATCGTACCTCTCCCGGATTTTGTCCACCAAAGCCATACTTCTCTCCGCGTACTGCCGGTCGCGTTTGTTTCTCTTCGTATTTGATTGGATCGAGGATTGCATAGTAGTTGCTGTGCTGGAAAGTTGTTGTCCGCTTTTCGAGAAACCGCCACTTGCGTAATTGCTGCCTGGGATAGTACTGTATCCCGATGATCCTGCGAACGTTAAAGCTCCGGCGGAGGAAGGTGGGTATTGTTCGTCTTCTGCAAGTTGTTTGCTTTTCAACATCTTCCCTCCAGCACCAGTCCTCTCTGTGCTCGGGCGGATGAGAATGTCGTTGATAAACTGCTGATCCTTGTGGATGTCAACAACAGGGAAGTCATTAATAATGGCAGCATCACCTTTACTGCCGGTTATTTTCGATTTCCTCCCTGGCCTGTAGTCGATCTCTGCCGCGGCTGCAGCGCCTTTTCCGCTTGGCAACACAACGTCGACGACTTCTGCGAATTTCGACGCGTTGGGGTTGGCATCCCAAGCCGACCGATTGTCGAAAGAGCGCAACACAGGAGGTGCTGTTTCCTCCTCGTCGTTCCCAGCGTTGATTTCCCCCCTATCTTCGCTCGCACTCCCCAACCTCGATGACAAATTCGGTGTAGTAGGAGCCGTGTTATCTAAAACCTCCTCATTTCCGATGCCGCCGAACAAGTCGGAGTTCATCTTCATGTTTTTCGACAAAATCCTATCCTTTTTCCCCACAATCCCGTGTACTTGATCCGCTCGGAAGGCGTAAAATTGTTCGAAAAAAGTGTCATTCGCCACCCCCTGAGCCCTGATGTTCTTATTCCCGGCTTTCGCGAGCATCAACTCCCGGGCTTGGCTAATCGAAATCGCCTCGTCCAAACTGAATTGATGGTTCGCAGTTTCTATCAAATGGAAATATGTCTGGGTCTGAAAAGTTGTGATGCTAATGTCCGAATGATATAGCACCCGTATTATAGGGGGCCGCGCATGAGAAGTTTCTGAGTGGCTATGTCTAGCGTAAACCGCATGACAAATGGCCTTTTTGCGTGACAAACAAGTCGTGGCACTGTAGCGCACCAAGCATGACAGACTGTTCTGTCTTGTCGGCCAAGCATGACAGACCTGCATTTTTCCAGACCCAGACATATTTGCATTCCATAGTTTCGCCCTCCGCCTTCGCCCAGGATCTGGTACCATTCGCATCCAGCGTCCTTTGCCACTTCATCTTTTTCATGGAAAGAGCGTTCCTGGGGTCACTGCTTTGGGAAGACGGCGGGCTGTTCTCCCGCCGATAGGTGTTCGAAGAGGATATTGCTATAGAAGTGTCAGAATCGAAATTGACAAAATCGAAAAATTTGTGATGCATGAAATCGCTAACGCTACCAGTTGGAGCCTCAGTTTCCAAGTGGCGCATGACAAATTTCGGGAGCCCTAAAATCCAGCGTGTCATGCTGTTTCGGCAAAGAAGACTGCGCCTGTCATGCTACTCTGGCAGCACATCGCCTTCCCCTAAAGAGGCTTGCAATGGGTCTCATTTGCCTGCTCAGCAATACAGGCCTTCAGTGCTCTACATTTTATGCATCACAAGTTTTTCGACTTTGTCGATTTCGATTCTGACACTCCCATAATTACCGGTTTGTAGTTATAGTACTCTGACTCCTTCTCCTTCCTAGCCAGTTCCTCGTTTTGCCGGGTAGCGCGCTGCTGCAGCGTTTCCGGAGCTGCTTTCGACGCATTGGAAGTTTTCTCATCGTCTGCACTCTTTCTCGCCGCACTTGCAGAGGCCCCGCCTGCAGACGCGTTCGTATTCGATGCGTTCGTATTCGATGCGTTCGTACTCCATGCGTTCTGTGCTGCGCTTACGCTTTGCAAAATGCTCATTTTCGACACCGGGATACTGCCGGTGATGCTGTCCCCCGCCTCCCGCACGGAGCTGTGCATTTGGCTCGACAAAATGCTGTTGAAACTAGATAAACTCATCGGGTTCGCGTCCCCCTGGATCACCACTGCCTTACTCGCATCCACCGCTTTTTTCATTAAATACAGCAACTCCGCCTCATCCTCTTGCTCACGATCGACGATCATGTGTGCGGTGGGCGCGTCGGCGTCCGGGATTATTTTTTGCTTCCCGAAGTCTCCCGCAAACATGGCTTCCAAGGCCCGGTTTTCCTTCAGATCCACATTATGCTGTGCGAAAGTATCGCGCGCGTATAAATGAAAATGCATTACAAATTGCCTCAGCAAGAGAAACAAAATTTGTAATGCGGAATTACCTTAAGAACAGGATTTGTAATGCATGACTGCAATGAATACGGGTACGATACTTTTGCACAGGATACACATTCCCGGTTAGCGACATCATACTCGGACTATTCTGTCTTTGTAAATTATTGTTCCCCGTCGCAGGTGGTCCGTGATGATTTTGGTGGATTAAAACTTGGATCAGTTTGAAAGCGTTTTTCACTTTTCTCATGATCCTGCTGTGCCGCTCTTCCGCAGTTTCGCTCGTTCCGGCTGGTGGAATTATAGCATCCTCTTCTACCACCTGGTCAGCTGGGGAAGAAGAAGCAGCAGGAGGAGGAACGACACTATCTGCCGTTGTTCTCGCCGATGGAAAAGCCGAGGTCGCCGGGGAGCTGACCTGCTCTCCAATGTCGGCCGCGAAAGGAGTGGAGGGCGAGAGCTCTCTAGAAGCACTTAGACTTGCTGCTGCAGTACTTTTGGCTGCTTGTTTCGGCTTTGCTCCTGTTGTTCCTGGTTTAGTACTTGTTCCTGGAACAGTTGCGATGTCGGTACCTGTGCGGTTCAGCGCGGGCTTCGCTTTCAACTGTTGGTTCGGCTTCGTTCCTGTAGTTGTTCCTGGAACGGATGCAATGTCGGTTCCCGTACGGTGCAGCTCCGGTTTTTTGATGCCCGCCTTGCTTGGTGCGGTTTCATCTTGTAGTTTCGGCTGCTGCTTCATCGTTCCCGATGTAGTTGTGCTAGTAGGTTCTGGATCTACAGATGCTATGTTGGTTCCCGTCCGATTCAATTTCGGCTGCTTCTGCGGAGCTATTTCTTGTCCCGGCTGCTGTTGCGACGTCAGCTGTGCGTACTTGTTTATTTCCTTCGCGCCCGCAGCGTAATTGTCAACAGCACCTGCGGCGCTCGCCCTCGGCCTCGCACCCCCAGCGCCGCCAGATCTGTTCTGCGATTTCGGGACTGCGTGTGCGAATTTGTTGGAGGATAGTGCCGTTGCCGACGAGTTGTTTGCTCCAGCTGCGTTGGATGATGATAGATTTTTGCTTGAAAATGTACTAGAATTCATCTTCACCGGCTCGTGTGAGATGAAGTTCCCGCTCTTCTTGGTCAGCCTCTGCCGCAACAAATCGCTGTGAGAATCCAATGCGGCGAAAAAATCGACCTTGTCTGACGTGTGCTGATGTACAAGTTTTCTCTCGACGGAATGCCCGCGGGAGGAGATTTTGTTTTCCGAAGAAGCCGGTGGCGCGGACTGGGATTGCCTCCTCGGCGTGAAGATGTTCACCTCCTTTGGCCCTGAGGGGGTGATATTACTGAAATGCACGTCGGGTCGTGGTCCTCCTTCTCGTGGGGAACTTGTTTTCCTCGGCGGGCTTGGCACCCCGTAGAAGTTAGTGTAGGGCTGTACTTTTTCTACTTTCGACGCCAAAACTGTGTCAGGTTTGGCAGCAACAGCACGACCTGGTGGCACGTGCACTCCACTTGAAGTAGTTCCTATTACTCCTGCACTAGAATTTATTGCGGCGGCGCCAACAAACCGGCTCCTACCGCTAGCGTTCGCAGCGCTTGTTCTTGGACCACCAGCAGGCACAGGCTTCGGAGGTGTTGCACTGCTATACGAGTTTGTCGCAAGCTGCTTTATATCCTGTGCAAAAGTATCGCACTCGTACTGCAGTCATGCAATACAAATCTTCTTCTTAAGGTAAATCCGCATTACAAATTTCATTTCTCATGCTCAGGGGATTTGTAATGCATTTATACGAATACGACACTTTTGCAATGCATACTTTATGTAATCCTCCGGGCTGAGGCTTCGCGAACCCGCGCCGGTAGTTCCAGTTGTACTTGTAGTTCCCCCGCTTTTAAACACCGCAAGCGACGCATTCAACCCCGCGGCGGAACTGGACAAATTTGCCGCATTCGCAGCGGACGCTCGCGGTTTAGTATTTCCACCTTTATTACTCATGCGTGCAAGTGCTTTCATCGCGACAGAAGCTCTTGGAGAAATACGCGTATCCGCATTAGCGGCGGAGATCCTGCTGATCCTGTGCTCCCAATGCTGCACGCGATGTTGCAGCGAAGCCTCGCTAATGTCTCCGTCGTAGATAGGGGGCGGTGGAACGATCTTCGTATTGGTACGAGTCGTCGGTGCGGAAAAGCCGCCACCACCGTCGGGGGCTCTGCCAAACAAAGGTGGAAAAAAGTTGTAGTCTGGAGTTGTGGCTGTAGTTGCTCCACCGGCGACTGTCTGACCCTGGTGACCTGCGCCACCAACCGCCGGAGGTTGAGCTGCCAGGAGTTTCCCAACCGCCGGGATGTTCAACACCCCCCCATCAGCCGGCACCGGGTACAAATGCGTCCACAGAAACCCCTTGCGCTGCTGGACTTTGCCGAGGTGGCGGTCTTTTACGAGAAGCGTAGGTTTGAAGCCGAATACCGTTTTCTTGCTGATGTCCAAAAATTTGTAGTACCCCTTATAACTTGCTCAGGTGTTACAATCTCAAACGTTGCAATAGAGTCTGGAATTCGAATTTGTGCTGCAATAAGTGCATTATCTAGCAAACTGTCATAGAATTGCGCATGACAAGTTCTGGAGCCCCAATCCGCAACACGATGATGTGGCGAAATTTGTATTGCAGAAAGTCGAATGCTCTCCGAGTCTGTCATGCTCATCATGAAATACAAAACCGAAACCCTATTATAACGTTTGAGATTGTTACGTTTGAGCAGGTCATACCCCTCCACGGTGAGTTGCTCGCTATCCGGCTCCTTCTCCTTGTTTCTAGTATCTGAAGTTGGAGATGGAGAAGTGGCCGGATATGTTGTCGTTGCTGCACCCCCAGCAACCTGACCTGCGACCGCGTGCATGGATTCATGCGACTTCGGGTCTGCGTCGAAACCCTGGTGGCCGGGGACTTTGCCTAACTGTTGCAGATTCTGCATGGTGAATTTCCTCGGCGTGGAAACGGCTTCGAGAGTCACGCCGTCTGGGAGATCATTGCTCAGGCCCTTGTTTTCCATACCGAAAGACGGGGGATGGGGTAATTCTGTTCCGCCATGCTGCTGCGCTGCATTCTGATCGACCGAGCTCCTCCGCATATTAATCCCGGCATAATTCCGTCGATTCCTACTGCCAGGGAGCATGTGGTAGGACATGGGTAACGGGATCCCACTGTTCTCCACGATTCGCAAATCCGTCGGCCGCTCCCCCGGGGTTGTACTCGCGTTCTGGTGGTAAATTTGTTTCCTCGTCCCATCCCCGCCGTGTTTATACCGGTGGAACACCCGTTCTTGCAAGTTAAACCCGAGATGGTTCCAACTGCGGTAGTGCTTGGGGCTCAAGTCGTATTCTAGTTGGAGATTGCCCCCGGGTGGGCGGTTGTTCTTAAGAATCTGTGCCGGGCCCGTGTCGGGGAGGAGGTTTGCGAACTGATCGTGGGTCTTGTTCAGGTAAATAACACCCTTTTGCTTGTCGAGCGACATGTTGGCTGGGTTTGTCTTTTTTTTTTCTGAGTAGAGGTAAGAAAGTGTTGTGAATGTGATAGGAATCCTCGTCGACAACGGATGTCGCCCTTGCGGGAACGAAGGAGCCGGTCTTTGCTATTCCTAGATGCTAGGCGGGGGATTTCTTTCTACTCCTGGAGGGTGTTTGGCTACTCCTGAAGGCTGTTTTGGCTAGTAAATGGCTACTGAAGGCGGGTGTTTGGCATGTTGACTTTCTATACGAAACGAAATTTTCATACTTACTTTTGTAATTGTGGGGTCCACGTTCAGGCTGAGGTTGAGTTATGGTCTGCTGGATTCATTCAGAAACAACAGAGATGAGACGAAATCGAAATTCTGATTATTGCCACATCACGAGACAAATAGACCGTTGCATGGAGAAAATGCAGGCGGAACCACATGCCACAAATGTAATACAATGGAACGACAACGATCAATGAGAACGAAGAAGAAGAGACGACAACAGATTTGTTCTCGTACTGGAATGACCGAAGGAATCCTCTAACCATCAGCAATAGTTACTGCTTCAATTTCACTGTGACACGACACGAACGAGACTACACGACAGAAGCAGCACGAACCGAAAAGAGATGAGTTGCGAGGACTTAGGAAGCCATGTACGATATCGCCGGCAGTGACAATCTGTGTCTGACTCATGACAAACAAGAGCAACGGCGAACTAGGTCGAGGGAATCTAATAAATGTATGTCTGTACTAGCGGATGCAAAAATCTGCATCCAATTCCGACGCACAAGCACAATGGCGGTCGTTTTCATTTTTTTTTTTTAATTGCGACAAAAATCAACTTTGTATCAGATTGAAACCGTGTCCTGTCTGCTGCGCACTGAAGTTTTGCTTCTCGTCAGGATTCAGTCATAATGGTATGGTCAGCACCAGCCGCAACGCTATCCAGCAAAGCCTTTGATGAATGCCACAGAACAAATCTGATATATGCTGCACCACACACGATCTACAAGAGCAGGCCAGCTCCTCGTGGTCCTGTTACTTGTAGCAGGTGTTAGGTGCATGAAGTGGATGATCAAAAATTAGAAGAGGAAGAGATCCTCAGGGTCTTCACCCATATAGGATCGTCGCTTATAGATTTTTGTCGTCATAATCATAAAAATACGGTAGTACAGAAAAATGTATACAAATAAGTCATAGTCATGAATTCGCGAGGACTACATCTATGGTATACTTGAAAAAGTAGCAGAGACAGAAATTGTCTCGAAGAAGTAACAAGAGATAAAACGCCAAAAATACATGGACAATGCAGAGACAATTTCATCCGTAGAAAAAGTTCTGCATCTTCACATGCGTCGAAAGTGAGCCAACTAGTTTCCAGTAAAGGTAAACCTAAAAATGTTCAATGCGTGTACAGCAATGCATGGTAAGTAAAACAATTACATCAAAAAGGAATCATAGGGACCAACAGAACTACTACGGCCTCGTACATGAAAAACAGAAACAAGATACTCCTGCTTGTGCTTACCACACGTGTGATTTCCGGACCGACTGGATCATCTCATCATATTTTCTGATCGGCTCCACGCCGAGCACCCGTAAACTCGAGTGTTTCCTCTCGAAATTTGTACCCGCTTTGCTCGTCGGCGTTTTTTTGACGTTTCCAATCAAATCCTTCACCTCGTCGTCGATCCGGAAGTCCACCATTTTCAGCTTGTCCCTCGACACTTTTGCGTAGTTCTTCTCCAATATGACAATGCACAACTCCCCCTCCCCCTCATTTGTCATGCATAATTCCAAATCCAGCTGCTGCCTCGTAGCGCTGTTTGCATGACAAATTATGAAAGCCCAAACAGTACTACAGTCGCCGCAGGAGCTTGTAATGCTCAGCCTCCACGTGTGCTAGTGTTTGTGTTGCTGTTCATGCCATACAAATGAGGGGGAGGGGGAGTTGTGCACTCTCATATCCAAGTTTTCCTTGTACTGGGGCTCGTTTGCGAGGAGGTCACCCGTAGCTCGGGTATCAAATGCAAATATGTCTGGGTGGTCGGGAGCAATGCACGTTTGTCATGCTTGTCTGGCATGACTCGAGAGTCTGTGTTGCATAGGCACGAAAAGGGACTCTTACCTGTCACGCAAGAACGCAGTTTGCCATGCGAAATACGTAAGACATGGCAGCCAAAAAAATTGTCATGCGTAGCTGCGTATTGCAGTGCGTCTATCATTCCTTTTTAGCATTACAAGTTTCCAGACCCAGACATATTTGCAGTGCATATCGGGTGAGAATGTCGGATAGAAGAATGTCAGCGGACGTGTTTTCCCCACCACCTTTATAAACCCAAAAAGTGTTAGCGGTAACGGTTGTCACGGATGCCAGTCATGCATGACAAATTTTGCGTACTACAACTCCGAATGCTATAAATGCAAGATAAATTCTATACTGCGTGCCTTATTGCGTCATAGATTCCGTTTAACGTTAACGCTTTTTCCTATCATAACCGTCCACGTCGGTTCCCCTCGATCCGTCGTTTCTGGAACTACTACCGATGGTTTCCCCGCGGCTGATCAAAGCCAAATCCAGCATGTCATCATCGTCAGCAATGATGTCCTGGTAGCCGCTGATAGGCTCATTTTGGGAGGAGTCCTTCGATTTCAGATTGTTCATCGCGGCGGAATTTCTACTTGTAGTTTTGGCCCCAGTTGTCGTATTCGTGTTCCCCCTGGAGATCTTTCCCTGCGGCTGTTTATCATTATCCAGTGCAGCCTTTAGTTTCCTGCTAGTACCTCCTCTCCCACTTGAAGATGAAACGGCCAGATTGTTCGCCGTTGGGACAAAAGGAAACATCTCCTCCTCGCTGTTTCTGCCCTGCCGCCCAAGCGGCAAGTTGGACTGCGCGTCGGCGCCAAAATGCCCGGTTTGCAGTGACGAGTTGAGATTTACCATTCCATCGGAATAGTTTGCATCCGGATAAGAGTAGGACTGCAGCGACCCCAAGACGCTTGTTGGGGTGCCGAACTCCGCAGATTCGATCATTTGGTTCGCATACGCTTGTTATCAAATGTAAAAATATCTGGGTCTGGAAGAATGCAACTTGTCATGCTAAATCTGCAGCATGCAAAAATCTGCGTTGCATGATTACCAAAAGTCGTCCAGTTTTGACCAAGTCAGGAGGTAGTTTCTCATGCAGGATAGGCATTAGAAAGGTCTCGCAAAATCTGTCACGCTAGGTCCTGCATTCCAGACCTCGTGGGTCATTGAAAAGCAGCATGACAAATCGCGCATTCTTCCAGACCCAGACATTTTTACATTTGATACTTGCGGTTTTTTCGGCAAATTCTGCGGGCCCCGGACGTCCAGGATCCGGCTGTTGCTATTTCTGCCCGTCGTTGTGGGTGCTGGTACTGCTGCTGCTGTTGCTGCAATTACATTTTGCTTCGAGTTTTTCCGGGAGGAATTGTTTGACTGTTGCTTCGGCGAATTATTCGGGCTCGACTGGTACAGCCCCGCGTTGACGGAAATGTTCTGGGTCGTCTTTCCACTGGTTCGTTTCGTCGCTGGAAGGTTTCCAGCCAGCGGAGAATTTGAAGTAGAGCCGCCACTTATTTGTCGTGCTCCAGAAATAGAATTCTGGTCGTTTCTGTAGGATTTCGTTCTTGGCAACCCAGTGTCGACGGATTCGTAAAAACCCGACATGATTTCCTGGTTGTGTCCTTGCAGTAACGCGATGTCAAATGCCTGTGCGGCGGAGAGAGGGACACCGTTCTCACTGTCGTAGCCGTAATTGTTCATGGTTGTGCCCATCTTCCCATAGTCATACAAGTCGTCCGCTGCTACGGAGTTAAAATCGCTCGCCATCCCGTCAAACCCCGGCATGGCAGACGTGATCATGTGCCCCTGTTGGTGAAAAATCGCCGCGGGGAGCAAAATCGATTCCAGCTGCTCTGCTTGGTCGGACAGTTTGCTCCCCTTCGCCATCCTCCGCGGCACAATTACGCAAGGAAACTGCCAGAGATAAGCGGAAAGCTGCTTCTCGTTTGCTGGTAAAAGCTTCGTTTGGAGCTCTTTGCCCTTCGAAGCAGCGAATGCAGCTTGGTCAATCGTTTTCGCAACAATCTGGTACTCGATCTGAACTAATTTCCCACTCGCAGAGGAGGGCGGGACAGACTCGCTGAAGTTGTGTTGGGAAGCTCCTGTCGGTTGTGCTGACGCGTTTTTCTTGTTTTTCTTCTGAGCAGCTGTTGTTGTGTCATCACCAGCATTCTGGTTGTCCTGAAAAAGATTCAGTTTCAGCAGCACCTCCTCCCGCATGTTGTTGAAAACTTCCGTTTCCGGAAATTCGTATCCAAGAAAAAAACACCATCACAATCACTTTTGCACATTTTTGCAATACAAAAATTTTTGTCATGCGCAGAAATGCATGACAGTCAAGAGCTCAAGGCGATTTTCCTTTATGTTTTTGCAATACAAGAAAAATCTGTCATGCGACACAAATTTTTGATGCAAAACCTCCTAAATGTGATCGTGATGGTGTTTTTTTCTTGGATAATTCGTCCCGAAAAATGACCTCCTGGTTTCGGATCACGTTCTTCGTTTCTGGTTGGAAAATCGTGATCAGCCGCCACATATGCATTGCAAATATGTCTGGGTCTGGAAACTTGTAATGCTAAAAGTGAATGGGAGACGCACTGCAATACGCAGCTATGCATGACAATTTTTTTGGCTCCCATGTCCTAGGTATTCCGCATGGCAAACTGCGTTTTTGCATGACAGGTAAGAGCGCCTCTTCGTGCCTACGCAACACAGATTCTCGAGTCATGCTCGACAAGCATGACAAACTTGCATTCTTCCAGACCCAGACATTTTTGCATTTGATACCACACTTCCATCTGAATCTTCGGTAGCCGTTTCTTCGGGCCATTTTTGTTCTTCCCCAATAGGGGTTTCGCCTCTTCTGCGCCCTTGTTTGATGTCCCCTGCTGCTTCCTGTCCGCGTTTCCATCCATCAAAATCTGGACTTCCAGTAGTATCGAGTCCCCTTGTTTAATAGGGTTTAGAACCTTCGTGAATTCGAGTACCACTGTGTTCTCCTTCTCGATCTGTTTCTTCGTTTTGATAGCTGCATTTTGTGCATTGGTATTATTTCTTCCCGCGCAGCAGAAAAAAGTCCTGGAGCAGCAAGTTTGCTTGTGCTCCGACGCTTCTACTAAGTCCCGGCCGAGCGGCTTCCCGACCATGTCATCTTCGTCGAACACTGTGTTGGCGGTTTTACCGTCTTGTGTCAAAGCCAAAACGGTGTTTCTGTACACGGGGTTGGTGAAATCTGCTTTATCACCTCCCGCACTTGAAGATCTTCCAGCAGCCACCGGCTTCAACAGTTTCACTGGCAATTTCTCGTGGACGTTGATTGGTACAGCCGCTTTCTCATACGTTACGTTCCCCGACTTATCCGTCTGAGCGGTAGAACTACCACCAACCACCTGCGTTGCCCGACTTGTCCCGTTGACCGGTCCACGCAACTCCACACTCGCTTTGTACTCGATTGCGGCCTTCGTTATCCCCTGTTCGACAGACGAGAAAAAGGTCGAACCGGGTAAAATTTGGTTTTGCGGTAAGGGGAACGAAAAGGGGATGGAGTATTTCTCCACATTAGTGTTACCCTTCGTCGCGTAGTGCGTTTTCCTCCGATTTTTGTTTTGCTTGTTCACCAATAACAGGTTCCCAAAATCGTAGTCCACCTTGTGCTCGAGGTTGATTATCGTGTTTGTCGCGTCAGTATGCAATACAAATTTCCCGTACATGTACAAGATGCATCACAAATTCTACCAATTTGGAGCGTAAAACTTGCCATGCTAAACTAGGATCGAAGCCAAGTTTTGTCATGCAGAGACCGCATTTGTACGTGTACGGGAAATTTACTGTGGATAGTCAGTGCTTCCATTCGCGGTCTGGAGCGTTTCTATCCCGTGGAACGCGATAAAGAGCTGCAAGGCCGTCGGGTCCCGCTCGATCAACTTCCTCAACTCCTTGATCTCACTCGCGTCGGGATCCAGGATGATGTTGACTTTGCCGGTGATGGAGACTGGGGGGTGGGACTTCTGACTGGCGGTAATCTCGTAGCTGTTTAATTCTAAATGCAGGATATCGGACTCCCCGTCCGGGCGCGAGCTCCCGGCGCCCATTTTCAATCAGTTTTGCTTGGCAATCAAACAAACAGTCGGAAAAATAAGGGATAAAGCTGCACCGTCGGAACAAAGTAGAGATGGTTCTTCGACGCGGCTGCTCGCGTCACAATCGACGACCGGAAGTACCTGCCGCTGCGTAGGGCAGCGGCTACGGTAAAATTTAAAGAAAACTTTGAATAGGTTGCTCCTTCTCACCTTGAAAAAAAAGGTGTAGAAGGGCCAATGTTTATGGGTTGGTTCAATGAGCTGCCTGAGTTTCAGTTTCAATGGTAAAGGGGTGGAAGAATGTAAGCCTCTAGTGCTTGTTCTACGTTGACAAACATACAGAAAACGTGAGCAGTAAGATATCTGTGATCGGCACAAAAACCGATGCTGGCCGTGCTCGTGGTATCAGCTACAAACACACGACCGAAGTACTGCTTAGACCGCTGCTTGAGCAGCTTGAAGCATCTTTCTTGCAGACCGAAGGAGACAACTTAATTTTGCGTTGCGTGTGGTGCAAGCAAACCGAGTAGTTGCGGTGCCTGGTTGCGACGAGACAACAAGGCAAGCAGCGACCGACTGAAAACGGCAGTTCAGCAAATGCAAAAATGCAGCTACCAGCTGTAGATAGTAAAACATCAGAAACCGACTCCGACACGGTGTGAAGCCTTCTGTCAGTACCGACATCACTTCTCTAAAGGAAGACGAGCAACGGACTGAAATTTTTGTGCGTCCAAATATATCTGCGTATGCGTACCAGACGCTTTTTCTTTACCAAAATCGTGCGGTGGAAATGTTCATGTGTAAAACATGATGTGCTGTCTGTGCCTGGTAGTTCCCAGCAACAGCACCCATAACAGGCGCGTGATTTTTAATCCATGGCGTGCATCTTCTTGTGTTCCTCGGACGAGAGTGTCGCTACTAGTAAAAAGGTCATTTGAAAGACGCTATCGGCATATGAAGTGAAGAACTCTAGTACTTAGAAGCCACCGGGGCTGCTCTTTGTCACACCTCAGTCTATTTGAAAGTCGACTCTAAAAATCGCGTTCATCTACGTGGCGCTGTATCACAACAAGGCGTGGAGGTCGTGACCATACGCATACTCGTTGTAACCATGGCGAAGCTGCTTTCTTCTTCTACTCCGACAGCCCGTCGATACGAACTACTTCTTTTCTAGTACTGCTGACAGTGAAGATTATGCCGTCGTCGTTGTGGTCGTCGTGGTTGTCGTTGCTGCGGTTGATGTTGTTGTCGTCGTCGTAGAAGTTGACGTTGAAGCTGCGGCCGCACTCGTTGTACTAGTCGTCGTCGTTACTTCCGCACCTCCGCCGCCACAGCAACCTCCCCCGGAAGCCGTGCCGTTGGTAGAGTTGGTACCAGCTGGTGCTCCAGTATGGAAAGACAACCAAAAGCTTCTGCTCCAACTACACAGGCAGGGGGGCGAGGTGTGCTTGTTACTACTAGGCGGTTAGAATGATTGAAGAATCTTCTGGAGTTCATCTTTATTGGAGCGGATTGTCCTCCTGTGTGGAAAAAGTTCCTGTGGGCAGCTATATCAAAGGCTTGCTGCGGTCGTTGACTGCTGATTTGTTGTTGTACTAGCCGGTAGAAGAAGTAGCTGTAGTTCTTGTGCCCGTGCGAGACCGGGCTGGGCATGGATGAGTCACTTCTGCTGGAAGAGATGATCTCACCAACAGGTGAACTAGATCAAGTAGAAGATGCGCACTCTACTTCTGTTGTGGACAACATCAACAGCACACGAACTACACAGCACATGCAGCCCATGCGATTGCCCTGTTGCTAGACTCCCAGCATTTTTGGTCGTGGCGCTGCTAAAATGCTACTACTGTGAACAAGCTAAGCCAGCGCTCGTCAAATGCAGCTCCGCATCTGCAACGAAAACTAAAAGAACGAAAGACGCACTGGATAGATCATCCGAATTTGCGCTTGTTTTTATCAAGCATTTTTGGCATGGCATTGGCAGCTGCCCCCCAGTTTATTCAATTTACTCCATCAAATCGTCCGCTACGGAGGACGGGGCACCACCTGGTGTTGTAGCAGGAGCTTTACTTAGTCTTGGTGGATATTTAGGCTTAGGGTTCCCCGGGTCGCTGTTGTCGATGAAATCGCTCCTGGATTTTCCCCAACCATTCACCGCTGCAATCCCCAGCACAACAAACAGCCCGAGCCCGAGCGTTATCAAGGGGCAAAGGAGGAGGCAACAGACGGAGCGGCAGTGTTTTCGGTTCTTCTCATCCAGAGTTAGCTCCTCGTAGGGAATCTCTTTTCTCTTGTTCTTCTCTGCTCCGTCAGTTTCCGCTGTCGCTCCGCCGAACATGTAGGCCCACCATCCTTCCTCGGGCTTTTTGTCTTCGACTGGTGTTGTCGTGTCAGCGCTGCCGGGCATGAAAGTGTCGTCCTTTTTCAATCGCGTAGATTTATTTTCTCCTGCGGCGGTTCGGCGGATTTGCTGGGACCGCGCGTTTTGGTAAAGGGAATTGTTCACCATGGTTGTGTGATTCTGAGGAATGTTTTATAGAAGACGATATGCAAAATGAAAAAAGTTACGTTGATGTCCCTTAAAGTGTGAAAAACATTGCCAACAATACAAAGTACTCCGAACAAAAAAATGTTATGGAGAGCGAGAAGTTGCTGTTGCGTATGGTGTTCCTGGAGGACGGTGGCAAAAATGCTTACTGATGGTAGTGCATACTTATACATTTTGAACTTCATCACACATTGTACTTCGTCATGTTTGAATTTGATGTTGAAAAGAAGTGCTTACTTTCCAACCGCTAGCTCCACTTTGATCGTTGACAATTTTTTCATGATACGACGATGGCTCTAGGAATGGTCGAAGAGCTTCTACCTCTACTTCAGCATTGATTTTGCATAATACCAAAATACGTTTCATCCATTTTCCGACTGTTTCTCGTTTTTCAATTTTTTCACACCGAGAAGATTATGATGGAAACGAGGAAGTTTCAGCCGCAATTTGTATTTTTCGGAGCGCGCGAAATGTTCGTGTTGTGCTGAACTGTCAAACCAAAAACGCAAAACCAAAAAGGCTTCACAAAACCGAGGCATAGGATTTGGGAAATTCGACTTCAGACCGACACGCACAGACGGATACTGGCGGGAGAAAAGGAACTAGTACATCTCAACCGCTGTCGTTATCGATATCGGGAAAGCGTGGGGGTTTTGGTGGCTTTCGTAAATCAGTATTAATTTACGATCTTTACATTTCATCAATAGCGCGGGCAAAAAAATGCGGTAGTTCTATCTGTATCAAACCAAAGCAGTTTTTTGTGCATTTCTATTCCAGACAAGGTCCTTAGGGACTTCGGGGCCACAACTTTTTGGTGCTGTACTAGGTCGCTCATTGTAGATTTGCAGACTGAAAATGCTGTTTTAGATGAAAGTTGTAGAAGTGCACGTCGCTTTATTCGTGTGAATAATTGAAGAATACAACAGCAGCACGCTGGGCTGCACGGACATCAGTCAGTGATTTTCAGAATAGAAAAAATGGGTTACATCCTTAGATCGACACACTCACAGGTGGTCCTGTGGTCCAATCTTCGTAAAGCTCTAGATCGCCGTAGAAATAAGGGCTGTCTGATGAAGATAGTGGATCATCGTCCGCCTCCGCGTCCGCGCGGCTTGCTGTTGGCGGTGTAATAAACCGTTGGCGGCTCCTACAGTGTGGGCAATAACCTTCTTGTTGCTGGCCTGTGTCACGTATACGCTCTACTTCCTCGTCTGCTACATCTTGTTCATCCCGTTGATAGTATGTACTAGTACTCGTACCCCGCACGACGTGGTAGCGCCGGCTCGTTACAGGAGCCGCGTGGCCGCTTGAAGAAGAAATAGTGTGCAGACGTGTTTGGTGTGCGATGGCTTGTCGTGTATCCGCAAGAACTTCTACAGGTGGAGGTGTTCCTAAAGCGGCCCTGCGAGCCCCTCCTTCCACGCTGCTTGATCGCTGTTCCGCGTGCTGCTCAGGAGCTGTGAGTTCTGTTGCTGGCCTCGGAACACCAGGAGTTCGCACCAGTGGTGCAGCAGCTGCTGCCCGTGTAGTTCTTCGCACCCCTCCTGCTTGATGTTGTACCTCTTCGTCCAAGCCGGAATCTAAAACTTCACTCGCCCGTCGCAGAAAAGCCGCCCCCTCATGCACAGGCCCGGGTCCAATTGCCGCGCCGAAGAACTCTAGAAGTTCCGACTATGCAGTGCAAAAGCATCGCACTAGAAGTACAAATCGCAATACAGATTGACTCAGCATCACAAATTGAATTTGTAAGGGGGATTTAACTTGACACAAAAAATTTGTGATGCATAATTTCGACTACTCCGAGTACGATACTTTTGCAGAGGATACCGACGCGGTGGTGACAAAATACCCTCGCTGGAACCGGCTTGTGCTGGCCGGCCCCTGCGGAGTTGTTTGTCCTCTATCAACAGCATTTATTTGTGGTCGTTGATCATTTTGTCTAGTGCTAGTCGGAGGTGTCGCCCCCGCCCGAGAGGTTGCACTTCTGAAGCCGTTGAGAGGAAGTGACGACGATGATGTTGAAGCCACCACTGTAGAAGAGTTGCGCTGATCTCCTCCTCGCTGCTCTGGCGGGCATATTCGAATGCGCAGCTGTCGATCTGGATCCCGTGCTCTTGGTGGGTCATTGAGAATAAGGTTTGTATACTGGTATGGAGGAGAATTATCTACTTGTGCACCATGCGCGACAGAAGAACTTCTACCCGAATCGGGTCCAGGCGTGGACAGTCTGTTCCCAGAACGGTCATCTCCTTCGTGTCGTGCTCCTACTTGTGCAGCAGCTGAGGAAGCTGCAGCCTGAGACGAGCCAGCGCCTGATGTCGCTCTTGCAGCACTATCGGAATTCGTCGTTGGCACGGGAATCAGCACTCTGGTGCTGCAGCCAAGACACACTCCCCCGAGTTGTGTTACGTTTACAGCGACATTGTGCGAGATTTGTTCCTGCTCTTGCGGGTGACGAAGATGTACTAGCAGCTCCCCTTCAGGAGCTTCTTGTTCCCTAGGCTGTTGACGAGCTCTGCTTGTTGCCGCAGTTTCGGAGGCATGTTGCCCTACTTCCGACCTTCCTGTTTCGCGGTCGCTGGTGGACGATGAAGAAAGCGCTCCTGCTGACGAAGATGATGGCTGTTGAGGGCCCCGACCAGAGTCGCTGCTGTCGCTCCGCTCTGCTGCACTTGCCACACGACGACCCGCACTTTTCGGAATCGGCGCTGGATGTTCTTGCGGGCGCCGCCGAATGTTTCCTCTTCCGACAACAGCTGTGCCTAAACCAGCACTGGCAAGCGCGTTTTCCACTACGGCCGGACCTAGGAAGACGACCGAGGCCGCGGCAATTGGCTGTACGAGGGCAAAGCGGGGGATGAGGAAAGGCAGACCCAGTAGGAGATACAGCAAGTCGCAGGTAGACGATATACTTCTTGCAGACGAGGACCACATGCTCAGGCTCATATGGACGTCGTTTTTTGCGTTGATTCCCGCTGGGATTTTCTTTATTTTGTATAAACTGCTATGTAGTAATAGTATGAGTATCCTTCCAAAATTGTAGATGATCACGATGTTTCTTCGCTCCGTAGCACCGACTTGGAAATGGTAATGGAGTTGCGCCCTCATCTGCTCCTGCAACTACACGGGACGTTCATCGAAGCTTATTGCTCTGAGGAAGCTGAAGATATGCAATTCCAACGAAGCCTCGGGCAAATCGACTATTTGATCGACCGAGTATCTTCCCTACCTTGAACACGACGCACTACTTCCGCAATGAACAGTCGAGAGACTGACAGCAAGAAGACAAGGCGCGCTACCGGCTCGGGGCAGAAGGCCAACCAAGGCCTCCGGAGCACACAGGACGCCAGTTTCGAAACACAGGGAGCAGCAGGAGGTGGTGGGAAAGTAAATCTCACCGGGAGGCAAAAGAAGGTTCTCCGCAAGGAGAAGTTCGAGCGCCTTCGGGCCCAGCACGCGAACAAGCACAGCGCGGACGCGCAGAGCAACACAGGGGAGAAGCGACTGCCGGTCTTGCCGGGGCTGGGGTTGCTAGTTGCCGCAGTCTCCGGGCTGGCGCCGATAGTACCTTCATTTGGCGGCCCCACACCGGTCCCGACACCAAGCACAAAAACGCCACCTGCGCCGGCCCCCGGGGCGGTAGTGGCCCTCCCGGCGGACCCAACGGTAGCTCCGTGGAGCCCGGACTTGTGGCAGGAACCACTCCCCACAACGAAGAGGCGCACGCGCTTGAACTTCAATCGGGCGGACTGGGACTTGTACCGCGCAGACATGCGCACCTTTCTCCGGGACCACCCGGCACCACCGTCGGTCGAGGACAAGTTCGCACACATCCGCGCTGCGATACAAGCCACCGCGCACAGGTCTATCCCGCGCAGCAATGTCACGAGAAAGAGACACAGGCAGCCGCGGTGGCAAACAGGCACGGAGCTAGATCTTGCACTGAAAGAGCGGGGAGAGTGCATGAAGCGCGTGGCCTTCGCACCGCCGGCGGAGCGACTGTACTGGCGCACCGCGTTACGGCGCGCGACGGCGCGTGTAGCAAACGCCGAGGCCAGCAGGAGGGACGACGAGTTCGGGCAAAAGCTCGAGCAAGCGGAGCAGACAACCAGCGGGGCCTTCCGGCTTTTGCGGGAACTAGAAGGGCGGCCGCCGCCGAAGCAGCAGACCACAGCGCTGCGATACGCCGGGAAGCTGGTGTTCAAAAAGCTCGCATGTGTCTTGGCGCATTTCTACGGGTCCCACCCGGTGCTGGACCCCGGGGCAGAGCGAGTGGCCTGGGACCAATACCAGCACACACTAGCGGAAGAGCTAGCGCCGAGCACAGCGCTGCGCTTGGAGCTGGATGACGTGGAGTTCGCTCTACGGGGCCAAAAGCCGGGCGGGGCTCCCGGGCCAGACAGCATCCACGGGGTGCTGCTGAAAAACCTCCCGCAACAGGGCAAGCAGCTCTTGCGCGCAACCTTCGAGCAAGGGGTCACCGAAGGCGTGACGCCGGAGGTCATGCGGCTAGAAGTCTGCGTACCAGTACCAAAGCCCGGCCGTGCCGCGGACCTACCCAAATCCCTCCGGCCGGTGGCCCTGACGTCGTGCTTGGGGAAAGTCTGGGAACGCACAGTGCTGCGGCGCCTGCGGCTAACCTTCCAGGCGGAAGGCGCCCCGCTGTACAGCAAGAACCAGTACGGGGACACACCCGCAAGAAGCGCGACGGACCACACGGCAACGCTGGGGGCCCTGGCCTCCGACACCCTGCGCAAGAATCGCCGGAGGGCGACGTGCTTCCTGGACTTGAGTTCGGCCTTCGAGCGTGTTTGCCCGCCGCTGTTCCTCAACGGACTACTGGAGCGGCGGCACGAGTTTAAAGACCCGGCACGAAAACAGGAGCTCCTGCTGCTCACGCGGTGGATCTGCTCCTTCGTCACCAACCGCCGCCGAGTGGTGAGGTTCAACGACGAGACCTCCCAGGCCGTCCCGCTGCGCCAGGGGGTCCCGCAAGGCACGTGCCTCGGCCCGCTGGTCTGGTGCAGTTTCGCCGACATTCTGCTCCGAGAGCTGCAGAAGAAGTGCCCACGAGTGCAAGTCCTCGCGTACGTGGACGACTTGGCGCTCACGCTAGAGCACGGGTCCGGGGAGACAGGGGAGGCGCAGAAACTACTCCAGGCCGCCCTGGACGTGGTCGCCGACTTCTGCAGCCGAAGCAATATGCAGCTTGCCCCCGGGAAGTGCTCGTATATCGTCTTCCAGAACGAGTTTGCGTGCGACTTGGATGAACTCGCCTTGCACCACGACGGGGAAAAGCTCGTCTACGACCCCCACCCGCGCTTCCTCGGTGTGTGGTTTGATCGCAAGCTGACACTCTGTCGGCACTTTGAAGTCATATCCGAAACCCTCACCAAGCGAATGGCGGCAGTGCGCATCCTATCACGAGCGTTGGGCGCCGGGTCGAAGTCCGTCCGGGCTTTTTACCAGTTATTCTGCGAAAGCGTCCTCACGTATGGGCTAACAACATACTGGAGCGGGCTCGGGGCGAAAGAGGCGGCCGCCCTGAACAGTTTCCAGCTGGAGGGGGCCAAAGAAGTGCTGGGCTTTCCGAAGTTTAGACAGGTGAACCGCGCCTGCGCACTCATGACGGCCGGCCTTTTGTCGCTCCCGGAGCTCTACCAGGTGGAAAGTACGGCGCTCACGGCCCGTGCTTTCTCACGACCGCCCGGGGACGCTTTGAGGGAGGTAGCGAACACCTCGAGCGTGGACTGGCTAGAAACCGGCTTGCAAGTGATCGACGACTCTAACGTCGCGGAATCGTCCGTTCTCCCCGAGATCGGCGCAAGAGCAGGACGCGGGTGGTCCGTCCTCCACGAAGCAGAGGAACAGGGCCGCTTCCAGGCGACGTGGCAAAACGAAGGCACGCCGGCGCTGGTGGACACCCTTCGGGAGTCCAGCCTGGTGCTGTATTGTGACGGGTCGGCCAAAGACTTTGCCGGGTCTTGTGGCGTCTTTCTGCATGGGTTCGGCATCCAGTGTGGGGCGGCGTGGCCCATCGGGCTCCACGCGGATTCGTACGAAACCGAACGCATGGCGCTCATCGCAGCCTTCCGAGCGGTGGCACGCCACGCGCTGAAAAGCGAGCAGGTGACGATCTGCACGGACAGCCAGGCCAACGTGCGGGCGTTGCTCAGTCCGAGACTGCGGGACGACCTGGACACCGAGGTCTACACGGCTGCAGCGGACGCGCTGCAAAGCTGCGCCAAGCTGGTCGTCCGGTATGTGCCAGGGCACTCCGGCATCGCGGGGAACGTGGTCGCCGACCACCTCGCGGGGTACGCCAACCGCAGCGACCTGCAGGAAGAGGGCGAACCGATCACGCGCAAGCAGTTCAAGACGGAGGCCCGCCGCTACGTGCGGAACGAAGCCCGCCGGAACCTGGCCGAACGGCAACGGGACGAAAAGACAAAGAGCAAAACAGCGCAAACGCTCCAGGAAGCAGGGGGATGGGGGCGTGATCTGGTGACCGACGCCGGCGGCCGCGTTGGCCAGACCATGTATTACGCCCTGCGCTTTGGGTTGTTGGCGGCGCAGCCGAGTGGAGAAGACCTCGACTGTGCCCTATGTGGGCAGGGGAAAGCGACTACGGCGCACTTCGTGCATGAGTGCCCGATCACGCAGTCATTCTTCCGCTCCTGGGACCTCGGGCACATGGAGGAGTGCCGCGACAAACCGAACCAAGTCGCGAGGGCCCTAGTGGATGCCAACGACGCCCTCGCACCACTCACCGGCCCCTTCCCGGCAATACGGCACCAGTGGTGGTCCGATGGACGAGGCCGCAGCGCGGTTAAAGAGTGATGCTCTGCAAAAGGGTCCGGTCTATGTTAGTTGAGAAATGTTAGTTGAGAACTTTACTTGGAAGCTTATGGCGATCTAAAAGCTTTACAGTGAGCTAAAAAGAAAAACAAAAGCAGAACGATCAAAATGTCGGGATCTTCCTAAACAAGGTAGAAGTGGTCCAAGAAGTAGCCTTTTTTCAACGGAAATTCGCAACAGATTTACAACGGAGTTTGGCGTTTTATAAGAGTACCACTTTCCAGCAGGCCGTATAATTATTTTTAAAGCAAGTCGCACACTACCGGTAGCAGCCCCTAAGGATTTTTTCAAGCATCTTTGCGTAAAGGGATTTTTATTGAAGTAGCGCTAGGGAAAAAAAGGTGAGTAGACGCGTTTCCACCTTACCGCATGTCTACAAACAAACAAACATGTGCTGTCATCATAAATCTTCAATTAATTATGTTGCTGGTGCTCTGCTGGTGGTTCTCCAGTGGCTTGGTCAGCTTCTTCACTTGCACCACTGATGCCTTGTGGCTCATCACATTCCAACATTTGGGAGTGTCGTTGTCGCGCAAGCTCCACAGCATTCCGTGCCGCTGTCCTTCTCCCCTGGCATTGCGGGCAATATTGCTCCGGGTACGAGTTTCTATTTCTAACAGCAACAGCTCTGCTAGTAGTACTTCCTGTATTAATTCTTGCAGCTGCTGGTGTTCCCGCCCGAATTGTCGTTGCGCCGCTCGTCCCGCGCGGGGGGGATGACGCGCTTTGGCCACTGCTTGTACTGCTTGTCGAGGCCGCATGAGGATTCGAATTACTGGTCGTTCCTGCTGGTGTAGTTCGTCCCATATGTAAATGATACTGTCTTCTGTTGTAATTTCCACCATCATTGTACCGGCCCCCGACGTTGTAATTGCCAAGGATCGTGGATGCCGGGCCTGCTGCTCCGGACGACGGCGCACTTCTGTATGGACTGTGGTCCACCGCGGAGGTCGTCCGCCAACTGCCATACGATCCTGGTGTCGAGCTGCTACCGGAGTTGCCCCCTCGTGGAGAAGGAGAAGTCGTTGGCAAAATACCTGTATCCTGTGCAAAAGCATCGCGCTCGTAGTAAAAGCAATCGCAGTCATGCATTACAAATCTCCATGTCCATCCCAAGGCAAAACAGCATGACAAATTCCATTCGTCATGCTGAGCTAATTTGTATTGCAATTACTGCTAGTACGATACTTCAACTTCTGCAGTTCATAACCTGCATTGACCCCAACAGAACGACCCGCAGAAGTTGTGGTTCCACTAGCTGCAGCCAAAATGCTGTCCCGTTCCTGTCTCGTGAAAGTCGAAAAGGTGGCAGCCAGAAACCGAGGGTCATTCCGTGCTAAATCTCGGACTGTAGCGGCGGCAAGTTCTGCGACGGTCATTCTAGAAGTACCTGTGGCTGTGTCTCCACCTCTTCTTGGATAAGAGCGTCCCGCGTCTCGACTTGCTTCTAATCCCCCGGCGACCGCCTGGTCCACCCCAGAAGAACCTGCAGCAGACGCAAAGTGTTCGCCCGCCCGGCGCAACATCGTCACGCCGACTTGCGCGCCGGGAATCATCCCGCCGGCAACCAGGTTTAACGAAACAGCACCGGCCCGGAGGATGTTGCGCCCGGCTTGGGCTGCGAGACTATCGCCGGAAGAAGAGGTAGTTGCGGAGGTGCGCGCAGATGAAATAGGTGCAGGAATTCTACTTTGTGGGGAGCCAGCTGCGGCTGCTCCTTGTTGGATCGTAGCGTCAACTTCGGACGAGCCAGTTGCACCTAAGCCTGACTCATCTTCACCTCCAACTAAGCCCGTGGAAGGAAGACGTAGAGACGCGCCTTCATTCACGACCCTGCCTCTATGAAGATTGCTTACTGTCGTTCCATTCACGGCGTACTGATCTGCGAGCTGCAGGTGAACCCGGGGCGTTTGGCTTTGCGGCCGATGCTATCAAATGCAAAAGTGTCTGGGTCTGGAAGAATGCATGTTTGTCATGCTTGCCTGGCATGACGCTTAAATCTGTCATGCACGTTACCCAAGAGCTCCATTTTTCTGTGATGCGGGAACGCAGTTTGTCATGCAGAATAGGCAACACCTAGAAGCTCAGAAACTTGTCATGCTGAGCCAGCATTTGTGGCCTCATGATGAGACGCCACCCAGCATCACAAGTTTCCAGACCCAGACATTTTTACATTTGATAGATGCGGAACAAATAGTTCTCTAGTTCCGGTAGAAGGAGCTCCACCAGCTGCACCGGTTGCAGGTCCGCTGCTGCTGGACAGCTGACGCAAGAGCGGAGGAAATGAGGCGACGGAAGAGGGCCAGCTGTTTACTGTGGTTGTGCTGCTAGCTGCAGCGCTCCTGGAGGCGGAGGCGGCGGGTAATTCAGAGTGCTCTTCTTGTTGTTCACCAGGGTATCGTAGGAAAGAAACTGTTTCATCAAGATCATCAACGTATAAGCATTTTGTAAGATTTGCATGTGCTGTAGCAAGACAAAAACTCCTGTGTTGGCAATTTGAATTTTATGCGCTAGTAGTACAGGTTTACAACAGTGAAGCAGTTTTTTCGTGCGATACAGGAGCAGCTGCTCTGGCTGGCCGGGAGGACAAGTAGGAGGAGATGTTGTAATTGCTGTTACTCGTTGCCCCACTCTGGTATGCGTGTGGCTGTGCCTGCTGATTTTGCTCACTTCTCCCTCTCCTCGACGTCCCAAGTAGCACAGCCCGCGCAAATGCGTCTTCGTAACTCTCTGTGCGCCGGGAGGACAAATCTTCGGAGTGGTTTCGCCGTGGTGTAGTACTAGTCGAGAACTGCCTGCTCGGAGTTTCTTCTGTAATTGTGACGGCGCCACTTCTGCTTGTTCCATTTTGATCCGGTTGCCAGGCCCAAAACAGGCGGTGGCAGTCTGGGCAATACGTCTCCGTCCAGGAGTGCCGCGCGCGGGGCGACGGCCCGTCGTGAAAATGTGCTGCGCCTGTGGCTGGTGCGCCACCAGCAGCTCTAGCAGGTTGATCTTCAGGAGGGCTTCTTGTCGCAACTGTTGTTTCTTCCACTTCTAGGCCCCGCTCCACCGCTCGTGACGTGCGGGGGCTTGCGGGTTGGCTGTTTGTTTCTTGCCGGCGCGGGCTGCGGCCCCCGAGGCGCAGCCGCGGGAGCTGCAGGGACGTCGACCCAGAAGCGGGGGAGGCGCTCCGGGAAAAAAACGAGTCTCCAGGGAAGCCGTAGAGCAGCGAGGCTCGGGCGAAGTAAGTGGGCTCTTGTAGGAGAAAGTGGAGGAACTGGAGCTGAGCGGGGGCTAGGGCGAAGGCACAACGCAGAAGTTTTGCCATCTTCATGCAGTGGAAATTGTGGTAAGTAGACGTACAACAAAGAGACGACCTAATACTGACGCGCTACTTATGATTGGTGCGCTTATTGTAATGTGGAAGATGTAGATGCAAAGAAATAAGGAAAATAGAAGCCTGCACTGAAATTCCGTAGCGCGCTCTCTTCAGGCAACATACCAACGGCTGTATCGGCCCGCCCCCGGTAGAATTCATGTCAACAACGAGGGGGTTCCTCACTGCGAAGAGACAACACAAAGGGAACAACGAACCTAACCACGACGCACAAAAGCAATCGGCAGGGAAAAACATCTCCACGCCATTTAACATTTATATTTATGTGTTATGGCAGGCCTGCTCGCCTCCTGTCTCGCCGTCAATCACAACAACTTTCCCCCGATGACAAGCACCGCGGGCGCGAGCAATGCGCACATGCAGTGACACAAAAAAGGTGGCCGCAACCCGACGCCCGCCCGGCGGCCGGGCCCTGCAGGCCAACCGAGAAAGACGCGCGACGCGCCTACATATGCCCCTACGCACAAACTAACATTTTCTGCAGGGTGGCTGGGAGGAACACACCGACCGCGGCCGACCCCAATGAAGCCGCCCCCCCTGTCCCCCCGCCCGGAGCGAGGGCGTGGCCCGGCGGGCCGAGGGTGCTTGGGAGCGATGGCGCGGCCGCCCGGCGAGCCCTGCCTTGGGCGGGCCTGCCATGCTCACACGATGGCACGCAACCACAAGCCAAGGGGCCTGCGCAATCGAGCAGAGCCACTCCGGGCACCCAATGGGGCACGAGGCGGGCGGAAATGTGCGCGCCCCCCTGCCTTCCTTGGCAGGCCGGCGGGCGGGCCCGGCTCCCGGCGGAGGCGGGCAAGAGAAACAGAGAGGGAGGCGGGCCGGGGCGCGGGCGGCGGGCGCCCCTGCGCCTCACTGTCCTGCTTGGAATGGGGCGAAGGATTGCGGGCGGCGCACGTCGCCGCTCTCCTTAAATTCTTCGCCCGGAAGCAGGGAGCCGGCCGGGCCCCCCGTTCTTCTGGATTCATCCAGACGGCCCCGCCGCGCGCCCCGGGCCCGCCGGGCGGGCGCGCATCGCCAGACGGGCGGCGCGGCTTTTGCCGGCAGGCGCCTCGGTGGTGCGGGTGGCCCCGGCCCCTTTTTCGCCCAAAAGGCATGGGGCCGGCCGCGCCCGTAGGGCCCGGGGCAAAAAGCACGCCCGGGCGCGCCGCACAAGGCGCGCGGGCGCGGCACTAGCTTCCGATCCGTCTGCCCTGTGTCCGGCTGACAGAGGGGGCGCCCGCCCCTGCCTCGGCGGGCAGGCAGGCTTTCTTGTTTCATTCTGGCGCGCAACCCGGCCGCGGCTTCTCCCCTTATCTCCTGCCCCGCCTGCGCTTTTTGCAACCCGAAAGCCCCCGGGGCCGCCTCCTTTGTCGAACACGATGGCCGCCTCCTTCAGAAGGGGGCAGCCCGAAAGCCCCCGCGCCCGCTGCCTCTCTTTGTCGCTACCTGCCCCGCTACGACCTTGATCCCGGGCATACGACTGCCCTGAATTCCCGCAGGCGTATACAGCGTGAATTTGCCCGGGGGGCGGACGAGCCCGGCCGGCCGGCGGACAACCAAGAGGCCCGGGCCGCCCGGTGGGTGGAAACGAAGCGCGGCCCCGGGCCGCAGGCACCGAGCGAGGCCAAACGGCACGGCGCGCCGCCCTGGGCGCGACGGCGTCGCAAACCAATCAGCGCCGAGAACCCGCGCCCGGTTGGTGGCCCACGCGGGCCGCTTGCTCTTCCCGGGCAAGGTCCTCAAGGGGCTCGCTGTTTCGGTTTTCTTTGGCTTCGAAGCGGCGGCCTACTTTACGAAAGGGCTTCGCTATTTCAGTCTATTACTACTCCGAAAAAGCTAGGGGGTTCGAGACTTGGATGGAGAACTTGGGGCGTTTGCGTTAGTTCGTCTATCATAAACAAACGACGCAGCACTCCGCTGCGCTTCTTCTCGCGGAACACCGATTCATCAGTGTCGTAAGGCTACATCTTTTCCCTGTTGCATTGCCACAAGAGTGTGGGTAAGCTCAACGATGTTCGGCTTCTATTGGTGTTCTATCCCCGCGCACTTTTTTGCTTTCATGGTCCACAGCCAAGACAATCGCGATGTGTTGCTCATGATCTTCAACTTCATCTTATTATCTCGATGTTGACCACGACCAGGATGCTGAGTCTTCACTTGTAGTATAAGCACAGTAGGTCGTTCATCGTCCTCACGGAAGCAATACCAGATTCAAACACTGTGCGTGGTGTGTCTTCCCCTCGTACACTACAGCTGCAATGGCCGGATCATCGACGGCGAACTGCAAATTGCTGACTCCGCTGGTGTGACAAATCATTGTACTCGAGGCGTTCCACTTCCCGATTCGCTTCACGCTGCTAATTTGGAAGGGAGAGAGGAACGAGCTGGTGTAATTCTTCGCGGTAGACCTTGTAGTTTTCTCCTCTGATGTTTGTCCCGATACCGCAGTTTTGGTTTTACTGCTTTCCAGGTCGTCCACATTTCCTCTGACCCTCTCCAGCACCTGTTCTAACAGTCGGACTTCACTCGCCACTGGTGGCGGCGACAAGGTCGACACTGCAAGAACAGCTGGCGGATTTTTCGCTGCCAAAGTCAGGAACTTCTTGATCAGAACTTCGTTTGCCGACAAAAAGTTGCAGACTTTTTCCAGCGTTCTTGTCGACTCTTGGAACAGATCTTCAGATGCTGAATTCCGTGCAGCTTCGTTTGAAGCAGTGCAGAAAAACTGCAATCGGAAGAGCAAATCCGGCATGTGCAACATTCCGAGGAGAAAGGTCCGGAGTTTGTCGATTTGCTCCGCGACTTCCGATGCGGATTTTGCGGAGAGAAGAGCCTCGCGGGTCGGGTAGGCTGTTTTAGGAGTTTGTTTGGTGTTTTGGGTCAGTCATGTTTTTCTCGCAACGCGATTTTCATTTTCAGTACAAAAGCAAAACCAGCCCATCGATAGTGAAATTCTTGTTGTCAAATAGTAAAGTGCTTTGCGAAATCATGCAGCAACACAACTTCGAAAATGGCAGTGCTAATCCGTGTGTACCTTGGACAAAGTGCTCCAGCACGTTCACCAGGGACTGCGTCTCTTTATCGGATTTTTCGAGCACGACGTCCTTCTGTAATTTCAGCAACTTCTGCAGCGGTTTGGTCGTGTCTGGCACCGAGTCAGGCATCTTCATCGCGCAATGGAGGTAGACAAAATTCGCCACTTGTTGCTCGTAGCAAAACGGAAGGATCAGACTTTGGATTTCCCGGAGAAGTCCAACCGTAATTTCCGGCACTGCTTCCTCCACATCCTCTTGCTCTGCTGTTGTTCTTGCGCGGCCATTACTGTCGTTGAAGAATGGCAGTGACTTCTGTAGGCACTGCTCCAAGGACGGAATCGCTGTACTGGCCGCGGCCGCGTCTTCTTTCGACGACGGGGAGGAAGTAGATGTGGTACGAAACCACTTCCTCCGGTCTTCCTCGAATCTCTTTCGATAAATCTCGGGCAACCGGCTTTTCACAACCGTCACGGATTCCAGAGATGAACCAAGTGGTTTTTTGCTACTACTGCTGCTACTACTGCTGCCTCCACTCTGGTGTGCGGGGTCCCCGCCAATCGAGGAACTTGAAGAGGACACGCTGCTGCCCATACCGAGGAGCGAGAGAAATGGGTCTTCGTCTACCGGTGCAGGTTTCGTTTCGCTCTCGGAGTGGTCGTCGTTTGGTAGTGCACCTCCGCTCGGAGATGTTTTCGACAGTAGATCACCGTCTTCTGTTGCAGTGTGAAATTTGTCGCAAATCGTTTTGACGTCCGAGGAGGAGGATAACTTGAAAGCTGAGCTAGAGCTACCACTCGCGGCTGCTGTGCAGCTTTTCACCAATTCGTCGCATAACTTGTTGATCTGGTCGGGTAACTCCTGTTTCGCGAGGGAAAATACAGCGGTTTTAAAAATGTTGAAGGGCGGGTCAAGAGATGAGGGACGTGGTGGTGCTCCTTCTTGTGGTACTCCTGTTGGTGGTGCTGTTCCTAGTGAACTCTTCTCCTGAACAGGTGGGGCCGACTCTCCATGCCGGGGCGGCAACATCACCCCAGCAGGAGCTGTCATGCTGAGCGAAGAAGGAGAAGACGCATTTGCATTATTTCCAGGAGGTGTTGGTGGAGCTGCCGCCGCTGTTGTTACTACGCCAGCAGCTGCGAACGGGTCACCAGAGCTCCCCTCGTCTACACTTACCGTCGCTGGCGCTCCTGGCGCCGGCGTAGTAGTACCAGAGGTCGCAGCAGCAGCTGTTCCACCAAACTCCGCCCCGGCAAACAAATCGTCGCTGTTCGCAATCGCTGATGCGGTCATGGGGATTGTTGGGGGAGGAGGATCATGTTGTGTAGCGCCAACGAGAGCAGCTGCACCAGCACCACCTTCGGGAAAAGCAGGCTCTGTCGCGGCCGGATCTGTTGAAGTGAAATCCCCAAATCCGTCGTCCTCGTCGTCGTCGTCATCTTCAACCTGCACAACAAGTTGCCTCGCAGAAACTGCAGGAGTCGCACCACCAACAGCTGTTTTTGATGACGTCGACCCGGCAAACTCTCCAAAGAACCCAGCAGAATCCTCGTCGAGCGCTTTTGTGGCAGTAGTTGCCGCTGCAACAAAATCTGTTGCTGTTGCAAGACCCGAGGCCGCCCCTGAGGCAAACGCTGCACCACTAGTAAAGCCGGAGCTCGTAGTTGCGAAGCCAGAGCCAGGCGCTCCTGTGAAGGATGAGGATGCGGTTTCATGCGCCGCCGTGAAAACATCAGGCCTTGTTGCTCTAGAACCAGCAACCCCCGCTCCACCTCGTTGGCCCAACCTGTCTTCTACCGCACCAGCCGCGGCGAAAATATCTACTGTACTTTCGGGTCCGCTGGCGGAGGAAAAGTCGCCGAAGCCATCATCCTCGTCATCCGCCGCGACGACTGCCGGTGCGGGCATCAGTGCTGGCATTGCCATTGGAGCAAGATTCGATTTGTCTCCTGATGAGTTGTTGTCCTGTATGCCCTCCTATGCATTGCAAAAGTATCGTACTAGTATGAATTGCATCACAAATTTTTCCGAGAAGAAAAATGCAATTTGTAATGCTGTTTTACCTAAAAAGGGGTATTTGTCATGCGCGATAGCATTTGCCATTACTACGAGTACGATACTTTTGCAATGCATACGTCCAGACCGCTAAGCGCACTGAACACGTCACCCTTGGGGGACGGAGTCGCCGCTTTGAGCGGTTTTTGAGTCGTCTTACTTGGCGTAGTTGCTTGTTGTTTTATTACTCCGGACATATTATAATTCTGCTCCTGCTCATCTCCCGCAGTAGTACCACCACCAGGTCGTGCTGTTTCTTTCGTGGTATTGTTGCTCGCCCCCACAGATGAATCTTTTGGTGATGCCCCACCTGGTGCAGGAGCAGGATCTGGATCTGGAGCTCCTTCAAAGAAGTTAAAATCCTGACTACTGAAGTCAAATCTGGGTGGCGTCGCAGGTTTTGCCGGCGTTGGCGGATGCTCTTGTTTAATATTCGACGGAATATTCGCGCTACCGACCACTGGAGCAACTGCATCGAATGGTGCAGTGGAAATCTTTTGACTAGTAGCTCCTGCAGCTCCTGTTGAAGAAGCGAAGTAGTCCGAAGCTGCAGCCGCAGTGTTGATGTTGAGAGCAGCAGTTCCGGGAGGGGGTGACGCGAGCCCGAACTCCAGCTGGTTGGGGAGGTGAATTGTTGCGGGATTGATGCCGTTGGCGTTGCCTATTTGCTGCTGCTCCATACGAGGACCTGGATCAGCTAGCGGCGGTGACGTAGGATCAACATGTGGCGCAGCTGCATCTGCCCCGGGCGGCACAACTGGTGGTGGAGCTGGTGCAGCAATATGAACTGCAAAAGTATCGCACGACTCGTATAATTGCATTACAAATTTCCTCAGCATGAGAAATGAAATTTGTAATGCGAATTGAAGATTTGTATATGCATGATTGCAATACGAGTACGATACTTTTGCAATGCATACGCAACAGGCTCTACCAAATCCGCAAACGCGTCAAACACTGCCGCACCCGTTTTGACCTCTACCATCTGACCCGTGGCGGTTTGGTGTTCGTCGCCAAAATCACCCCAGTCGTCGTCGTTATCGTCCTCTTGTTGGTGGACCACTAGCGGTTGCTGGGTTTTTGGTTGTATAGGAGCAGGAGACGCTTGATGAAAATGTTGAAAATCCGCAGGTTGTGGTGCTGTTGAAAAGCCAAAGGCTGAGCCCCCGTCCGCAGCAGTAGGAAAGCTCGACCACGTTGCTGCAGTTCCTAGATGCGGTTCTTGCTGGAAGTCACCGAAATCGTCATTGCTCACGCCGCCCTGTGCTGCTATTTCTTGCTGTTGTGTAAAACTCAAATTGTGTTGACCTACTTCTTTTCTCACATCAACTGCGTCCGCCTTGTTCACACTGACCCCGACCTTAGCGAAGTCGCCACCCAAGCCGGACAGATCGATGTCGAAAGCATCGTTTTTCATACTCGTCGCTGGTGGGTTGGTTTGAGAAGGTTGTTGCTGTGAAGATACGGAGGTGGAGGTTGTAGTCCTCGGGGGTGCTGGAGGTGGTGCTCCGAAATTTGTTCTCCTGCTCTGCACGTCGTCCTGCATGCCGACCAGCATGGCAGCTTGCTGCGCGGGGCCGACGGAAACATGGTGCTGAGGAAAGGTGAGAAAATCAAATTATTGTGTCATGTGCATGTGCTGGGTAATGGTATATGCATTTCTATTGTAGAAGTAGAAGTCGTGTCAGCACAGGACCGCGATAGGTTCAGTTTATTGAAAAAGCGAAAATCTTCACAGGGCGAATTATGTTGGCACTACAACAGAAGATTCACGAATTTCAGATGTCCTTTTGCTGAATACCTGCTGTCCTCCATGATGCTGTGTACCTTGGTGATGTTGCCCAACAGCTGCAAATGGCCCACCTTGAGCTCCATCCAAGGGATACCTGACTCCGTCAAACCTGGGCAGCTGCAACATTCGCGGGTCGACTCCGTGGGTGTTGTTCCCCGGCTGTATCTGCGGATGCTGAAAGACGAGCTGAACGTTCAGCGGCTGGGCAGAAGGGCCACGATTTTGGTGCTGCGCCGCTATGGACAGGCATTGTGCTTGGTAGATCAATCTCAAGCAGACCACAAACTCCATGAGATTCAAAGCGCCTTTCCCTCGGTAGTCCGACAACGCCCAGATTTGTTTCAAGTAGGTTTTTGTGCAGTGCAAAAACATCGTACGCGCGCCGCGTATATACGAAGTGCATCACAAATTCAATCATTTTCCAGAAAGGACGAAAGTGCAATTTGTCATGCGGTAGTGCAATTGGTACAACGACCACGCGTCCGATGCTTTTGCAGTTCGATAGTTTTGTCCAAATTCGTCGCTTTGCTCAGGAAGTCGAACGCCGGTCGGCCGGACAGCACGGTGGATGGGTTTATAGTCTGTTCTATCCTGAGTAAAAACGTCCCCACACCAGAGCTGTGAATGTGATGCAAATCTGCATGCCAAAAAAGTTTGTCATGCGGAGCGCCATGAGAGGCATTTCCTCGTCGTCTTTTGGTATTTGTGATGCTATGATCTGCGTGATATGCTAGATCTGTGATGCTGCTGAACTAGTACCTAAAACAGGATTACACTACAAGGGCAAATTTGTCATGCCAAATGACCAAAGCTGGCTGATTTGTCCAGCAGATTTCCCATCTTGACTCTGGTGTGGGGACGTTTTTACAAATGATATGTTCGTTGGTGGCGATGAGCCAGAGCTGTTGGTAGTACTGCACCTCCATGGGGTGCAGGATGCGGGGAAGCTGGTTTTCTACCAGCTCGGGGGTCAGCATCTTGGGCGGTCGTGGAGGTGTTTGTGTTCTTTCTCCTTTCTCGGTCTTTATCTACTGCTGCATTGTCAACATCTCTGGCCGCGCTGGCTCCGTGAAACAAACCCTAGATCAATAAGTGGAGACCGAGATTGGGAGATTGCCTATGCCTCGCCAGGGTTCAACATCTCCAGGCACGGTAAGACGAGCTTGATGCCACTTGTTGCTTCATCAGTGTCTATTTTCAGCTTGCTTCGTGCTCGTGGCATGGACTGCCTTCGCGACGACCTGCCGCGCATGATGTCCAACTTCGTATATTTGTGAGGTGGTGGAGGAGGTGGCGCAGGAACAATGAGGGCATTTTCTGGGCAGCTTGTGGCTGTACACTAAAAGTAGATTACTAGGATGTAGCTGTAAGAACTGCGAAAACTACACTGCGCACCAAACCAATTCAAGTTCAACTACTTAAACTCATGTAATTGTGGGGGCATGAATCTATTACTAGCGCGCCAAATAGGTAAAGACAATGAAACAGAAACAGTGAACATCGCTGTCGACGTTAAGTTACAATAAAGGAAAAGTATGAAGAGAGGTTGTTCCGATTATAAGTGACTACTGGCTCGAAGATGATGTAGTTGCATTTGGATTTGGA